CTCCATCGATGCGTTACGGATTTTGATACGGGTAGCTAAAACGTTGTGCGAAACATGTACACTGTAGTTATTGCAATACCATTCCATACAGTGTAAAATGAGTTGAACATACCATTTGAAAAACTCGATTTATTTCAAACAATAAACAAATTCATTCACCAAATTTTAGTCAAATTATACACAGTACACTGTGCTTGTTCATATAGTGATACCTTTAGAACTAAAAACAATATAATCGAAGGGTAAAATCGGATAGGTAAATGACCAACGTACAAAAGCCTCGTTTTTCGTGTTTTCCGTATCATTTCACGTATAAATTGAACTGACTACGCATAAATCTGGTAAATACGTTACGGATACGGATACGTGGAGCTAAAAAACGTTTTGCGAAACCTCTCTAATTGTACTTATATACTGTATACGTAAATCATGAAATTAACGGGCATATCAGGAGTTCTACGATTGTTCACCGTATTTAGCTCCCGATTTAGCTATACGCCTATTTTTGTTATCATCCCACTGGCGGATCCAGATCCATCTTGCGCCCCCCGCCCCCTTTTTTGTAGGAGCCCAAAAATCGTTTTGCTCGAAAGTTAAGTATGGCCTCAAAAATGATTCTATTTGGGCATGATTTGGCATTTTAGGCCAAATTTTCCAAAAATGGGCTTTACATTTTCATCTGGATCCGCCAGTGTTGTCAAAGTTGTTAAATTCAAAAAGGCCAAATAATTGCGATATTGAATGTGCAACTTATCACAGTACACCTCTCCCGACGAGTGACACGTGTTGTTAAAAACTATCCAATCCTACACATAGAACGCATGCATAATGCAAAAAAATGCTGGGATCGAAATTGTATCGTAGTGTAAGCCAATTTACTGACTGAATTACTCAGTTGGAGTAACAATTCCCGGGGAAACTTTCCCGGGAACAGATAACTATTCCCTCTATTGACTAAACTAGGTACTATAGTTCACTCCACCTTTTGAAAATAACTAACTCATATATATATATTTCTTTATTGCGACCAATTCTGATCATATGCATATAGTTTAACATAAAAGGTTATAAAAGGTTAATAATGAAGAAAAAACATACATAAATATAACAAAATATAGTTGTTTAGTGCAGGACGTTTAGAGTATTGAGAAATCTAGATCTCAATTGGTACATATGATACACCGTCCTGGCTATTATAATACAATCATCATATTCATTTGGGGCAAAAATATTTTTAATTACATTTAAGTCACTTCCGCCTAAGTAAGGTCGTATAGGATCTCTAATTGTTTCCAGCACATCACAAAATTTAATAAAATGTAACAATGATTCATGCGAATTACACATTGGGCATACCCTATTCACATTTGGCTCGGTGTGACGACCAACACCTTCACCAACCAGTAGTCTAACCATAAGTTTACATTCGAATATCATTTCAGGTTTGTATTTACATAGCTGGTACCAGACTATTGGAGTACGAGTAGTTACTACTTCTCTATAGTGTTTGATTTTATTGTATGTCATACATTGAATACGCCATCTTTCCAGAGACTTTGTAAGAACAGAACTTTTCACTATCTTTTTCCAGTGCCACTTGGATGGAAATGTGTTATTGGAAATATAGCTATCCATTCTTCCTATAAGATCATATTGCATTCCAAGTTGTATAATTTCCCTAATTGGTGATAAAATGGTTACAGAACATTTATCTACGAAGAAGCTATATAGTATAGCATACCATCTAAAGATACTTAACTTCTTACAAATACCAACACTAGTATTAAAAATGTGCCAGAAATACATGAGCTTCCTGATTGCAATGGTTTCCCTTATACCAGTCCAACCAAGTTGAGCAATCGCGGCACAATCAGTCGTGTTGACCTTCAGTGACCTTCGAAAGGTCAAAAACGTTGATTTTTCAAATTGATTTTCTGGATTCAAATTTAGGTTTATTCAATCAAAAAAGATATACTGAGGTCTAAAAAAGTAAAATTTTCAAGGTCAAAAGTCAAGGTCATCAAACAAGATCACAAACTGTGTTTTCTAAGTTTCTCAAAGTTTGTGACTACAAATCAATATTTTTAAATTAAAGTCAGGATATATATTCCTCTAAAGGTTTTACACATATTAACAATTGATTATCTACTAAAATTCTGCACCAGTTTTGAGATATTGGACCTCAAAAATTGAAAAAGGTCTAATGTTGAAATTTTTCAAGGTCAAATTTCACATTGCTTCAAATTGACCAAACTTTTTAAAAAAATCATCTACAAAATGCCTGGAGTTCATATATGACCTTGTATTTAAGATTTGACCTTTGGCTGACCTTTAAATGTTCAAAAAAGCCTACGGGGCCTCCTTAAGATTGCTTGCAATCTTAAACCTCTAGTTATTCTATCAAAGCAGTTTTCTCCTACTTTCAACTAGCTTTCAACTTTCTACTATATGCTCCTACTAGATACCTGGTTTGATCTTGATGGGAAAATATTTCATATCTAGGTCAAGGTCAAAGGTCAAAATCCAGGTCAAATCTAAGCTTTTTTTAAGTTTCTCAAAGCCTGACACTACACTTCAACATTTTTGGCTGATTTTTTGCATACAGATAGATATTAGTCTTCTATTAGTGTTAGCCTTTTGCCGTCTAGACAAATTTCGTCTAGATTTTGAGATATTGGAGAGGTTAAGCTTTGCATATATAATCGAACCTGAACCTGTACGTATCACTCGACCATATACAAATTCATGTAGCCTTCTCATATAAATAGCCGTTCAAATCCAGTGTTTGTTTAGACTACACCATAGCGTGTAATGATTCTATAGTATGTCATTGATGCGGTTTTATAGCTGGTTTTCTAATATATATTTTAAACGAGCTCGTTTCGTAAGATTTTTGGCGCTAAATCATGCATGACATACATCATCGTGTTCAGCAAGAATTCAACTGTGCATCGAAATCAAAATTGACAGCATAGAGTTCAATAGACACGAGTAAAATGGTTCCCGTTGACCCAACGTCAAATTTCAAATCTCCCGTTCTAAACCCGAAACTCTGAAGCTGAAAGAGTATCTGAAGTAGACTAAGCGCGCATAAAACTATGAGCGCTGGATACATTCCTTTGTTAATTTTTGTACTTTGCGTTCACGGTTACGTTGTGAAAAACATCGTTAGCTTAACCTTTCCACTGACGTCAAAAAACGGTCAAAAAAGGTCATTTTTCAACTTGCTTCAAATTGACCAAATTTTTTTTAAAAAATCATCTACAAGTTCCCAGGAGTCCAAATCTGACCTCAAATTTGACCTTCAGTTACCTTCGAAAGGTCAGAAAAGTTGATTTTTCAAAATGAGTCTTTGGATTCAAATTTAGGTCAGTCTAATTACAAAAAGCCTACTGAGGTCTAAAAAACTAAAAATTTCCAGGTCAAAGGTCAAGGTCATCAAATTAGGTCACAAACTGTGCTATCTAAGTTTCTCATAGTTCAAGACTACAAATCAATATTTCTAATTGAAAGTCAAGATATACATTTCTCTAAGGGTTCTACACATATTAGTCATTGACTATTTATTAAAATTTTGTCCCAGTTTTGAGATATAAGAGCTCAAAGACTGAAAAGGTCAATTTTTCAAAGTTTATAAGGTCAAATTTTAACTTGCTTCAAATTCACCCAACTTTTTTTTAAAAATCATCTACAACTTCTCAGGAGTTCATATTTAACCTCAGATTTGACATGTGACCTTTAGTTGACCTTCAGTGACCTTCGAAAGGTCAGAAAAGTTGTTTTTTCCAAATTGAGTGTTTGGATTCATATTTCAGTATTTAGGGTCAGCCTAATCATAAAAGACCTACTGAGCTCTAAAACAGTAACATTTTCAAGGCCAAGGGTCACGGTTATCAAATTAGGTCAAAGGTCAAAATCTAGGTCAAATCTAAATTTTTTTTCAAGTTTCTCAACTCTGTCCTTATACTTCATTATTTCTTGCGATGAATTAAACTGAAACTACATTTTAGTATTCGCTACAAATTGTTCACTATATGTCAGCATTAAAATTTTACCGTTTTTGAGATATTTGACGTAAAAAACGGTCAAAAAAGGTCATTTTTCAACTTGCTTCAATCTGACCAAATTTTTTTTATAACTCATCTACAATTTCCCAGGAGTCCAAATCTGACCTCAGATTTGACCTTTGAACTTTAATTGACCTTCAATGACCTTCGAAAGGTAAGAAAAGTTTATTTTTCAAATTGAGTCTTTGGATTCAAATTTAGGTCAGCTTAATTACAAAAGTCCTACTGAGGTCTAAAAAAGTAAAACTTTTCAAAGTCAAAGGTCAAGATCATGAAATTAGGTCACAAACTGTGCTATCTAAGTTTCGCAAAGTTCGACTATAAACCAATATTTTTAATCCGGAGTCGAAATATACACATTCCTCTAAGGGTTGTACACATATTAGCAATTGACTATCTAATAGAATTTTGTCCCAGTTTGAGATATAAGAGTTCAAAAGTTGAAAAAAGGTCAATTTCGAAATTTTTCAAGATCAAATTTAAACTCGCTTCAAATTGACAAATTCTTTTTTTGAAAATCATCTACAAGTTCTCAGGAGTTCACATCTGACCTCAGATTTGATATTTGTCCTTTAGTTGACCTTCAAATTGTCAAGAATGCCTAAGAGGGCCTCCGTGAGATTGCTTGCAATCTTCAAAAGTCTAGTTATAACACTAAATTGCAAGGAAGGGAGGGGGAGGACCCCTTGCCCTCTGCGATTTTTCAATTACTTGTCCGATTTTAATAATGTTGAATTGTGAACCTTATTCAAGTATCTCTTATTTTTTTCATTTTTTGAGCTAGATGAGCTGCAATCCGCGGCTGTGTCCGTGCGATATTTGTTTCTGCACCGTGAATTACACGATGGCGGTCAAGGTGCTTTAATAAATGTCCTTATAATCTTAAACCCCCTACTAATATGCTAAATATAAATTTTATATTTACTTTGATAGGGCATCGACTTCACGATTTCGCGATCGAGGTTAACTGCGAATTTGATGGATCAAACTCTGATAGCCCATCGTGGTCTAGAGCATATCTACACGATGGAACGCCATCAAGCAACCCGACAATAATTTCATTCCCAGAGTCCTCTATTGGGAGATTCGTCAAGATAAAGAACGCTGTAGTTAAGTCTGCAGATCCAAACAATGACGTTTTGGCGCTGTGTGAGGTGGAAGTTTATGTCAAGCAAGAAAACTGTGATTGTGAACTAGGGAAACTTAATTCCTAACGCAGGGCGTATGCATGTTTAGCTTAATAATGAACAGGCGCATTGTGAAATGATTTTAGTTGACTCCAGTTGAATTAGCACAGGATTTCATTCTGTGGCTTCATTAAGTAAATTGTACAACCTTTTCGAACTCGCTTCGCTCGCAGTGATGCAAACAAAAACATCACACCCCTTGATAACCTGCTACGCCCATGATATCATGGTCTAAATTAATGGAAAAATATCGACTAACATCAAAACATTAAGTAAACGTCGTTCAAAGTATTAGAAGACTAGATCTGTTATACACACAGCAAAAGAGTGAACCGAACAACTGAATCCGTGGAGGCAGGATTCATGCAGGATTCGAACATGTATGTGCAAATGAATCCTGCAGGATTCATACAGGTTTCACAAATAAGTAGTTCACAAATTAAACCTGTATAATTCATACAGGATTCCAGGGCATGGTTCACTTGAAAGTTCACAAATGATTCCAGCCTTCAGGAATCATGCAGGATTCATTCAGAAGGTAGTTTACAAATGAATTCAGCCTTCAGGAATCATGCAGGATTTATACAGAAGGTAGTTTACAAATTACCGTACCCCCTATCACACCAAACTAGTTCTTACCCGTTCTTGCCAGTCCTACGAAAACGTCGTAAAACGGGCTCAATCTGGCTGTGGTCGATAAATATGTCTAAAATAATTAGCTACTTCGTTCATCAACAGTCTTCAATACGTCCATCTCGATCGCAGTTCGTTCAGGTCGCACCACATCGGTGTGCAACGTCGTATACGCGTCCCTTAGTCTACTACAGAACGGTATGGTCGTCGCCGAATTTTGAATCGATTCAAACTTCTAAAATCGCCTTCCCGTCTGAGAACGTTCATGATGTTTGTGAAAAGACCTTAGAAAGTTGCAGCTACGTCCATTCCGTTCACAAACAGTTTAAAACCAGTTTTGAAGAACGCAGTGGCAACTTGTTTGGGGTGATAGATATATTTTTGCTAACTCGTCCATATGCAGTCTTAAATACGTTCTTAATCAGTTTAAACGCGTTTGCAATTAGTTCTTCATCGTCCTCAATACGTCCTCAGACAGTTCTACTCGTTTTTGAAACGTCCCTAGTAGGATTGAAGTACGACGGTTCCGTTCGTACTACGTCCAGCTCGTCGTTAGTACGTTGTCACTCGTTAGAATTGTAGAACGTATCGACCACGAGAACATTTTGAGCATGTTCTAAGTTCTAGAGGACCTTCCCGTTCGAGTACGTTCGATGAAGTTTGTAAATAGACCCCAAACGGTTCTAAGTACGTCCAGTCCGTTCGTACACAGTTGAAGCTGTTGTGTAACATTACGTAACGTAATTGTGATTACGCACTTTAATGTGCAAATAAACTTATGACAAGCAAATATTTTATTATGTTTAATGATAATGTGATGCAACCAGCAAGTAGCGAACACAAAGAAACAAAGGATCATAAATGTACTGTAAGTCAACACAATCACTTTCTCGCTGGAGTGTTTCTTAGACCACACCGCAGCGTGTAATATACCTGATAGTTCTGTAGCTGATTTTCTATGATACATATTTTAAACAAGCTCGTTTCGTTAGATATTTGGAGCTAAAATATTTCTTCTCCAGAAAGCATTATATTGTGGATTGAAATCAAAATTGTCAGCATAGTATTCAACAGACATGAGTATAATGCTTCCCGCTGACACCAACGTGAAATTGCAAATTTCCCGCTCTGATCACGAAACTCTGAAGCTGAACAGGTATCTGAAGTATACTAATTAGCGCTTGGTTTGTATTCGCGCTGTACACATTACTTTATTGATTCATGTACTTTCCGTTCACGGTTATGGTGTAAAAAACTTTGCAAGCTTAAAGTCTCTACTATGTCAGTTCGGATGTTTTTCAAGCCCATCTTTGTTCTCAGTCCTGATAACATATGTTTTTTTATATCCACATTCGTAACATTTCATTCAATCTTTGGATTTGCATTTGGATTTTCCTGAGGTGAAACCAAATCACACTCAATGTCAGAAGGGACATCAAATACAATACAATAGTTTGGTTTTAATATTTTTCTCATAAATCTTATTAAAGATTGCGTAATTACAAATTTCATAATTACATCCACGCAGTCACGCAGAATTTGGCATATATTCATGGTGGAGCAGTATTTGTGATACGGGTGAATATGCCATACTCACCCGCGGAATGTGGCATATTCTGTGGGTGGGTGTAATGTTGTTTGATATAATGCTACCTTTGAATCTTGTCGTCCTTGAGTATCTTGACGAGGGGCCCCTTTGACGAATAACTTAACGAATCTGTGTCGGAACGTGGTCTTGTGCTCTTGGTGATGCGATATCATTGCATTATAGTTCATGTAAATTTAGCTTTTCTTAATTTCTTTTTGCTTCAACTTTATACTTGAACATCTTAGTTCTTCATGTTGTTTGTTTGAGTCTTGATTGTGAACTGCATGTTCTTTTCAAAATCATAATTGGCTTCTTTGATTGCACTTTTGAGTTTAGTTTAGTAATACTATAGTGCCATCCTTTGATCAACTTTAAACTTTTGACTATTTAAACATAACAGTGGGTATGGCATATTCTGCAGTGAATAGGCGATACTTTGATTTCAGTGGATACGTGATACCCACCTGCGGAATATGCCATACTCACCTGCTGAATAAGTCATACTCACCTACGGAATATGCCATATACTGCAACTTGATTGGTCGAAAAAATCGACTCATCGAGTACAAATATATCAATCCTGGATTGATTAAGTTTATTACGTGCAATTGCTGAATGAAACTTCTGAAAGTATCAAATGTGTAAATGCGTAAATCGTGATTTGCCAATACAACAATACATTAATACTCGTGATTTCGTAGGTTCTTATCCGGTTTTTGTCGCGAAATGTTTCCCTTGTAATATGTATTTGTATACATAAAACAACATCAAACAATGTTATTCGAGGGTATTTGTTTTTATATTCAATGCGGTGACCTGTTGACCCCCCTCCCTCCCAACCTCTCACATTACCAATAACCATCTATGGTTACTGTAATTCATCCTCTATTGTAATTTAAACTACCTAGAATGCCTATGGCGATTGGTAGTAGATATTTTGTGTATTTTTTGATTATGAAATAAATAAATAATATGTTAAAAAAATAATAATTCAGTAATCATTATAATATTTTATAAACTTTTGCACCTTCGTTCGTGCGATTCAACTGACAATTGCGTACTTCCGTATCGCGTTCTCATTGGTAAGTGAGTATGCCATATACCGCAGGTGAATCTGTCATACACAATTAACACCTAATTGTTCAATGTAACATAATGCAAAGGAGTATGAAGCGCCATCTATATTCAGATATTGTTCTTGACGGAATCTTCTACATACAAAGAGAACAATAGAGTTCCATACCCTATCCAGGAATGTGCCATATGTGTGTATCGTGTTTACAACATATAACAGATTCATACAATTTCAGTTGCACCAACTTCCAAATTGACCAAGGAAACAAAACAAAATGCTAATGTTGTTCTCAAAGGAAATGCTAATGGTGTTCTCAATGCAAATGTTAATGGTGCTCTCAAAGTAAAGATATCTTGTCACAAACCCTTGAACGTACGGTAAACATCGATCTGTCCAAGGGATATTTCAATAAAACCACAGTAAGGCCCATTAAAAGCCATAAGATGAGAATACAGAATTGTGACTGCTCTGGTGAAATCAATATTTGGACACTTTTGATTGATTCTGTGAAGATCTTCATGGACACGACGCACCATTCAGTAACACATTAACAGGACAGAAAAAATAGCATTTGCATCCAAACACCTTCACAGGGGCTGTACCATATCAAGTGTGACAGTTAAAGGCGTGGGGTAAGGTGCAACATGAAAGTGACGAAATTTGAGCTAACTGCATGCTGATGTTTTCATTGTTTCAAAAAGACCAGCTCTAGTTTTTAGATATTTTTATAATTATGTAAATGTCTGTAACAATATCCTAGACAGTGAACTTGACAGTGAATTTCATAGTTTAACCTATACAAAAATCATGTATGATACCATAGGCCAGTATCGAAAGATTTGTCCGCTGTGACGGAGCATGTTATTTTTCATAAAAACACTAAGAAAATCGCACAATTTAATTTTTGACTCCTTTCGTTATACTAAAGAAAATTATTTTCTCCATGCAATGGACATATCATTTGCGGGTAACTTTCACTTATGTTTGTCCCATAACGTTAGGAGGAAAAGCTATTAAAAATGGCGCCGGAGTATCATACTCCAAAATGTTCCATTTCCTTTTTAACTTTTTAATGTCATGATATAGTGACACGATAATATTTACATATGTTGTCAGCATAACTCTGAAGGTATTAATGAGATATTGGTACTTTGGGTCTTTTTAACTTTCTAATAAAAACTAATGTTTAAATTTTTCCGCTATGACGGAGCAGTTGCAAATGTGAACTGTGAAACTGCTCCGTCACAGCGGAGAAAAGATGTAAATATTAAATTATTTCTTATAAAAAATTAAAAAGACCCAATACATCCAGATCTCATTAATACATTCTGAGTTATACTGAAAACATATGTAAATATTATCGTGTTACTATATCATGCCATCAAAAAGTTAAACTTTTAAAAAGTTAAAAGTTATAACGAAAAATGTGAGTTAAAAATAAATTGTGAAGTATTCTTAGTATTTTTTTTTTATTAAAAATAGCATGCTCCTTCACAGCGGACAAATCTTTCAATACCAGCCTGTGTATACGGTATAGGTAAATTTACCCGAGATAGGGAACGCAAATTCAAATTCCTTGTGTTCGAATTCCTCTTTTGTACCTTACCGTTACTATCGTGCGTTATAATTTAATTTGGTACAGCCACTGTGACCTTGAAAGTCGAAGATAAAGTAATACGACAAGAATCAATTAAATTATATTGCTTGCATGTCTGACGTCATTTATATTCTAATATTATAGTAAGACGGATAGTATAATTACTAATTGTTATAATTTGAAAGATAAAGTAAAAAACAAGAATCGATTGCATTTATTATTCCATTGCTTGCATGGCATTTATATTCAGACGGATAACATGATTTGAAAGCGTGTTCACTGAGAAATGAAGTAACTCTGATATTTAAAGAAGTTTTCAGTCAAAATGCACAATTTACCAAGGTTGTAGCAGGGGGTAAATGCCATATTGGACCAATGTCAGTTCACACGCTGAGTTACTACGTTGTCTGTTAGAACATGGACAGTTCCGAAGCTTGATGAGGCAGGAAAATATACATGTAGGACAAGAGTTACTAAAATAAAACAGAGAATTTCTATTCAAAATGAACTGCTCAATTTTCCATATTAAGGTACACGTTTTGTTAATTCACTTTGCAATATATTCTAAGGCTAATACCATAACGCGTACCTACATTCTAAAAACTGGAAAAATGATACTGAACGATGAAATAAATGTTCAAAAAAGTATTCACGTCGTTACGAATACCCTAATGGAATGCGTGCGAATGTGCTCACAACCTGACTGTAAAGCAGTCAACTACAACGAGGCTGAGAGGGCATGTGAAACAATGGGATTCGATGAATATTACAAAATGTCTAGAACAGTGGGGAAAGATGAAAAGTGGGCACATGCTGTCAAGAATGGTGAGAAAAATGTTGATTATTTCCTTTTTCTTTTGCGTTCAGCTATATTTAACAAAAGGGATATTTTTAAAAAATAATACTAGAGGGCATTAGGTGGCTGATCATACTTTCACGTCTCTGCGATGCCTTTTTGTTTCTTTGATCAATGCTACCAGCCGTTTGGTTAGAAAATCTTGATTATTTCCATATCGTTAAGTGTTAAGAAATTTCAAAAAAGATATTATTAAAAAGTAATACTGGGGTATTTGGGGGCGGTCCTCACTTTCCCTGATTAAATGTTTCTACAATGCATTATTTGTTTCATCGAGTCCGTTCTCTTGCAATAACCAAATGCTGATAGGCAGTGGTTTTCTAACAAAATGAAAATATTTTTCATCTATTTCCCATATTACGTCTCTAGATAACTTGACAAATGGGGGTTCTTTCTCTTATAGCTTTTGAAGGGTCTGCTAAGACCATTCAGTTAGGCTTCGAATTTGAATTTGCCAATATTTGGGGTTGTCATGGAAGAATTAGAAATCAACAACACTACTGACATTCTAGTGTAATTCAACGAACCATGAATAAATACAATAAATGTCCATGTGCAGTATGGCAAGTGATTTTAGACAGTCATATCTTTCACTATGAGTACTTTGTAATGTGTTTTCCTATATATTTCCAATATGTTTTCCTTAAAGTGAAGTCCCTGTGATAGTAAAATAGCAATCCGACTCTGTGAAAAATTATGGATTAGGACCCCATTTTATCACTTTTTAAAAAAATGTAAGGCTTATTTTCTAAAAAGAGGATCTTGTTTTTCTCAATTAAAATATATCAAAAGCTTCTTCAAAACTATATTAACAACTTCTGAAAAGGGGATGGGTATTGGAATGCGATAAAGTAAAAACACATTTCCCATGTTATTTTCCCTTAGGGAAAACTCATACTATCCATTGTTTTCAGCATGATTTTGGTCATCCAAAATTGATATCTTCAAAACTAGACTTTCAATACCATTCTACTTTTGAAGATGTTTTAGACCCCTTGTCGAATAATCTTTTCATGCAATGAAAATCAGAAATAGAAGATCCTCTTTTGAGCAAAGAACATTTTGAAAAAATTGTTGACGTGGGGTCCCTATTCATAATTTTTCGAAATGTTCGATTGATATTTTTATCATCATGGGTACTTCACTTGAAACAAAACATATTGTTTTTAATAAAAATCACTGTATTTATGCCCAGAAAGTACTCATGGTGAAAGATATGACTGTCTAAAATCAATTGCCATACCAACCTTTTGAAACATTGATGAGATTAGATGAATAAAATATAAATCGATGAGCAAATTAAATTGTTAAATTATTAAAAATGCTAGAAATACAAATATTCCATATCAAATGGCCTGCGATAGCAAAGGAACAATGACTTAACGATACCCGCACCCATTTTTTGTAGAATGCCCGGGGGAATCATTCAAAGGTTTATACCCAGGGTCCTGCTACTTTGTGAGTAATACAAACATTATGAACTGGACAGCAGCGAGAGAGAATTGTCAAGCCATGGGCTCCGATCTAGCTGTACTTGATAGTATGGATGAACTGAATACTCTGCGCAGAGTATTTCCGAATGGTAAGGACCTTTTGTGTGCTATGTCTTAAGTTTCCGGATTTCGAAATGTAATCGTATTTTCTTAGAGACATGCTGGGTCAACAACGGACGTATTCACTATATCCAAACCTTGATACTGTAACGATGTCTGGGAAAATGTATTGTATGTATGTATGTATGTATGTATCTTTTATTTCCCAATTTGAAATTGGAGTTTTTAAACATAAGCACATTTATATATACACGTTTACATGAACATTATTTACATTACATTTGGTATAAAATAAATATATAAAGTTACGTAGGATACGGTGGAGTTAAATCAATGTCCCCCAGCCTTATAATTTTGATGATGTATTTGAAGGACACTTCTAGACATAAATCGCAGAGGTCGGCTTGCACCATAGCACTAACGTTGTCGAGGTTTAAGGATGCGTTACCCGAGATTGCTCTGATGTCATTGATGAATACTTGTCTGTGTTGTTTGAAGAATTCGCACTTCAGTAAGGCATGATTTAGTTGATCTTGGTAGAACATTCCACATTTATCACATAGTGTGTTTATTGATGTTACCGGAAGTGCTACTGCTTTGGCTACAATATGGGCTACAGTCAATAGTCTAGGTTTTTGAACTGCTACTCTCCATATTGTGAGCTTTTTGACTTTAGTGATAGGTATTCTTATATCGTGTCGTGGAACTGAAAGGTTTTCATTGTAAAGTTGCACTTCATATTTGCAAATATTTCGCCATAATTCCTTTTTTTGGAAAGTAGCCGTCGTGGAGATAGTTCTCAAAAAAGCTTAAAATATTGTATTTTCTAAGAATAGATACGATATCAGGAATGAACCCTTTTTGTCCCATGTTGTTCAAGTCGCACATATGCGCTCTCAGAAGAAACATCTTCTTGGCTGCCGCGTTTTGATGCAAGTGGCAAAGTTGGCCCAGGAAGGATAGTTTCCTCAGATCTATAGTGGCTTGTATGTTGTTGATGCCGTCTGCGAGAGCGTAGAGTATGTCCGGGTGAGTGTGTCTGTGGAGTTCGAGTTTCAGGATGTATCTCAGTGCAGTTTCTAATTGCGTCAAGTTTGTCTTAGTTAGGTTGGTCCAGAGCTCACATCCATTTATTGCAGATGGTATGCATATGGTTTTAATCAACTTTATGCCCGTTGTTGGATTGAGCCCCTTGGGATGCACTCCAACGCCTACTAGAGATGCGAAAGAGCCTTTCATGATCACGGTGTATAACCCAAACGCTCCTACATGCACGACGGAGCGTTTCATTTACGCGAAAACGCTCCGGAGCGAAATAAAATGGCGGCTAATGAAGATTCCACTATGACCGTAAGTATTGTTTCTCTCGTTTCTCTTACATATCATATGTTATGGTGAAATATTATGTACCATTCGATGAACAATACCGTGAGCAAAGATCTTATTTATTCAACTTCTGGTGGTAAACTGTTATTTGCTTGATCAAAGCTCCGTAGTGTAGATCGAACGAATCTGAAGATGACGATTTGACCACAAATTACGACTTAAACTAGTATTTCTATGAAAACGTTAATCTTTCTGTTAAAGTAGTAGATCACAAACTCGTATATTCTTATTTCCTAAAATCCCAGTCCAAATCCATTACTTGTTCTCGAAAAATCGCTTGTTTTCCTCAAAACGCTCCGTCGATTTAGAACACAATTTTAGAAACGCTCTTACCATTTTGTTTTGATATCATTTTCAGATTATTAGAGAAGAGTTCCGAATTGAATCTATCTCTCAAAAACGTGTTGTACTTGTTAGGCAAATTGAAACATCTGAACCTGGTGGTGCTATACGTGCACCTAGCTGATTTAAGCCTACATTAGATGATGTCATGCCTACATGTGTGCTAAATCATAAAACTATAGAAAAAAAACTAAAATTTATATGTGAATTAATCTTTCTTCTTTTGATGCCAAGTGGTATAATAGATCTTTTCTTTCTCTTCCTGAAAAGGAAAGGCAAGCTATATATTTCCTAAACTGATCTAGACTACCGGAGCGTTTCCAGTTCACTGTGTTAACCAGATCGGAGCGTTTCTTGAATATGAGAATGACATCATTTTTCAGACTGGATTTTCGGTCATCAAATCACTATTACGATGATGTATGGTGCGTTGAAGCATTGGAATTTGACTAAAATATACGTTGGTTCTCTAATCTTGGCTCAACTAATCACATGTATCGACAAAAGGGGTTTTGACCGGTAGAATGACAAATACGTTTTTGAATTTTGATAACTATACTGCTCCGTACAGCTCTTCCTAATTGCTTCAAACGTCAACAGCCAGCCAAGTACAACATGAATATCACACCCATCGAATGGTATACTCGAAATATGGAACTCATACCTCTTATTCCCATTATTGGGGAAATCGTCAGACAGCTCATCATTCCCGCCAGCCAGTTTTCCTACTCCGGAGCGTTTCTTTGTTTAATTTCAGTAATGAAACGCTCCGTCGTGCATGTAGGAGCGTTTGGCTTATACACCGTGATGATATGACAGGCTTTATTCGAGATGCTATTATTACTTTGTTGGTTACTGTACGTGTTTCCTAGGTGTTTTACCTCAGATACTTCCTTTAATTCCCCTGCGCTAGTGGTCCATTTTCGAGATTGAGTCATAATATTATTAGTTGCCTTTGTTTCACCAAAGGTAATGACAGTGGATTTTGACATATTAAATAAGAATCTCCATTTCCGGGAGTAACCTATTGCAATGTCTATTAGTGCTTCTAGATTTTCTTTGGAATTTGCGAGGAGACAAATGTCGTCTGCGTAGGTAGGTGCAGTACATGGGACATCGCATATAACTGACCCAACTTTTGAAGCTTCAAGCACCTGCAGGAGACCGTCAATGTATACATTGTACAGCCATCCGGAAAGGACCCCTCCTTGACGGACAGATTGACTGATTGACCGAGCCGGATACTAGACATGAAACGGAATGTGCTAAATTCAGTGCTTCGTACGGGAATCGAGTCTTAAGGGCTAGCCACTACAGCTAGGCTATAGTCTGTAGAACATGAATTCAGCGTGACGGAATCACACATTTGACGAAAAAAACGACATTTAAAAGGCCATCTGTCAAATATACAGGGGTTTCTTGATCTTATATGGAATCTCCTAGAAACGGAGTTGTTTTGTGTTTCTATAAAAACGTCAATTTATGAATGTGCGTACATTATTTTTATTGTTACGGTTTTTTTCTCCTCCTCTCACTTGCATTTTTTCACAAAATGACCCCTACTACCATCGTCTTTCATTTCCTGCTCATTTTGACCTGTAGGAGTGCTCGTTTTGACTTAATTCTGTCGTTAAGACAATAGTTCAACGAAATAAACCCGTTCGTGTGTTTTCACGACAATGTTCTGACACTGTAATGTTGAAATCATTATGCCGTGACGGAATCACAATTTTAAGCGTGATGGAATCACGAGACGAAAATTAATAAAAAGAAGTTGGCTTTGAACCGTGTAGGAAATATCACGATTAACATTTTGTGCAATGATAAACTATTCAATGGAATATTATCATCGAATATATCGCCGTGTAGGTCGTACGGCATCAGGAACCATTACACTCTTTTGAATTCCCCTGTCAAAAGTGACATTGTTTAAATCAATGGGAATTTAGGTGATTCCGTCACGTTTGGTTCATCATTCATCAAAGTACCACGTGAGAAAATAGCAATACTGATCCTAGCATTATAGATAATACTTTAGAATTTGTATTCATCCATTGAGGCCATACAAGTAATATCAAGTACAGTGTAAATGATTTAAAATATCATCGTTATAGTCATATCCCTCATTGTATGCACCTTGTGAAGTGTTACAGTCATATCTCTGTGGGGTGACTAAATGTGATTCCGTCACGAGCAGTTTGAAGGGATAAGGAGGTCGTGTGTTCCTTAAACTTCACAGAAAGGAGCGTTACATGTTATCTAAAGTAAATCCATAATAGCATAGTAAGAAAGGATATCTCTTTTTATCCTACACTTAGTGTACTTAATGTATAATAACATTAAAAAATAAATTTGATATGTATTGGCAAAATGAATATCCGGAGGATATCGCAACGATATACTACGGGCGGAGGATATCGTGACGATATACTCCGGAAAAGCCAATTTGCGGAGGATATTATGACGATATACTGCGCTTGTTGATTTCCCGCCAAATTGACTCTATTTGGCATGAAATTCAATTTGTAATGATATATGCATTTAGTACAATCCTTGTAAGTGTAGGATAATAAGAACATCCTATGTTTTTTTTCAGAATATCATTTAAATCTACTCGGTCATATTGATATATGCACTCGTTCGCTTCGCTCTCTTGTGCAGATATCAATATTATCACCTCGTAGATAAAAATGATATTCCTCAAAATCATAGGATATCCTATAAATCTGGAAAAAGTTGACAAACTTTTTTGCTCTTTTCGTGACGGAATCACAAAACGCATAATTGGGAGGTTCAGATTTGATCATGTTTTCAAACATCAAAAATTAATTTTTGCCATTAGCTTAAAGATATCAAATATAACTCCACATATAGGATACAGAAATACTTCATAGACAAAATGAACAAAGAATATTAGTTTGATTATCGATAAATAATATGTTAAGAATCAGATATGCAAAACACACCACCATCTTGTCTTTTTGCAGACAGCTACTTCCGGTTTATGACAAGCAACTTTATCGCATATATTTTAAATACCATGATAAAATAATTGTATTCTCATTTTTAAATGAAAAATTGTATATCTAAATATTTATTTTTCTATTCTAGTTTTCTGAATGATACTTTGAATTTTTTGCAAATGTGGCCTCTAATCATGGAATTCATGAGAAGCGAGTTGCCATCGTGGGTCATTACAATACGTTTCTCAAAATCAATTACTTTGAATTTAAGAAAAAATATCGTACCAGATTCTGACACGATATTACAACAGTTGATCATTTAACGTTGGAAATCATGTTTGTTCAAAGTCCCAATAATTCTCACAATTTATCTTTAAAATAGCATTATTTTCTCAAGATTTATTTTTAGCAATCCCGATTTTCCTCGATTTAGTTTTAGTACCTCCGATTTTCTCTGATTTCTTTTTTTAGTAATCCCGATTTTCTCTCGACTCCCCTCCCCCCGATTTCTTTTTAAACAACCCCGATTTTTATTCAAAAAATATCCCCATTTTTACTTTTTACTTGAAAAGTGTGGGATATTCATTCATTTTTTCATCAGGTCCTGGTAAGTACATGTAGGTGTGAACGCATTTAATGCAAACATTTACAAGCTGCTTCCAAGAAAGACACATTTTATTTGAGAGCGTTGATGCAACATTCCGTCACCGAGCACGACAGAATGAAATAGCTGTCCTCGTGTCGTGTCCTTCAGTGATATTGTACATTGTAGTCCAGTGGCGTAGCGTGGGTATTTTGTGAGTATACGCCACGAGTGAGCGAAGCTAACAATCTTTGAAGGGGGTTTGTCAGTGGGTTTTCTCCCCATGATAATTTGAAAATGAGATTGCAGTTGAAGCGTTTTGGAGCGTTTTAAAATACGAAAATCGGACTTAATATGGACTAATTTTATCCATGTTTAAAGTGTGGGCCATTCAATCTAAAAATCAACTTTTCTCTAAATTTTGAGAGTACGCCATGGCGTTTTATGCGTATATGACGCTACGCCATTGGTAGTTTTATGCGTTGTGTTTTCCTAATATAGGACTAGATTGAACACATTCCTAGTTAGTACAAGGCATTAACATGTGAAATATCACTACCAGCCATTTGTTACAGACCCCGACCGCCGAACACCAACCGCCAAACACTGTCCACAAAAAGTCGGAGACCATTGCATAGAGCTGCAATTGAACTATTGGAATAAATGACGTGATATTTTCAGGAACCAGATCATATTGGCTCGGGGCAACAGATGCTGTTAAAGAAGGGTCCTGGAGGTGGATAGGTATCAACACAACTATAAGCGATGACTTTCCTGCATGGACGAATGGTAGTAGACAAGCGACCGATACCAATGAAAAGAATTGTTTGGTTGCATGGCCCTATATAGCAAATGAATTTCATGTGAAGGCCGAGGATTGTTCATTTGAACAGGGATTTCTATGCGAATCTCCTGTGTACTGATACAAGTTGATACAAATTCCGCATGTGAAAAAACATTCTCTGAGGTTTTATTTTATACTATATTGCATATTTGAAAGTTCTCTCCCATTCCATGCAAATCCCGGTATTGGTATTCGTTTAAATTGATTTTCCTGATTTCGTCTTGTGTAATTGTAATTTAATATTTCATTATGTGAAATCATTATTATTGTCTAAATAATGTATATGGTCTTTGAAATGCATTCGGCGATGTAAGATCTAAATCGAAATCATTATTTTAATAAAAAGTCAAGAGTTTCAACTTTCCAAAAGTCGGCACAGTGACATTTCATTAATTATATATTTATTCAATTCAAAAAGTATACAGTAGTCGCTGCCTACATCCTTGCTGCAAGGGTATTTTACAAGTATATAATTTAAGCATAAATGAAGTTCTTTGAAGAAGGATGGCTGCCTAGCGCACTTTGCATTATAGGCTAGCATTTCACAGTGACATGCATATGGAATGATGAGAGCAAAAATGAACTAAAATTGTAAGAATTAAGTGAAAACGCAAAAAATTAGGCTGTAATATATTACCAGCGAAGTTGAATATTTACTTTTTATGTCCCAACCACATAGCGTGGGGCCATATTGTCGGCCTAGGCGCGTCCGTATGTCTGTCTGTCCGTCCGTCCGTCCGGCAGTTTTCTCTAAAACCGCTACAGATATCACCTTCGAATTTTCAGGGATAACTTATGGGTGCATACAGATGTGGATGAAAATCTTTTAACTCGATACCTACATGTACATCCTGTCGGCCATTTTGAAGTCAAATGCTAAAATCCTTGTCTGCAAATTTTCAGAAAAACGGCTTCATAGTTGCTTTTAAAACGTTAACATCTTGTTCAGCTCACTACATTCTACATCTGATTAGGTTTTGATAGCTCAGTCAAGGCAGCCATTTTGAATGTCTCTGGATTTTTCCATCCTAAAATCTTGTCTGTAAAGTCTTGTCTACGCATTTTCAGGTGATCCATTTGTAGATCAATTTCAACTTTTCAGGGATGATTCTTAGTATGAAAATCTAGATCTGATTAGTTTTTTGGCATTCTGGGTAAATGTCAAGGCAGTCATTTTGGATTTTCCGTCCTAAAAACGTGTCTGTAAAGTATGTCAGGGATGATTCTTAGTATGAAGATCTAGATCTGTTGAGTTTTTTGGCATACTTGATAAATACCAAGGCAGCCATTTTGGATTATCCGTCTTAAAATCTTGCCTGTAAAATCTTGTCTACGCGTTTTCAGGTGAACCGTTTGGTAGATCAATTTCAAATTTTCAGGGATGATTCTTAGTATGGAAATCTAGAACTCTTTAGTTTTTTGGCATTCTGGGTAAATGTCAAGGCAGCCATTTTGGATTTTCCGTCCTAAAATCTTGTCTGTAAAGTCTTGTTTACGCGTTTTCTGGTTAACTGTTTCACGGATCGAATTCAAGTTCTCAGGGGTGGTTCTTAGTATGAGAATCTAGAACTGACTAATTTTTTGGCATTCTGGGTAAATTTTAAGGTGGCCATTGTGGATTTTCCGTCCTAAAATTGTGTTGGTAAAGTCTTGTCTACTCATTTTTAGGATAACCATTTGACGGGATCACCCATAGGTTGTACACATTGCATTTGTGTTCTTGTAATTTAAATGTTAATATATCAATTGTTGGCCATGAAATGTTCTTTATTTGAAATGTGCACGTGTTTTATATGTCTCTGCCCACACATAACAAAAAATATTTGGTTATTTTGCCAACTTTTCTTGAAGGTATATTCATCTTGCAATCATATACAGTACACAGGAAAATAACGCAACTAATAATGAATATTTGTATATTATATAATTCAATTACATACAAGTTGACATACAAAATAATAAATTGAAGTAACCGATTTTATTTATTGAATTTCACTGCACATGACTTTTATAAGTTAATAAACATTTTGTCTCCACTAAGAAACAGTTTTTACAATTCAGTTTTACGGAGAATTTTATGGCTGAAAAAAGATTGCATTACACTGTTGCACCCAAAGTACCAATAATGTTTCGATGAACAAAGAAGGAATTTTCCTGCATATTATATGAATACGTATTGATTCTCTCTTGACGTCCTGTGTGATTTACAAGTATGTAATGTATCAAATGTTTACCAACAAAAAGTGTTTATCAACACAAGTGGTTACCATAGCTATTAATTACACGGAGGACCAAATACAAGTGGATATCTTTGTAACCGATTTTATCAAATTGGAACTGGAGTGAAGTAATTGATAAAACGAAGAATAGACCTAATAAAAAGGATGCCTTGTACAGTGAGACCTGTATATCCGAACACCTTTCAATCTGAACACTTCTCTGGTCCCATTTTTCCTCCCAAATGACTCCCATGTTAAAAACCCTTGAAATGTGAACACCTCCCAATTTGAAAAGTGACCAGCCATATTTTGAAAATTGACCTGTCATATAATATAAAAACTTTTGAAAAAATGAACACCTCATGGTTTCAATCATAATGGTAATGGGTCTTTCTGACTAAATTCATTTGAATCGGGATTTTCAAATTACTCGAATACCATAAAGCTGGAAATGTAAATATTTATTGAGAATATGTTCACATTTCTTCAAAATACAGATTCTTGCGAATGCAAAACCTCAAAATATGTACACCTCATTATCCAAACGCTTATATACACTTATATACTTGATAATGTTGAACCTGTGATACACAGGACTGTGAGGATCGATTTTGACTATTCCAGATTATTTGAGAGTAATTATAAGTGCTCTATCGTGTATGAAAACTATTTTTTATTTCAAGAGTATTGGTTATCAATTTTACTTTTTCTTTAACATATATTATTATAATGAAAGCCCGTGTTATGAGTGAATTAAATATCCCATAGTCTTGTGGTCTTAGATTGATAATGGTTCCAAAAAGATAGCGGGGTTATAAGACATTGTTTAATGATGCGTTAAATCACAATTTGAAACATTTAGTGTTTGTTTTAAATTCCGAGGTTTTCAATGTGATAGAACCTGTACTCCTAGGTATTTCATGTTCTTGCTCGGTTTTTAACACCTTTAAGTCTTTTTCATTTGGCTCATATGCATTCATCGATCAGGATTCCAGAGGAGCTCAGATACCAAGTGATAACATATAGACATTAACATGAAACATGTGCACCACCTGACATTTGTTACAGACGCCAAACGCCAACCGCCGACCACAAAAAGTTTTAGACTATAACAATATTACAATACTTCTGGAGGTGACATAAAAACCATGCAAAAACACAGTACATTTCTCTGAAAATGCACAGTTAAATAAGGTTCACAAACCACAAACACTTGTTTATGTTTGATATAACATTTATACAAATCTTTATTAAATATCACAACCACTTATGAATCATACAAAACCTTACAACATTTCAAAAAAAATTATACAATAATCAAAATCGCAAACTTTCTCAATTGAGAAGGGTCAATGTATTACCTGTTAAACTTATTTATTCCATAAGGCCCCATGAAATTAATCTTCTGTTTAGCAGTGCTTTTTCAAGGAAATAACTATGTGATCAGGCTTTGTTCTACAATTTATCATTCTCTTCTTTAGAAATGCAAAAAGAACTGAAAATGAAATTAAATTCTAAAATGTTTCCCAAATGGAGGTTTTCATCCTCTGTAACGCAGGGTTGCAGAATCATACACAGAGTTCCTTCTTTCTTCAGAAACTGTATGTATAATTCTGTAACCCTGCGATACGAAGGGAGGTTATTCACTGCCAATGTAAGTACAGCTCAGTGGACACATACTTCATAAGATTATTTTGTTTCTCAGCAACATCTGATAAATCATAAGCCAATATGCGTTTAGGCCAAGGCGTTCATCAATGACAGCATTCTCCAATGACATAGGTCATCTTGCATGCTTCTATCTTTCATTAATGGAACACAATGAATGCATTTGGAGAAAGGTGAAATTGGAAAATACCCCTCATCAATTATAAGCTAATACGGCTGTACTTCGAGTGCCATGTTAGATTTTGAAACTTATCAAAATCCACATAGCTTTCGCAGGAAGTAAGGCTGTACTATATTTTCCGTACATGTTTATACTTCTTGATGGCACCATGCATGATACACTTGTAGTCTTGCACATGTTAAGAATCATATAAAAACAGTAATAGTAACTGCACATGAAGATGTAATTCAAACAACTTTACACTAAAATATGGATAACACATTTAATGCAAAAATTAAAGTGGCAATGAAGGTTAAAACAAGTCAAGGGTAGCTTTTTTGAAAAATTCACATTTTTGGCTCATAACATTTCTCCCTGTGCGTGATTTCTTAAAAATCAAAGACTTCAATTTATTTCATAAAATTCACCTTTTCAACAAACCCTGTCACCTTTTGGTAAATCAAAGAAGTTAAGGTGTAGATTGATGATGTCATTGGCTGTAGGTTGCAATTTATTTGATGAAAAATAGGATAAACTTAAGGTGTATTTTTGTATGACCGCGGAGCAAGTGAATTTGTCTTATTCAAGCTGTTTTATTCAAGAGTATCACGCAATCTAACCACAATCTAGCTAATTTTGGGGATTAAGATCTTGCTCGTGGTCAAAAAAATCATGTACAAAAATGCAGCATTAGGCCTAATTCATTAATCATTTTGAAAAGTACAATGACATCACCAGTCCAGGCAATATATCATAGCTTCTTTGATCTACCAAAAGACGGCAGGGTTATTGGAAGGGTCTAATTGCTTTGATGTTCAAGGTTGTTAGAATCTGGGATTGTTGGGCATTTGAACCTTTATTTATAGGCCTACCCATTTTTGATCAGCAATATCAAATCTTTTTTAGAAATCATTTGCGATTGCAAGGATCACATTGTCATATTTCTTGAAAGATTTTTTCGAATGTGATACACTATCTGTTCTAAAGTGTCACTTTAAAGGATCAATTAAGACCATGATGTAAATGGTAATGACCTATTATGTTGAAATAATAGCTACAAACTATACATGGTGTACAAAATGGCTTTATGAGCACCCTGTTTCATCCATAGAGCCAACAAATGGCAGTTTTCAATTAAACTCAAGTAATTTGGCTTGATTTATGCCCAACATATAATGATATAGTGATATACCATTGAAAAGATGGCTCAAAACCAAATGTTATAAAACAGTGTTGTTGTACATATGCATAAAGGTATTTCAGTCTAGAATATTTTCAAAATACCTACTCAATTTCTTTCCAATGATATGCTTTCCAATGATATGTGGCATTAGCATATAACACCTTCCAGGAAAGAGAATCCTATTCATTCTTTTATCATCTAGATTTACTAATTTCATTATGGCAAATTGGTTACTGGCCTTCTAGGTAAAAATTCCAACAAAAAGTGCAAACATGTAAAATTCAGAATACTTGATAATTTATTAGAGCACACAATTAAATGCTCAGTGAGTCAAATTTCCAATTGTAAAATAATTCTGTGTCCAACAACTAAGGAAATCAAACAGTGCAACTGTTTTTTTATTGAACAGAGGAATATAGCTCTGAGAAAAAGTTGTTTTTTACAGTTTAGGTAAAGTTTCATTATCAAACTCCATCTCCTACATAACCTCATACATTCAAGTATAATATATATACACATGTATTTTTATTTATACACATGTATTCGTATTTTCTGACTATAACCTCATACACATAATATCCAGGTACCGTATGTGTTATTTCATATGTTCTGATAAAGAAACTGAAACTTTCAATTTGAAAATAGTTTTGAACACATTTGTTATTGGGGGGGGGGGGGGGGGGGTGTCCCTGAAACTTTCTGCAAGACTATTGATTAGTCATTTTTATAATAAAAAGTTGAGAATTCCATTATCAGAAACCATATTACTTAACACCCTGGTTATAAAAGTACTGTACACATAAATGTAGACATAAAGATATAAAATGTTACATGGACCAATATATACATATTTGTTCATTCTCAAAAAATTACAATTTAACAGGATTTCCATGCTCCACATATATTACATATAATTGGCACACTGAGCACCATTCACAAATATAAAATACATCATCTGAGGGTTGTTCAAGAAATACTAATACAAGTGCTCTCATTTGTATCAGTACTTATTGAACGGCCCTCATTAACACCACGGTGGGCTATTCTATGGCCATATTTCTTGTCAAAAAAAGTCTACATGCTTTTAATCTCCAAATTGGGGTTTCGGTTTTTACTTGAATACCATTGGCGAAACTGTTTAGTTTATGCTTGATTTGAAATCAAGTTGCAAATTGCACAAAGTGAATACCTAAGCTAAATCAGATTTTTCTTTTTATATTTATCATAATTTACTTTGCAGAATCCTCTGAAGAGACATCTATTTAACATGTTCAAAGTTATTTCAACACCTTAATATCCCACCATACATAAATACACAGAATTAAGATTACACAGACATACTTAACGTATATGCTAGTTTTTGGACCATCCTGTCCTTGGATGTCCCTGTCCGTGTAGAGGTAACGATAAAAAATAATACAGTCATGTGATACATGCGAGTAAGTATGAAAATATACACATAGAGTCACATACATTAATAAAAAGTGAGTGTGGTTATTGTTCTTAAAGAAAACATTCTTTCTCCTGTTTTTGGAATCATTATAACTTACAATTTGTTCGCATATCATAGTTCATTTAAATACTGTTAGTCAACTTGATTTGGCGCAATTTAATTTGACAAATAAGGCAAAATTGGAAAATTGGCGGAGATTTAATTTGGCGTGTTTTGATGTGTGATAATAGACCAAACAGCATTCACCTTTTCTTATCCAAGACAGAATTGACATACTGTCGTAGTAGTCTTCTAAAACTTTGCGCTGTTCAAATATTAAAATTGGTGCAGATATCTGAATTTACATACACATTTACACTGGACGAAAAAAATCCCAGGGATTTCTGAAAGATTGCAATACGCCAAATTAAATTGGTCGCCAAATTAAGTTGACCAACAGTACACAATCTTAAAAACAGACCCATGTATATTTTCAACTGATGTAAGTGCATAAAAGCCATATCATTAGATATAACATAGAGAATGCCAGGACATGCAATAAGGCACAACTGACCATCAGTGCGATTTCCACTATATTTGAGGTCGTTCTCCTTCTCAATTGATTTGAGAACATAGATTATGTTGGAACTAGAAAAACAGCAACTCCCCGGAGAAGCAAATCCTACCAAGTAAAACCTATTTTGGCGAATCATTCTGAACATTTCATGATGGAAAAAATAGGCAGTAGTATTGTCTCTATTTGGCAAAATCAACACCAATGCCCTGATATGATAAGCTCATGAGGCATCAGCCTTTAAAATTTGAACAAAATCTGTCAACTGGTATTTGAGTTATCATCTGGAGAAATAGACAGATGGCCTCCTCTATATCCCTACTCCAACTTATTTTGGTGGGATAACCATTATTTTGTAATACGAGGGGTGTCCAAAAAATAACTGTCACATTGGAAGCTGCACCCTGAGAATTTTGCTTCATGGTCATGTTTCACTAAAATGTTGGTTCAACAAGAAGGAATAAAACTGCAACCTTAATACTGTAAATAATTATAGGACATCCCTTTGTGTAATTCCCAGTATTGACATGCTTTCTCTGAACATAACTATGATGAAGAAGAGGGGTAACCCCAGAATGACCATGTTACCATGACAACAATGTACAACAATGTTCTTGATTGGTCGTGTGTGACATCACACATAAAAAGCACACATATGATTGATCTATTATTGCTGCTTCAATAGTGGATCACATTCTTTAATATTCCTTGGTCGTTGTTTAACAAAAAAGTCACTCCTGAGCAGTCTATAAAACAGCACAATATTCATTATGGTCATGACGGCAAGTCCTATGCTCCCACAAGTGTAGACGACAAAGGGAATTAAGTCTTTATTGATGACGAGCCATCGCGTCATCCAAGCCAGTGTGGCTATTCTAAATACAATATAGGTACCTGGAAAATAATATGGGGTGTGTCATAAAATTAGGGTAAATTAAGAATTTGGTGTTGAGGAGGAAATAAACTTCAAAATTCAACAAAGTGGTTTCATCTTTAAATGAAAGATTGATTCATCTTTGATTTCTGGGTTATATCCAAAGTGGTTCCATCTTTAAATGAAAGATTGGTTCATCATTGATTTCTGGGTCATTTCCCCTCTTAACTTGGTGATTTTGGTATAGATGGCAGACCAAAACCCATGTTAACTGTCAATTCCCATTGTATTGCATATCATTTTAATATGACTACAATTAACTTAAATACTGTGCAATCAAATTAAAAACAATTAACAAATTACAGAATATTAAATGTTGTTCTTACATGAGCGAAAGTTCTACATGAAGTGCATATATATTATATCTGAGCTTTCTTTATTCTATATAGGGGCTCAATCTATATTGCCTGACATTAAAAACTCCCAAAATAATAAAATAAAAAACAGCCTGCATTATGTACCTTACCTCAGTGAACTATAATATACCAAATTAATTTTTCTGATACTACAGCTTGAAAATCTGCCCAACTAGGAAGTATTGAGATACGAGTTCCAAATATCTGAGATAAATGTATCGCAAAGAACTTCATGGGTTAATAAGTGTTTATGGGTCACTCTCAAAATGACAAATTAGGATTCACAAATCTTTCAACATTAGGATGCCAAGGGAAATGGACTCATAAGTACTCTGTTTTCTTTTTTGTAGGAGTTTCTAGCAATCCAATATAGAGATTGAGCTCCCTTATGAAGAAAAGATTCACTCTGGTACATACCTAAGTTTACAAGGCTATTTAGTCTATATGTTGAATTGTCTTTTTTAAAGCCAAGTATTTGTAAAAGCTGACGTAGATGCAAAAAAGCACTATTCAGCTCCACCATGAGGGCCAGGCATGCATAGCCAACGTAAATATATGACATGATCGCAATTCCAAAGCATATGATTATCTGAAAAATAAGAAAATACAAATCAAAAATGAAATCAGTGCTGTATATTAAATGTGAGGACAACTCAGATTTGAACTTATCTGTAACAGCTCAGTGACAGGCTGGGTTGACAAAATCCTGATGGCTAATCTGGCTCGTATAAGGGACTGAATTTGGTATTCATGAATTTAGTTTACAAAATAAGTTTGCCTGGAACAAGGTGCTATATACCCCATGACCTTTATCTTTTCACCAATTCACATGTGCACTATAGATTTAGTCATGAATTGTTATATAATTACAGTCATTGCTGCTGCTAAGAGCTGGCCTTATTAGTACCTTTTATCTTGAAATTTAGTGTAATTATCTTATCATTCAAGGCTAACATAAGTAGCACAGGGGCCTTTGATGGATTCGACTCGGATTAAAAAACATTGGGAAATACCAATGAAAATTTCAAATAAAATGTTAACAGTATTTTGATGAAAAATATCACCTTCAAATGAAAAAGTGCATGAAAGTGCATTATAAGAACATATTTAGCCACAGTGTTCAATGATTATGAACATCATGATATCATAGTACAGAATAAGATGACAATAGACTTAGGAACTTTAACTTTACAACCTCCTCAGGCAAAGTACATATGTAAATCATTCCTTACCATAATTCAATGGTGCATTAAAATGAACATCATGAGTCAAAGTACAGAATAAGATGACAATAGACTTAGGAAATTTAACTTTACAACCTCCACAGGCAAAGTACATAAGGTAAATCATTCCTTACCATAATTCAATGGTGCATTAAAATGAACATCATGAGTCAAAGTACAGAATAAGATGACAATAGACTTAGGAAATTTAACTTTACAACCTCCACAGGCAAAGTACATAAGGTAAATCATTCCTTACCATAATTCAATGGTGCATTAAAATGAACATCATGAGTCAAAGTACAGAATAAGATGACAATAGACTTAGGAAATTTAACTTTACAACCTCCACAGGCAAAGTACATATGTAAATCATTCCTTACCATAATTCAATGGTGCATTAAAATGAACATCATGAGTCAAAGTACAGAATAAGATGACAATAGACTTAGGAAATTTAACTTTACAACCTCCACAGGCAAAGTACATAAGGTAAATCATTCCTTACCATAATTCAATGGTGCATTAAAATGAACATCATGAGTCAAAGTACAGAATAAGATGACAATAGACTTAGGAAATTTAACTTTACAACCTCCACAGGCAAAGTACATAAGGTAAATCATTCCTTACCATAATTCAATGGTGCATTAAAATGAACATCATGAGTCAAAGTACAGAATAAGATGACAACAGACTTAGGAAATTTAACTTTACAACCTCCACAGGCAAAGTACATAAAGTAAATCATTCCTTACTATAATTCAATGGTGCATTAAAATGAACATCATGAGTCAAAGTACAGAATAAGATGACAATAGACTTAGGAAATTTAACTTTACAACCTCCACAGGCAAAGTACATAAAGTAAATCATTCCTTACCATAATTCAATGGTGCATTAAAATGAACATCATGAGTCAAAGTACAGAATAAGATGACAATAGACTTAGGAAATTTAACTTTACAACCTCCACAGGCAAAGTACATAAGGTAAATCACTCCTTACCATAATTCAATGGTGCATTAAAATGAACATCATGAGTCAAAGTACAGAATAAGATGACAATAGACTTAGGAAATTTAACTTTACAACCTCCACAGGCAAAGTACATAAGGTAAATCACTCCTTACCATAATTCAATGGTGCATTAAAATGAACATCATGAGTCAAAGTACAGAATAAGATGACAATAGACTTAGGAAATTTAACTTTACAACCTCCACAGGCAAAGTACATAAAGTAAATCATTCCTTACCATAATTCAATGGTGCATTAAAATGAACATCATGAGTCAAAGTACAGAATAAGATGACAATAGACTTAGGAAATTTAACTTTACAACCTCCACAGGCAAAGTACATAAAGTAAATCATTCCTTACTATAATTCAATGGTGCATTAAAATGAACATCATGAGTCAAAGTACAGAATAAGATGACAATAGACTTAGGAAATTTAACTTTACAACCTCCACAGGCAAAGTACATAAGGTAAATCATTCCTTACCATAATTCAATGGTGCATTAAAATGAACATCATGAGTCAAAGTACAGAATAAGATGACAATAGACTTAGGAAATTTAACTTTACAACCTCCACAGGCAAAGTACATAAGGTAAATCACTCCTTACCATAATTCAATGGTGCATTAAAATGAACATCATGAGTCAAAGTACAGAATAAGATGACAATAGACTTAGGAAATTTAACTTTACAACCTCCACAGGCAAAGTACATAAAGTAAATCATTCCTTACCATAATTCAATGGTGCATTAAAATGAACATCATGAGTCAAAGTACAGAATAAGATGACAATAGACTTAGGAAATTTAACTTTACAACCTCCACAGGCAAAGTACATAAGGTAAATCACTCCTTACCATAATTCAATGGTGCATTAAAATGAACATCATGAGTCAAAGTACAGAATAAGATGACAATAGACTTAGGAAATTTAACTTTACAACCTCCACAGGCAAAGTACATAAAGTAAAGCATTCCTTACCACTGCATGGTGAACTAATAGTTCATAAGTTTGTCTCCCTCTCTGATATATCAACATGTCAATGCAATCATAGATTGTGTAGCCTGCAAATAGAGGAAATAAAACATAATGTAAATGCAAATATAGCATTGTTCACAAATGTTAAGCAAAAGCTTTTTGAAAATATTGCCTTCAATGATTTGTACTCTCTATTCTTTGCAACCACTTTCATTTTGATGAGGTAACTTTACGCCCCTTTGTCAAATCTGTTTTTTGCTTCCTGCCAATTTGCATGAGCTTATGATATTTCTGGTTCAACATAGTGTAGTTGGATAGAAGTATACTAAGAGCTGTTTAAGTGGAACACCTTTGGTACCTCTTAAAAGTGTTCCTCTTGGGAGGTGTTCCATTTGTAGAGGTTCATTTAACATTAAGTCAGTTGGTCTTCGGACTATAAAGCGTTCCACGAACAGAGGTGTTCCACTTTACAGTTTCCACTGTATACTAAAACCTGTATATCCCAATACCTCCCAAGTCTCAATATGAATCCTTCTTGTCCCATTTATTTAATCTACCATTAAGATTACTTTGTTAAAGAAGCTTGAAATGTGAACACCTGCCATTATGCAAACACTCTTGGCAATATACGTAAGTCCCAGGGGTGTTCAGATTAGACAGGTTTTAATGAACAGTATTTGAGGAGTCATGGAGCCCATGGAATGGCTCTCCTGAATAATTCCAAGATATGAAGTTTTCATGTATGACTGAAACGCAAACAGGTAAAGGTAGTTATGCATGATAATATTTTTTAAATTTCAACTTAACTCTGTGATTCAAAATGTGACATGTGCTCGCAATTCGTATTTGTGGCAATAAAGGATAGAAACACAATAAACTACTTTAGGATCATTCATGATTAACAACATGTTTATAAAACCAACAATGCAAAAATGCAAATTTCATCACCATAATATAACTATTGGGCCAATGTTAATCACTTGATGCATGTGTACTTAAAAACTACAGTGCATATAAATATGAACGATGAGATATTTTTGGAAAATGACTATCACAGGCAAATTAAAAAAGTTCATAATTCTATACCCACAATACAAACGCTAAACATCGAACTAATTACACTAGCCTAACTGTTGCAAGCTGTGGTTAATCCATTTCAATAATAAGCATATGATATTCCATAGTATGACATTTAACATATACAGTACTACATATTTTACAATTTAGATTACTATAAGTAAAAGTTAATTTTTGCATGTACTGCATATAGGCTGAAAGAACATCTGTCAAAAATCTATTAATTTTGAAAATTGTTCATCAGAAGAAAAAATATAGGCTTGTCCAAATGCGAATAGGAAGACAGTATTGCCCATTCTTATTCTTGACTCATCTTTCTATTTTATGACTAGTTAATTAATAGCAACTGAGAAAAAATGATATGACATCCTTTATCATGACACGTGTTGGCCCAAAGGGCATGATTGAGAGTAACACTATGCTTGAAGATGACTTACTTAAGGACAATACAGGGGCATGATAAAGATGAAGGCAATACAGGGGCATGATAAAGATGAGGGCAATACAGGGGCATGATAAAGATGAGGGCAATACAGGGCATGATAAAGATGAGGACAATACAGGGCATGATAAAGATGAGGGCAATACAGTGTTTTGGAGGAGCATAACATGATTGAAATAACTAATTATAATGTTGGTGGTAATACAAGGACATATCAAGAAGGCAAAAAGGAGCATGACTGAGGGTACCACAGGCGTATTGTCGAGCAACACAGGCCGGGGCACGATCCAATAATATTCTCTCATATCGTGTCTTCAGGCACAGGCATTTGTTCCACTTCCCTAATAAATTAGATTACAAGCAATCAGAGGGAAAACTGCCAAGATATTGAGTGTATTGACTTAGGGTGTTATGTAACCATCAGGCCACCAGTTCTCAGACCATTGGAATAAAATAATCAATACAATATCTGATATATTTAAAAATGTTCGTACATAAATATGAATGGGTATGAATGAGAATAGTTTGGTTTTATTACTTTAGTTTATTTTTGTGTTCAAACCATTTACTGCTTGGAAACAAATAGATTGAGTTGATCAATTGGGATTTAACATTTTTAGATGTACTTCTTATTGACAATTGTATCAAGACATGACACATAAGTCTAAATGATATCTATATTTTGTATTTGTTTTTCAAATACAGCATCACTTTGTTTATGTCAATGATTGTCATTTCTACAATAAGATTCCCTCCAAACAGCCACAAGGCAAAGTACTAGAGTTTATCACGCTATATCATTATCAAGAATATTAACTGGACTTTGAGTTTTGGAATTAAATCCCAAGTGCCTAGAATTTTCATCATATATCAACACAAACAAGACAATGTAAATTGATATAATTGATATTTGCAACTTTGAAAATGTCATTCTACCATTTTTCACAAATCATATTGCTCAACCCTCTCTCCCTTGCTTGTAGGAACCACTATTTTCACGAATCATATAGCTCACCCCTCTCTCCCTTGCATGTAGGAACCACTATTTTCATTAAAATCAACATTATCTCCAACATCTCATACATTTGATGCTGGCTTTGGACCAATCTTGCAATCCCCCCCCCTCTCTCCCCTCACAAGTTTACTAGACCCCTCTTATCTGCTGTTTGCCTCTTTGAAAGATCAAGACAAAGGGGGGGGGGGGGGGGCAAAGGGGGGGGGGCAGTTATCATGATGCAATCTCATACATTTACTCGATGCTGGCCTAGAAATAATATTGATCCATATATGTGGTAAATAAAATTGTCTGTTCTGCATGTTATACATGCATGTAACTTATTGATATGTGAATTGATAATATTTCTATATAGAAAGAAGACCCATATAATGTGGTGTGATCATAAAATAGATTATCCTACACTTAGTGTACTAAATGTATAACATCAAAAAATAAATTTGATATTTATTGGCAAAATGAATAACCGGAGGATATCGTGATGATATACTCCGGAAACCCCAATATGCGGAGGATATTGTGACGATATACTCCGCTTGTTGATTTCCTGCCAAATTGACTCTATTTGGCATGAAATTCATTTTGCAATGATATTATACATTTAGTAAACTCCTTGTAAGTGTAGGATAATAAGAACATTCTATGATTTTTAAATTAATTTTCTTTCTTACATGCGCACTATACAGCCAATCTGTAACAGTACCAAATGGTACCATTTTGGAAGTGAAAGTGGGAACAACCATATAGAAAGTTGTCTGTATTTCGACGACAAGCTCTTCAATTGACTCAGTGAGTTCAGAGATTTATTGTGCTGAAAGAGTGAATATGAAACTCTCTTTTAAGAAGCAAAGTTGAACAAATGCAAAGGATACCTTTATATTAAAAACATGCAGATTTTTTCCTATGGCCTATGCTTCATGGACCAATAGAACAATAGATGATATATCCTTACCATTATGTCTTATTTATCCTAGCCTAATCCAAGCTTAGCCTACAATACTGACCATATCAAGCCATACAAGTTAACAACAATACCTGAGACTATTACATTACAATATTCAGTACATTATATTGACAAATGCATTATTAGGTCCTACAATACAAATCAATAATTGAATTCAATTTGATAAGTGCATCAAAGAATTACCATAAACAGCCAACATCCATGTATTTTAAGGAAGCAATGATTTCCAAAAGCTTTTGACTACCTAGTCTTAAATCAAATCTTGTTTGTCACCCAGTCTTTTACAAATTCAGTAAAATCTGTCTTAAGTGGAATACCTTTGGTACTTCTGAAAAGTGTTCCACTTGGGAGGTGTTCCACTTGTAGAGGTGTTCCACTTAAAGAGGTTTATTTAACATTAAGTCAATTGGTCTTGGGACTCTGAAAAGTGTCCCGCTAACAGAGGTGTTCAACTTTACAAGTGTCACTTTAGTCAAATGAGTTGTAAACAAATGTTTTCAGATATTAAACACACGTGTTATAATCACTTTAAGTTGACTTTATGTTGACACTTTGTGTCAACTTTCAAAAATTTGGGTATTTCAACCTTTATCAGATCACTTTATAACAATTAATTGAATCAATTCTTAACCTTTTTCACCTATATGCACTTAATTTCAAGAGTATTACCTCTCAGTTGGTTTCATAACTCATAATTTCGCCAGTTGTTTTTTAAAACAGTGTCAATTGATTTGGAGGTGCAGAAATGGCTATACAACTGGATCCTCTAAAATAAATAAATGTGAATAAGGATCACATAAATGATAAAATCTATGACTTCTCCAAGTCTCAATCTTTGAAGCTGCTCTGTAGGGCATGTTGGAGGCAAATGTAAATCAAATTCAAATCTAAAAAGTTACTTGCTATCATTGATCCTCTTTTAAAAGGTCAAAAAGCAAAAATCACATAACAGCTCATGATGCTATTCTCTTAAATTATGTAAAAAAAGGTATAATGACATGAGATTTACATTACAAAAGTTCAAAAAAGCAAAATTATGAAACAGTTCAATTTCCTCTTCACCTTTGCATTTTAATCATGTAGTCATTATCTCAAACACTTTAGAATGTCACTAATGCTCGCAAAGTGTTACAATGTCACATTTTAAGATGTTAAATAACTTTAGGATACAATTATCAGTTCTGAAGCCAGGGAGTGGGGGGGGGGGGTGAAAGCGAACTCCCCCCTGAATAAAAGTACCTTATAATAGTATTATTATCTAACAAACAATCGTTTGGTTAGATTTATAAGAAATGAATCTAAATTATAAAGGAGAACTTCAGAAACATTCTATTTTTGATATCACATCTATTTTTAATATAACAGAATTAAAATGAACAAGATAAATGCGTCTTGACATTTATATAGAATTAAAGTTCTTTGGTAGTTTAGAAGCCTTTTAAAGAGAAAAAAGTTTGCAGATTCATCAAAATCATTGAATTCAAAATGAAAGAAGTAAATGTATTTCACTATATGGAAGAAAAACATAAAAATATTGCTTATTTATAACTATAGATTACTCCCTAAATATTGTTGTTTTCATTTAATTGTGGTTTTTATATCTAGAACAGTATGGATTGCTCCAATGCCCTTAAAAGGACATTTTCAGAAACTACCTGCCATAACTGAGTCATTGAACCCCAAAAGGTAGGAAGTAAATGTATTGACATGAAAAATCCATCTGTTCATAAATTCCTTTTGAAAAGATGTAAAGATATGACACTCTAAACTCACGCACAAATAGTAGAATAGATGTCACCGTATAAATGTTTTTGGTTAAATCCCAGTCCAAATATGTGAGGTATGTGAAATATGGATACAAACATGAAATTTCTGTAGGCGTTTCACTTTCAAATCACTTTTAGTATATTATTAAAAAACACTAAAAGAAATTATTTCTAAAAGAATAGTGAACTCATCTATTTCAATTTTCCTCAGTTATTTTTTGTTCTATTCTCCCGCAGGATGGTTTTTTAAAAAGCATGTTTAATAAAACCTGTATATTCTGAACACCTCTGTATGAACACCTTCAATATAAACACTTATCTGCAGTCCTAAATTTCTAAATCTTTCATTGTCTTGGATTAATGTTAACTACAGGGCTATGCATAAAAGATAAGAACAAGTCAGTTTTATACAATGATTAACATTACACATATCATGTAAAAAAGTCAGAGTCAGATATCTACCTAGTCAAAAATTAATGTCCAATTTTATTGTACATTTATTGTGTATTTATGCATTTATAATTTTACTAGACTTACTTTAGATAATGTGATTTTACAATAAAGGCATGAGCTGGATTTACGTTTTGGTTGAATTTTCTCTAAACACATACATCAACATCTTTAGATTTAATTTCATATGAAAAACTTTTAAAACATTGGCACTGCCAAATCAAAACCACTATAAATATATTCGGATAATATTAAAGCTCCTTAAATGCAGTGGCCAAAATTGACAGAAGGTGGTGGCCATATTGACCCTGGGATATTAAATCCCTAATTAAACAGATCACAGACAAATCTACAACATTCCCTTACGAACTAGCCTTATATCAATATGATAAGTATTTCAATCCAGATTTTCTGCGTGTAGCACAAAGGTGTATGGTTTGGTATGTGATCGACAGAACAAGAGCATTTAGTATATATTTAGAACAAACTACAACAGAGCCTTGTATTCATAAATCCACATAGCCTTTTTATGATTATGAACGGAAATTATTTACAGATTAAACTCTAGGTTAAAACCAAATTTAATGTACTTTTGAAGAGAAAAATACAGCTTTGTGGAGGAAGGCCAAGTCTATAAATTCATATGAATACCTCATTATTCTGATTTAACTTGGCAGAAGGGGCTACTATTAGAAAGAAGGGGGGGGGGGGGTGCCCGAAGCAACTTGCTATTTGAGGAGAGGCATAAACATCCAAATATATCACAGACACATTTTTTATGCTAGGGCATTTAAGGGCAATCACTAAATTGGGTCAGAACTGTTTTTAACACTGGACATGGCATGTTGTCTAAACAGATAATATCAATTTAGTGTAATAGTATGTGAAAGTTCTTGTTTTACATGGAAAACCCAAACCTCCTTCCAAGGCAAAAACAAAGTGGATGTCTGGACCCTTAACTGTGTTTGGAGGTTGTATCCTTTCCTTCAAGATTGTGGTGGGGCATGGTAAAACCTATCCCCCTCAAGCACAGAGGATAGTTTCAATATACCAAATGAAAGTAGAAATAACCTTGAGTTACTTCATGAAATATCGAAATTTAGTTCAAGGATATCATATTTGAAGTCTACATGTAAAATTGCATTTAGAAATGTGGTTTAAAAAGGTATTTACCAACTTTAAAAATTTAATTTTCTTTGACAATGTGACTTCTAGGTTGGGAAGATTCTCCATAGACCCCATGTTACAAAACCATAAAAAGTGAAATATATTTTCTTGTGTTGGGCAGATAATATTTTTTTTCAAGACTTAGGACCCCCTCTTATCTACTTTACCAACATATCGTGTGGGGAGATGTGAAATCGGGGGCCTTTGAGCGCCCCCCCCCCCATCCCCAACCTTCTTTGGCATACAAGGTAGACTAGATTGACCTAATTTGATTGGTTAAGGCAAGATCGAAGGAATATCTTATGAATGAAAATATTTATTAGTCATTTACAATAGGCCAAGAGTAGTCTTTCCTCTGGCTTCTAGATCACATTCCAGTTTGCCAGGATGAATTAAATAAGGATGGGGCCAGAGATTCGATACCATATCAAGAAACATGATTTCAAAGGTTGCCTACCTTTAAATCTCCCAATCGAATGTTCATAAAATACAAATCTCCTATGTTGAAAATGTAAATATTTATACCTATTGTTACTATGCTCAAAAAATGTTTTAACTCTGATTTCAATTTCTTTTCTTGCATGCTTCCTAATGTATATTCAATACTCTTTCAATTCCACTATTTTGTATAAAAAGGCCAAGTCATAAAATTCATAGATTCAACTTTCCATTCATGATTCCCTGATAACTGCCAAACATCTATGTTTTGTTTGTTTCCGTGGCAAAGATTATTTAGATGAGTCAACAGATAATACAGTAGTCAATAACTTGCACTATTATATAAAAATAAGGTGATTCTTATATAATTTATGTAAATGACAAAAACAGCCCTGATAATAATGATAACAAACATTTTGTAAGAGATTTTTAATAGAATGATGTTTACTGTGAGCCCTTGGAGCACTCAAAGCTACTTGTATTTGAAAACATTTTATTGGTTTTTATCAATGACACAACTCATTATGATTAGGGTTGCTGGAATTCTGGGAGACTCAACCTCCTTTGTAAAAATGTGTTTCATAACCTAAAGGTAGGTTCCCTCCCATCATGCACTTCATCAATTTTGACATACAGGAAATGTGCATTAAAGTATGGGATTAGTGCTTGGTATGAGCAACCTTCCTAAAAAACCAACAGCAGATCAATAAAGAGTTCTACTTTGTACCCCCTTCAGATCAATAAAACCTGACATAAGGCCCTGCCACTAACTATTACTATTTCCTTACTCTCGGGATTAATGGAGATGCTTATCAAAGCAAAGATGTTCAATCAGATAGTAGTACAGACCATGTGTGTCAATAATGGTTGTAAAAAAGGATCTTTGTGAAAGGTAAACAGAACTTCTAAAATATTCTTCATTTCAAAAGACAAATACCAATACAGACATGTATGAAAACAAGAATATAATGACCCAACCCAAAATGGTAACTAGTGCAAAACAATATAAATGAAATTAGCCAAAAGGGTAGAACTCTTTACAATAACACAGATAAGTTCAATTTTGAAGGGATAATCTAAAATGCAATTAATTAATTCTATTCAACTTATCTGGGTTACCTTTTATACTGTCTTCATAGGTTAACTTAAATTATGTAACAATGCATGTGAAATTGGATGGGAAATGCCCTGTTATGTAATATAACAATTATGATATTCCACTGAGACAAACCCTTTAGGACAATATCAGTTCATGTAACTCACATTTTTCAGATTTTATAACAAGATAACTGACCTTTTACAAAGCAAACACCACCAACCAATTAAAGTACTTTAATACCATATATGGCTATGGCGTTACCATGACAGCAAGAATGTTAGACTCTAAATCAGAGGGGGAGAAACACCAGGGTTCAAAGATGACATACGCTTATAATGTAAATCTGTATTGAGATGACATCGTCGCTGATTGGTCAAAAGTCGACAAACAAATGACGTCATCAATGGCGGTTTCAAAATTTTCGAAATACGCTTCGAAAAATATTATGTTCATTTCTGGCGTGTTAACCAATATTATAGCTTCTCATTTCACATCGAGATAAAGAAAGGTGTACGGAATATGCCTATGTCAATTAAAACATCCCATCGAAGTGTAATATGTGATAACTAGCCGATGAAAATTCGAACGAACGAAGGTGGTAAGCAAGAGAGGTAATTATGTCTGTCATCTTTAAACTCTGGGGCTTTCCCTCCTCTTACTCTAAATGAGCAAAGCATGGGAAACAAACTGTTGACCACAGAAAAAGGGGCTGGGGAAGGGATGGGAGTTTAAGAAGATTGTTTGTCTTTGAACAATTTGATCGTGTGACTAAATTCTTCCCCTTGAAGCATACCCGGAGCGCATGTTAAAAGTAACAATTTGCCTTCTTTTAAGAATCAAATTCAAATGAATGAGTTACAATAAAAGTAGTTAAAAGTACTAAACAGGAAGCATTATTTTAAAGAAACTATAGGAAAGGGTTTATCTTAAGTAGTACTAACTAAATCAATGCCTATCCTTACCTACTGTCATGGAGATGAGGGTATACGAAACATTGTTGTGAGTCCACATTAAATCTTCAAGCATTTTGGGGTTGTCATAGAAACTGAAAATAAAACATAAAACTTTGAAGCTTGTTATTATATGATCCAAGCTAGCTAGAAGGCCAACATACTTGTAAAACACAACAGTTGCAGATGAAAATGAATTATGATGATTCTGATTTACATGTATCCTTTAGTTCACAGTTATAACAGCTACGTCATATTTCTGGCCTATAAATATAGCTGAGAACAACTTAGGAGTTAATGTGAATAAATAAAAGTGAATTTGGCAACAATATAACTGTGCTGGCTGTATCCATATTCAGGTGAAAAGTGACAATAAAATACTACTGTAGCAACTTGACATCAGTTTTCTTTGCATTCTCAACATTTTATTTGCAATAAACTTCTCCATGTTCAACAAGTTACTTAGAACTACATTCCAACAGTTTTTGTTTCAATAGTGTCAATGTTGGATTAATTTCACTTGTCTGCAATTTTCAAATAATTGGCCAAGCCATGAGCAGAGAGAACCCAACAGCAACCCAAAGACTCCTAAGGAGTATAAATTACACCCAAAGCCCCATTTTCACTGACCAATATTTTTTCACCCCTATATGTATTTCAAATTGGTGATAGACTGCTTGTCTTTTAACATCTTGATAGGATTTTTTGATCTGACTTCACCATTGTTTTCCCAGTCTTGATCGGTCTTTTTTAAAAATCTAAAAATGGTCTCCTATTGAATCTGAGGGAATCTGAAATCCGATGGAGACCGCTATGAGAAGGTCCCTAGACTTTTTGTGGAATGAGCAGTTAGATTCTTCCACCAGTCTTCATCAGACTTTTTGTTAAAATCTAATCACATGATATTTCCATGGTACAGAGGTCCCCATGCTTGATGTCACACTTCATCGGATTCGACATCTGACTTAATCGCCAAATGTACTGAGCTATCGTGCAAGACACTTTTGGGTCTTCACAGGTCTCGGTCTGGTGAAAGACCTGTCAGTGTAAACAGGGTTTCATAAACACACCTGGCTAAAACCTGGAGCCAGGTATATATGTGCCGTAAAATGTACCATTGTACCTGGAGGCCCTTTATTTATGTCTATGAGATTTTTTAAGCCTCGTAAGTTGAAAACTCTGACAGTTCAACTCTTCATAGCAAGCAGACCCATATAACGTACTCACCCATGACAAGCAGCGCCACACCCATTGACAGTCATGAATCGTTGAACATTCATGATTATCTATATCATTAGACAAATACATTTCCGAATCCCATAGATTAGAAGCATATATGAAAAACAGTATCTAATGGCAGATGGAATTTTAGTTTACCTGTAAAGTGACCATGATCCTGAAATACAGGCATGAATGAAACTTATCAAAATGTTTTTCCATCTCCACTTTTGGCCCTCCGCACTTTTAGGTATTCCTCCACAATCCAATAGTTTATTTAACACCTGGAAACATAATCCACTGCATAGCACCACAAGCAACCCATATAGCACCCCTTTTTCGTTCTGTATCGCCTCTTGAGTCATTGTTACGCTTGAGTTGGAGGCATTTCTCATTTTTCGTATTTATGCAACTGTTTTCAGGTTAAGATGTCCTGATCTTTGACCTTGGATTTGATTGGTCGATTCTACAGGAAGCTCCCACAATTCATTGCTCAAAATGGGGAAGTTTCTGTAAATTTTTAAAAATCGTGTTAATCTCAGAATATATCCGTACTTACAGTGTATTATGGGCAGAAAGAGAAAAATATCGGAAGATATAGAAGTAGATGTTGGTAAGCAATACTTCTTACTTTTGAATTATAAATGGTTAACTGGAATATAGATATATGAAAAATGTCCGAAGTTTTTTTCTTTTTTCAATCTTTTCTTAACAAACCAAATGTTAAGTGGCCATACAAAGCTCAATAGCCACCTAAAGAAAATCAATCCCATACTCCCTTCAGACAAGTGCCACAATTGTGACAGGATAGAGACCATTGATCATTTCATACACCACTGCTCCAAATACAGCGAGATTCGTGAGAGACTATTTTATGAGGCTTATAGTATTCTTCTAGAAAGTGAATATAACCCAGAATTGGACATCAAGACTCTGTCAGGTCTGAACAAAACTCTAAAACCAGACATCAACAAAAGGTTGAACTACGCTTTTACAACCTTCTTGATGAAAACAAAAAGATTTTAATTGTCTAACTCATATAAACTTTAAATGTAAATAAGTTACAAGCTAAGGAACTTTAGTGATTTTAAGAAAAAACAAAAATAAAAATAAAAAGAATCTACAAAAACACTAGAGACAGTCACAAGAGTAAAGCACCATTGAAAAAACAGCACCAGAGACTATTAGGTGACATGATAGCACCGTATATATGGACTTAACCAACCAACCAACCTTCTTCTCACAAAGATTAACCTTATTATCTTAGGTAGTTAAACAAAACATCCCTAATTCACGTCACCATACAAGCCATTCGACTAAAGGGCAAATGCAAATATTTTTTATTTATAGATCTAGTTATGGATTTCTCCCTGGATTTCTGTGGCCCCATTGGCCTGTAGATGTATCTGAAGTTCAAAAGCAATTAGTCATATAAATCCGACCGTCGTATGTTGTAATTTGTTGTAATTTTGTCTTATTTGGATATTTATTTTTTCTTGAATAAGAGGGTTGGAAACACTCGCCACTTCTAGTTCTATATTGAATAGATCTACAGTGCTGGTATATATTAATTGATTAGTCGTTTAATTGGCATATTTTCCACGGACATCTAATACGTTCTTCGAATTGCCCTGGAACTATATTTATACCAGGACTGGCATCCAGATCCAAGTATTTTTTAAGACCGCCGACTCTCGTTGGGCTATTTATCCCTATTGACTCAGTTGTTCATATAAATTTACGTACCTTAGATGCTTTGTAATCGACGTAGATAGAAAATATTGTTTCCTAAATTGTTCTGGAAAGCGATAATTATAACTAAATGTACTTTGAACAGGTCGACTGACAAAAAAGCCGGGCTTCTGGCACGTCTCGTTCTCGCTCTCAAACAAAACGTGAAGAACGTGACGTCACTTCCGAATCATAGCATTCAAAATAAGTAGCGTTTAAATCCCAATACAATATGTAACATATCGGTGGTCTAGGGGTAGAATCCTCGCTTAGCACGCTGGAGGCCCGGGTTCGAATCCCGTACTCGCTCTTTTGTTTTTTTTCGAGGTCGTTATCTTCATCGTCTAGTTTACGAATACCAAATGTCGATGTGATGTTTTATTGATAAATACGAATTCCTTACACATTTCGTTATCTTATTGTGAAATAGCAAACTAAGAGATATCTTTACTCGCTAGGAATTAACATAATATTATTTGAAGCGATTTTAGAAAATTTTGAAACCGCCATCTTGGTAATATTGATGACGTGATCACCATCAGTCAAGGTCAGGTCAAAAGTCATCCATCTTGCCATTAGCCCCGCGGATTGTTACCAGTCGACAAAAAACGATGAAATCACGTTAAAAATAAAATATACACTTTAAAATTGAGGCTGATCGAATATGACAAGACTCCATTGAATACAGCTGTGCAATTTACAGTCACCAAGCTAAGATGAGCTAATTTCGGAGAGATTCGGGAATTAAAAAAGGTAAGCACTTCCGGTTTCCCAACTTAAAAGTATTTGAAGTCCCAGAATTTCGCCAGAAACATTCTCTCTGACTGTGATATTTTCTTGAATTTTAACATTTAATGTCCCAAACTCCCACAAACTGCAGAAAAGTATACCCCATAAATCATATTTACCAAAATGAGTGTCTCCAAGGCTTCACACCAGCGTATGCATAATGCATTTGTCACGAGTTTGAGCTGAAATTTCGCCAAAATGAAGTAGGCTAAGGATAGTCTCTGCCAGGTTTGTTTATTGCAGTAAGCTTGACATTCAAAAAAACTATTCAAGAGACACTGCAAAACTTCACTTAGAAGCAACACTTTCAGCTTGAGAGTAATCAGTGACTGGAATAGTCTCCCAGAGAACGTCATAAGTTCAGACTCTATCACCACCTTCAAAACGAGGCTCGACAAATTCTGGTCAGAAAAACACTACACCATAGTATAGCACGGCGGAACAACAGCGCGCACCCTTGAAGAACTGCAAAAAGAAGACCAGTCTGCAAGTCTGATCTTTGGGGTCTATGCTTAACCTAGCTCACCTGTCAAACTTAAAGTGTCTTGGACCAGGTGGTTCAAATGATTAAAATATCACGATCAGTTTTTAGCTGATAAATATAAAAAGAGCTTAGCGACAACAGGCACACAAGCCTAACAGCTACAGTTCCAAATGATGATGATGATGATGACATGCTCAGAAGCAAATAATTCATGTGCGCAAAAAAACAATCAAATAATCTGATTGGTTTAAACTTTGCTGCACATGCGCACAATGTGTGCCATGTTTTTTTCTAGTGGTTTCATTTCATGGAGTTTGCGTTTCAGTGTAACTTCCGCAAAAATGGCGGACCATGGACAGAATTAACAGGTAATATCACTTCGAAATTTCAAGAGAACTTTAGAACCTATAATAGCAAAACTTTTGTTTTATTTGTGCATTCTATCTATCAGATAAGAGTTTCAGGGGTATGTAGGCAAATTCATTTTGGTAGGAGCACTCTGTTTAGTTTGAAAACGTACCCTATATTATTATATATCAGCACTATATATATTCTTCTTGAATTTTAAAATTTTTGCATTTTGCCATTCTAAGGTCACTTCCAGGTTAATCTGATAGTGTAGATGTGAAACTATATCAAAACGAAATCATAATTATTTGTTACACGAAGATTCAGTTGAAAGGAAAGCAGTGTCGTTCAGAAGGGAAGTACATTGAAAAGTTATTGTCTGAGAACGGCTTTTGAATCTCTGTTTAATAAATTATTATGATTCCGTTTTGATACATGTTTACATTTAGACTACCGGAAACAACATTTAGCAACATGGTGGGCTATATAGAAAATATACTTCAATTGATTATATTTCGTCAATTATCAAGCGTTTTACATGTCTAAGGTAAGATTTAACACTGTGATGTTAAAGCAAAATCATTAATCGATAATTTGTGTGACTTCGGTTACCCAGACAGGCCAGGAAAGCGTTTCCCGCAATTTGTTAGCTATTATATCTACGACCGTGTATGCTAAGAAAATGATAAAAAAATAAATATCCAAATAACAACAAGGAACATCGAAGAACAGCATACAACAGTCGGATTTATATGACTAAAAAGCAATGTGTAAGCTACAGTAACATACAATCTATTACCCGAGCATACCCAAAGCCTCGTCTATTCTGTTAGTCTATGTGTAGTTTTACACAAATTTTCTTCCTATTTGAATACCACTTGTCGAATTTGTTGGATTGTGATATTATATATAATTGACCAATCAGTAACAATGATACTTTACTCCTGGTAATTTTGCGTGCTAGTATATTTCACGCTTTCCATGAGTTTTGCAAAATTTGCAAATATAATGAACATATTTGAGAAGTTACATTTCCACAAAAATTAATAGCCGCAAACTTTTGACAAAATAGAAAATTAGCAAAGATTAATAGCCACAAAATTTCTAAATCACAAAGTTGTGAAAGATAATACATTATATTTATGGATTATAATTCAGAAAACAATTTCCAATAAAAATATAATTTGTAAGTAATGAGTATGATGAAATCCATTTTGTAATATATAATCAACATGCATGCATATGATCATGTTTTACTTTTCAGCTATTTCTTTAAATTATACATGAAAAGTAGAAAATAATGTTTTTCTTAGAATGTGTACAGGAAGTATTTTTGAAACCCAAAAGCAATGCTCTTGTATGAATGATAGTTGCTTACCCTTTTCTTGGAATCCCATGGTTTTGCTCATTGTCTTAAAAATTCTGATGAAGCCTGCATGCAGTAATCTAAACCCATAGGAACTGTTCCGCTTACAACAGTTAATCATTTAGATTGATTGAGTTCCATTTATTGAGATGTGCCACTAACTTGAAGAGGTGTTTCTTTTTACTCAAATGATCTTGTTATTTTTAGAGGTGACAGACCCACCTTTTGAGGTTGATGTCGATGACTCTGCCAGTCTTAGCAGTCCACACAAAAAGCATAAAAAGCACAAGAAAAAGCACAAGAAGAAAAAAGATGAAACAAGCTTCTCCAGTGAGCCTTCATCAGACCTTGGTAGCAGTCCAGCCACACCTAGTAAACCTTCAATTAAACTGAAGATTAAGCTAGGAGGAAAGACTCTCACATCCAAAGAGTAGGGTTTTAAATACAGTAACCTGTCTAATCTGAACACCATTGGGACCAACCATAAATTTTCAGATTAGCAGATCTTCATATTTCAAAGTTTTATACAGGGGTTTCACTAGAATTTCTCACAACAGGCTAAATAAATAAAAACAACTGGCAAAATTAATGGAAATCATTTTAACATGGAAAAGTTGAAAAGTCCCTAAAAACAACGTTCAGGCAATTTTGTAAAAACAACCGCTGAAAATCGCCTGTTTCCTGCTGCTAATGAAACCCCTGTTTATATGAAATGTTGTCAAGCTCATGTTTTTTTGTAAAAATGTAAGAGCGTATGTTCAAAATAAAGGCATTATATTTGATTTATTTTATTTACTCTAGTTTCTGAATACTTGATTTTCACTTAACTTATTCATGCAGTCCAAATATGTTTAACTTTCATACATTGTATGCAATTTTTCAGTGTTCCCCCACCAAAGGCCAAAGAGCAAGCTAACAGGGAAGGTAAGTAATATAAGAATACAAAAAGACAAAATGAAAAAATGAAAAAGCAAAATCTAAAAATGAGTCTGTTAAAATGTTTTAGCCACAAACATTATTATAATGTTACAAAAATGTATATTTTGAAAACAATTTTATGTCACCACCAAAAGAGGTGACATATTGTTTTTGTTAAAGTCTCCAACTTTTTGCGGATGGTGGTCGGTAGAGGTGTCACAGTAGGGTGGTCCAAAATATGGCGAAAAACCAACTTTGTTTCAGATCATCTTCCTCATTTCACTTACTGTTGTCCATGACCTAAAACACCTGCACACCAAATTTTAAGACCCAAATCACATGTGAAATTTACCCACGCTTCGACTGAAAATTCAGTTATTTCATGATTTTTTGCTATTTTCGATAAATTGTCATCTCCCTTTTCCTGGTATAATATGTTTCTATTTTTTCATAATAAACATTTTTGTAGGACTCTTTATTACTTCATCCATACACCAAATGTTGAGACCCAAATCCTATGGGAAATTTACCCACGCTTCGACTGAAAAATTCGGTTATTTCATGATTTTTTGCTATTTTCGATAAATTGCCATCTCCATTTTCCTGGTATAAAATGGTAGATGTCTTTTCATAATAAATATCTTTGGATGACTCTTTATTACTTCATAATACTTAGGAACCCATACATCAAATTTTGAGACCCAAATCCCATGGGAAATTTACCCACGCTTCGACTGAAAAATTGGGTTATTTCATATACAATACAATACATCTCTATTTTCCTGGTATTATATGTTTCTATTTTTTATAATAAATATTTTGGGAGGACTCTTTATTACTTCATAATACCAGAAACCCATACCCCAAATATGCACCAAATTTTGAGACCCTGGCCCCATGAGAAATTAATTCATGCTTCAACCCAAAATTTGTGATTTTCTGCGAATTTTCTTCTATTTTCAATAGATCAACATTAATCTTATATTTAGTTTTTAAACATTTTAGGAGGACATTAATACGTTCTTAATACTAGGAACCCATACATTTAATATGTACCAAATGTTTAGACCTGAACCCCATGGGAAATTCACGTTTGCTTTGATCATATACTTTTGATTTTTGTCGTTTAGAGCACCATATCATTGTTGTGTGATGTGCAATTTGTAATAAATTGTATTACACGTTGTCTTAATTATCCTGTTTGGCCTTACATAGGTTACATCGTGAAAGATGGTTATATAGTACTTTAAGGTAATTCCTTATTTTCAGTTTTAATGGCTTCCTAATTGGAGCCCCGTGTTTTTTCAGGAACACATAACTCATTCCATTCAGATGCACAAACAGTGTATAAACATAGCACATAGTACATTATAGAAAATTACTAACCATCAACTAATAATCTAAATACATATTTGAACTCAGTGTAAAATTGAAAGAGCTGACCAAGTATGGAATGAGTTCCAGAAATAATATTGGACTCCACTTAAAATTTCTGAACATACAGAATTACCTTAAGTGTTTCTCATTGCTCTTCCTATCTTCTACATTGTGTACTTTCAGGGCATGAACATTTTCAGAGAAATGACAAAGCTCAGTGGAAGCTCGAATCCCTTGAAGATTTGGTACAGGCTTACTGGTTACAACAGAGACCATGCCATTGATACATTGATCAATCAAAAAATCATTTCTCCAAAGAAAATCAGATTTGATATTTGACCTTACCCTGCAAAGATGTGAGAAAGAATATGACATCTCACACAAATCCAAACAAAGTCCTGTGATGTATCCCTACTGAAACCAACAAACCAAATCTTCAAGGCATTTGAGTTGCTGTCGAGTCATCACTTCTTAATATTAACCACAGTATATAAATGTACAAGTAAAAGATCCTAAATTTTCTCCAAACTACTGAATTTGTCGCCTTTCAATAAGACTTAAAGTCTTGATATTTAGGTGTTTCTTTGGATTAAGAAGGAATTACCATAATGTTTATTAACATATTATGCCCCTAAAACAGACATCATAAGCTATCATAAGCTCCAGTTTTTAGTCAAAGCATGGGTAACGTTCTCATTGGATTTGGCTAAAAATTTGGTGGATATTTGGTGTATGGGTTTTTAGTATTATGAAGTAATAAAGAGTCCTCAAAAATGTTTATTATAAAAACATATCGTACCAGGAAAATGGAGACAGCAATTTATTGAAAATCGGAAAAAATGTGAAAATCACAATTTTTCAGTCAAACCATGGGTAAATTTCCCATGGGATTTGGGTCTCAAAATTTGGTGTATGGGTTCCTAGTATTATGAAGTAATAAAGAGTCATCCAAAAATATTTATTATGAAAAAATAGAAACATATTATACCAGGAAAATGGAAACAGTAATCTATTGAAAATCGGACAAAACTGTGAAAATCACAATTTTTCAGTCAAAGCATGGGTAAATTTCACATGGGATTTGGGTCTCAAAATTTGGTGTTTGGGCTCCTAGTATTATTAAGTACTAAAGAGTCCTACAAAAATGTTTATTATGAAAAAATAGAAACATTTTATACCAGGAAAAAGGAGATGGCAATTTATCGAAAATAGCAAAAATTCATGAAATAACCGAATTTTTCAGTCGAAGCGTGGGTAAATTTCCCATGGGATTTGGGTCTCAAAATTTGGTGTGCAGGTGTTTTAGGTCATGGACAACAGTAAGTCAAATGAGGAAGATGATCCGAAAGAAAGTTGGTTTTTCGCCATATTTTGGACCACCCTAGTGTCACAGGTCAGATATTCTTTGGGTCAGTTCGACCCAGAACAAAAGTGTGCGGGTGGGTTAATTTCGGGTCGGGTTAGAAGAAACAGAAAAACGAATTTAGTATTAGCGACTGAAACGACTGGGTGATTAAATGGCGCATTATAAGACTGAATAAGCATCTGCATATTATGCTTTGATATAGGGAAAATGGAAAAGATCTTTAAATTATTTTTGTTTGTAATTTATACAAATACAAAAAAAGGTCAGCTAAATGTTTGAAATTTTTGATGGGATTAAAAGGCCATCTTCTGTATCTAAATACAACTTCTTTGACTCCAGGGCCTGTGGCTGATAATGAGCCTGATATTAAGACCAAGAGCAAGGGAGATGACACATCAGATGAGGAAGAAGTCTGGCTTAAAGCCCTGGAGAAAGGAGAACTGGATGACTATGGAAGAGTAAAGGCAGATAAGGACCTCAGTCTAATGACAGCAAGACAGGTAAAAACAACAGTCTAAAGACAGTAAACAAGCATTTGCAACAGTCTAATGACAGCACAAAATGTATTTACAACATATTGACAGTTAAACAGTCTAATGACAGCACAAAACATATTTACAACATATTGACAGTTAAACAGTCTAATGACAGCAAGACAGGTAAATACAACAGTCTAAAGACAGTAAACAAGCATTTGCAACAGTCTAATGACAGCACAAAACGTATTTACAACATATTGACAGTTAAACAGTCTAATGACAGCAAGACAGGTAAATACAACAGTCTAAAGACAGTAAACAAGCATTTGCAACAGTCTAATGACAGCACAAAACATATTTACAACATATTGACAGTTAAACAGTCTAATGACAGCAAGACAGGTAAATACAACAGTCTAAAGACAGTAAACAAGCATTTGCAACAGTCTAATGACAGCACAAAACGTATTTACAACATATTGACAGTTAAACAGTCTAATGACAGCAAGACAGGTAAATACAACAGTCTAAAGACAGTAAACAAGCATTTGCAACAGTCTAATGACAGCACAAAGCATATTTACAACATATTGACAGTTAAACAGTCTAATGACAGCAAGACAGGTAAATACAACAGTCTAAAGACAGTAAACAAGCATTTGCAACAGTCTAATGACAGCACAAAACATATTTACAACATATTGACAGTTAAACAGTCTAATGACAGCAAGACAGGTAAATACAACAGTCTAAAGACAGTAAACAAGCATTTGCAACAGTCTAATGACAGCACAAAACATATTTACAACATATTGACAGTTAAACAGTCTAATGACAGCAAGACAGGTAAATACAACAGTCTAAAGACAGTAAACAAGCATTTGCAACAGTCTAATGACAGCACAAAACGTATTTACAACATATTGACAGTTAAACAGTCTAATGACAGCAAGACAGGTAAATACAACAGTCTAAAGACAGTAAACAAGCATTTGCAACAGTCTAATGACAGCACAAAACATATTTACAACATATTGACAGTTAAACAGTCTAATGACAGCAAGACAGGTAAATACAACAGTCTAAAGACAGTAAACAAGCATTTGCAACAGTCTAATGACAGCACAAAACATATTTACAACATATTGACAGTTAAACAGTCTAATGACAGCAAGACAGGTAAAAACAACAGTCTAAAGACAGTAAAACGGGAATATTGGACAGTCTTATGGCAGCAAGAAAAGTAAGAACAACAGTCAAATGACATTAAACAGGCATTTACAACTGATATCTAATTGTCAGTCTAATGACATACATGTGTGATGAATAATTACATTTTCTTGTCATCTTAATAGTCTCACTTGGTTGATAAGTTGCAATATGGATCACTGAGACACAAACTTCAGTTAAATTTTCAAAACACTGCACCAATGAATGATTTGATTTATGTTATTTCCAGCGGGCGATGATCGTAGGTCAGAGTGAGGCTGAGCTGATGCAGTTACCAACAGGTGAGAATTTACCCTGCAAAATGCATTCAATACAGGTAGTATTTCAACATGCTGTTAATTAATTATCCCACTGTATGAAGTTCGAGGGGGGTTTAGAAAAGCTATTTGTCTGTCTGTCCATCCAAGCAGAAATTTCTGCTTTTATGATTTTATTTCACAGAATAACATCAATTTATGATTTTTTATGAATTATTTTAGGTTATAAGAAGTCTGACTTAACAGATGAGCAAAAGGAGCGCAGAAAGCAACGAGCTGATAAAAGAAAAGTATTGGCACATGAAAAAAGAGAAAAAGATAAGGTATGGACTTCAACTTTTGGTTAATACTCATTAATAAATGAATGGAAATTACTTTAATATGAGAAAAGATACAACGAATGAGGCTAATACTTTTATAAAGTTGTCCAAGTAGTAACTATGAGAATTTCTGGAAGTTAGGATATCATGATAATGTTGCCATTGTAGGTTGATGCATATTTTGAACAAATGAGTAATATTATTTTATGTTATTATGCAGAAACAAACTATTGACAGACTTTTGAAGAAGCAAGAATCTAAGCAGAAATCCACAAAGGTATGTGAACACTAGAGTTATATCATATAATTTTAAAATATATTGCATTAGGACTTTACATGCAATTTATTTATTGATACCATTGCATTTATGAATAGGAATTTATCTAGTATCTTAGGTGAGTGAGATAGGAATTTATTGTATCCCTCTCCTTATCTCGGGGTCTGGAACATCATTAGAGAAATATCTGTATCATTTCCTTTCCTCCATTTTATTATTCTGAATTTACATTTGTGCTGGTATTTGTTCCTCGTTTTAAAATGTCAGAAGTAAACCTCAGGAGTGGGATATATTTAAGATACATATATATCTTTCAAATATCAACTCAAAATAGATTTTTCTGGCCTGGCCTGAATCTCTGATAATGAATATGCTGATATACCTTTTCTTTAAGGCAAGACAAGCTGGGAAGAAAGCTCAGAAACCGCACGTAAGATATCTAAGGACCTTGAATCAAAGAAGTATCTCTCTTCCCCCCAATGTGCCATTCCCACTCAAACATCAGCCTCCAATCAAGTAAGTACCAAATGTTGATACGTCATACTCCAAGTTATATAGGAGTTGTTGCATATAGATTTTCTTCATACCATTGTGTGAAGATACAGTGTATAATCAGATACAAAAATATATTACTGAACAATTTCATTCAACACTTCAAATTGTGTTTAAAATTACTCTTTTATGATCTTGAGTGTTATAGATGTCACTGAGTGTTTGCCTCTTTCTGTTGTAAAGGACAACAAATGTTCGTTTTATTGGATTCTATTTTTCTGGTGTAGAGGATAAAAATGTTCCTTTTGTATTGCATAGCATCTTTTGACTAGAATTTTCAACTATTGTGCAAAATCTTGATTTTACATGAATATAAATACCAGTTGTTCTTGGCTTTATCGATACTTTGCAATATCATTTTTTGATTTAAAAAATTATGAAATTTTATTTTTTTCACTTCAATTACCCATTCTCCCTCATTATATACTTTCACAAATTTTCAATTTTATTTCGGATTTTTATTTCCAGTCCGCCAAAACAACAGCTATGTGGATTAAAAGGCTGCAAGAATGCCAGGAAATACTCGTGCTCAAAAACTGGACTTTCCCTGTGTGGACTTGAATGTTACAATAAAAATAAATCTGCAAATAAACATCTCTGGAATACTGTCAGGTAGCACAAACTGGTACAGACTAGTGAGTGTGTAGTTGTCATGATGGACTGTAATTGTCATTAAAAACAGATTACATTGGATCTTACATGTGCATGTACAGATATGGACCAAGACAGACTGTTGTTGTTATTATAAACTGTCAACTTAAATGCAGTCGCACATGTATGAATCGATATGTAGTTTTCAAGATGATGGACTGTACATACAATACAGACTGATGGATATTTAGTTGTCATGAAGGACTGTAGCTGTCATTTTGGACTGTCACGTTGCATACAATACAGACCAGCAGATATGTTCATGTCATGTTGATCTGTCATAATTCCTTGAATACATTTTACAAGTACTAATGATCATATTCTGTGCTATGTAACATTCGAATATCAAGAATACTTATCGGTATAAAAATAAATATATTTACTTTTATAAAATAAAAGACAAAATGTTTTGAGTTTTTTTAGACTAGCAAGGTAAACTTTATTTTTCAATTTGTAAAAGACAGTGTACAATTTTATAAAATATTTTGCTACAAAGAGTATAAGGATATCAGTGATATATTTACATAATATGCAAATCAATACTTTCATTTTGAGATGGTATTGAATGATTTTCACAACCATTTTTGAATTTTAACCAAAATCATATTTGATCATTTGGCATTCAGTATAAAAGGAAGACAGGATTCATACAATTGAATATCTGAATTGAAAATTGTGAAAGCTAGCATTGTTTGATTTTAGATTGGTATTATGAGTGATTGGAACATTTTGGTAAGCATTGTGAATGCGTTACACATTAGCTTTTCATTACGACATCAGATATTGCTACTGACTTTATAGTGATACAAATAAATAATATACATCATCATAGCTGACCAATGAAACTGCTTAGTAAAAATATATTACTGAACAATCTCATTCAATACATGTACTTCAATAAGTGTTTAAATTACTCTTTTTACATGTTTAAATCACACACATGTGATAAATGACTATATGATGTTTTTCCTGAAGTGTATGCTCGCAAAATATGCATAATACAGTATATCTACATTACTGTTGATGATTTATGATATCCCAGCATTAGAAGAGCGCCAGTGTTAGGATATGATGCTGTACCCTGTAGAAAATCTGTTAAAGATGAAATGATGATATACTTGTATATTTATACCAAAACAGGTGAAATTTGCATTTGGCTCCCTGTTGAAAAAATTTGGACACTCTTGAAAACCCATTTGGACACTCTTGAAAACCCATTTGGACACTCTTGAAAACCTAATCCATGAAGACATTTCTGCCTTTATAATAACCTGTGAGCTTGTACACTTTTTTTAATTTAGGCCACTTGATTTTAATGAAGTGTCAATTTCAAAATGTCTACCATTTGATGCATGCTACTGGTGCCTTTTGACGAATCACATATTATTTGGCACCATATTCAATTTTTATTTACTAATGGCTAGAATTATGGAAATATGACCCACTCAGGGCAAAAACTCGGAAGAGCTCTCTCACATCCAAAATACTTCACATATTTGTTTACTTAGCTTATTAGTTTAGTTGTTGAAATTCTGATCGGAATGCAATACAAAATTAACCAGTGACTTAAGAAGAGAAGATGATTCATAAGATTGATTCAGATCAACTGAACTCCTCCAACAATGACAGCCCCTTTACATTCATATTCATATATTCATGAGTTTGTATTAAGCACTATTCCAGTTATTCAGCCTCTGCTTTGACTTTCCCCTTCTTGGCATACCATTCATCACTTTTATCAGCTGTCAAAGCCTGGAAAAAGAGAATAAAATCATTAATAATTGGAGGAGACCTAAAACTTTCTTTTAGAAATTCCTTAGTTTTTAAGTTATTTTTAAAGACAGAAATCTTTTAGGCCTTGGCTTCAATTAGCAAGAAAATTCTGAATGTAAGAGACTGAGAGTACCACTGTACTTTTGTCAAATTTTGGTTTACTAAGTGGGCCAAACAAAAAAGAGAAAATGAAAAAATTATGGAACTCTTGTGTTTTTAGATATATAATGTTGTATTTTTTGGACCAATCAGACAACATGTTACATACAGACTGTGTAATAATATTGAATATTACCTGCTCTAACAGTGTATCAGCCTTTGGGTCTTGCTGTGATAGTTCACGGAATGCTTCATCTCCAACAAAACAGATCTCATGACCATCCTGAAAGATGCAACATGATGTAAAATTTATGTCCATCAGACAACCATATAGTGTGGTGCCATAGACATGTATTCAGCCTGGGTGTGTCTGTCTACATCAGTCTGTATGTCAGACAGTTTTCTCCAAAACAGATTCAGATATCACTTGAGTCACTAGTCATTGAGATAACCTTTTTAACAATAAACATGGATGGATACCTGAATCGAAAATTTTCTAACTATGCTATGCACATGACGGAAGTCACTCACATGTAGTTTTACAAAAAGATGTCAGGTCTGTTCAAATGTATGTACATGTAACTGATAAATTAGATAAGTAAGATATATGCATCATTCGGAAAAAATATCCATTTATACAATATAAATAACAATTTAAGCATCATTATGTGAAGCAGATCTACTTAACTGCTAAACCGGCTTGACAACCACAAGAACCATTTGGACTCTCCTGAGAGACTAGGTATCACAGATATCTGTTATATGCATTCATAATTTCGATGCCATGCCATTGTTGAGTCAATGTTGATGTAGAAACTGCTAAGTGGAACACCTCTATAAGTGGAACACCTTGCGAGTGGAACGCAGAGCGGAGGGTGTTCCACTTACACAGGTTCTACTGTACTTACTGGATCTGAGAGAATGACAACCTCCACTGTTGCTTTTCCTGGTGTATCTAGACTGATAAGTGGTGTTACTATGGTACCCCCTGCTTCCCGGATACATTTCTCAATACCTGGCAGCTAAAATTTAAATATATCAAACATTATTAATGCACCATCTGTGCAATTTCATGTACTGTACATTTCTCCACACAATGGCCTTATAAGGGCAAAATGGGTCAACATGGGGCCCGTAATTGCTTATGCAATGCAGCGATATAAATCAACAAAAACTCTATGTAGGGGTCATTTTGCTTCTAGACCTCCCCTTTCTTGTTGTTGAAATAGATAAGGGGGGGGGGGTCAAGTGTTTTGAAACAAAAGTAAAACAAGGAAAAGTAAATGAATATTACCAGGGTAATTTCTCCCTTTTAATTTGTGTCGCAAAAGGTAAAACTTTCGCTGTATATTACCTGTTCCCTTGGACAAGAGAAAGCTATTCTACCAAAGGCTTTGGCGTGGTCCACTGGACGTCCTATTTCCACAAGTTCCAATTTAGCCTGAAAGTTGAAATATTTTGTCATAAACAAATCACTATGTTATGACATGGAGTTTGACTTTGAAAATGTATCCAAAAGTGTAAAATTGTTATCAATAGGCATGAATTAAGCAAAAAACATGACATTGTGTGTTTGTTCAGTATTTAATTCTCTGTTTTATTCAACTCTGATAATAGAAAACTATATTATTTTACTCTGGGTAGCTCTATCAGTACAAAACTGGTCTTCCCAGAGGCCCAGTAATAATTTACAATATGTGTATTATATTCATAAATTGGAGTTTATTTTGATCGATTGGATAGTTCTCATCCTAGCATGACATCTATACTTACCTGTGAAATTCAATGTACTTACTTACCTGTGCACATGTACTGTAAATGTTTCCGTCATGCGCGTTGTGCAATTTTAAAAATCTTAAAGGGTGGGCCAATAAAATTTGGAAATTTTTCATGACGCACTCAGTACACAGATCAAGACCATGACAAGCCAAAATTAATCATACATACATATTTTTATCTTTAACATTTTCACAAATAATCATTTTAGTGTTATCTTAATTTTTGTGGACTGAACTGCAATAATAAAGAAAATTGAATAAATAGAAAAATGTTCCAATTTTTATTGGCCAACCCTGTATAAGAGAATTACATGAATACTTATAGGAACAATGTCTTAATGCATATTGTACATAATTTTCATACACTCCCCTCCATAATTTTGCCAACTGGATGTTTTCATTGCATAGCATATCAAAGCCTGCCATTGTCTGAAGTTTAATTTTGTTCCAAAAGTGACAATAGATTGGAAATTTACAACTTGATAAAAATTTGACAATTTTTTTAAATCGCAAAATAAAGACAAGCTGAGTGATTCAAAAGGGGACTTCCGATTTCCAAACTTTCAGTAGGGAGCGACATGTTTCATTAACAAGTAGTCACCTGATCATCACCATATCCTAAAAGAACAGAGCTAGCATCCTGAGAGTAGATCTTCAGCCCTAGTTTCCCATTCCAATATTCTATGGACTGTTGAAGATTTGAACATGACAGAGACACCTTTTGGACAGGATCTGCAAGTTAAATGTATCTGTGAATATCTTCATGTACAAGCAAACATTTTGAGCGCACTTTGTGAGGTGGAAACGAAATATATAGCTGTTTAATTACATGTATTTATATTACATGTATACTTAATTGCAAATACAGTCTAAATAGTCTACATGTATTCTGATTGGTCAAATAGAACTCAGTAGTCATGACGACCCTATGTATCCCATCCAGACTGACGAAACCTGCATGAAAACCAACAACTACATGAAGAAATGGATTACATATACCTCCACTTTTATCAGCATCCACTAGGAAGAATTTATATCCACCAGGGGCCTCCACTGTACATACACCATTTTCCTCAGTTGACGGCCAATTCTTGGACTTCACATTGCATACTGCAGATTTGGAGGAAATTGTAATTCCCTGGAATTTTAAACAACAGAAACTACAAAAACTACATAACAAATGTTTCAATTAAATTCAATTCAAAAATTGGCTTACTCTGCACCCGGATACTTGTGTGATATAATATAAACAGGAGGGCAAAATAAGGTTATTTAAAAAATTAAAAATCGTATTGTCCCGCCAAATCCCACTCACAAAAATCGTATTCACCTCCCAATACCGCTCATGGAAATGGTATTCACTTCCCGGGATTTTTTTGCCAAACAAAGATTCTTATTACGTTCAGTTGGGTTGATATAGCGTGCTATGCTAAAATGATGTTCTTATGTGAAAAACAGTATATACAGTATATGTATTGAAAATACAGATTTTGAAATGTGAGAAGTATGAAGATTGCAATTTGTAAGCCTATTAAACATAGGCAAAATGTCATATTGTTCCCTATAATAAAACCCATATTGAATCCCTCCCAGTAAATAACCTCTTTATGTTTATCAATGTAATGCATGTACATGTATACCCATATGGTTTAACAGAGTTTTGAATATTCCTGTTGAGTGTCAATGAAATTACAGAACATTACAGTATTTCATTTTGTCTGTCAGTCAACTTGAGGGGAAATCCTTTCATTTTAAATTAGACCAAGTCTCAGAATTTATTTGGGGAAGAGATAAGCTCGCCAAATTTTTTTAATTTTTGTGTAGATCGACTTACTCTAAAATCATCTCCAAGTTTATAAGTTCCAATACCATAGTTATAAGTGAGTTCTACAACAAAATGGTTGTCCTCAGGTCCAAAACCAACCATGGACTTACTCCACTTCCCATCATACGGTCTGAAATTCAAAGATATGGTTTGAAATTTAAATGATATGGTCTGAAATTCAAAAATATGATCTGAAATTCAAAAATACAGCTGAAATTATAAGATATGGTCTGTTCTATTTTACAACTGTCACAATCAAAATACTTTTAAAGTCACTATGGCAATAACCTCATATCAAAGGGCAACATAATGATATCTTTACTATCTGAGCAATCAATTAGGATTATAACTGTCAATTAGTATGTTAGTATTTTGGTACTATCAGTAATTATTGCAATCAATTTGCATATTGAAAGTATCAGTACATGAAGTGCTGTCAATAACCATATTGGTACTATCAATTATTGGTACTCTCAATTAGTGGGACCCATTAATATTGATATTCAAAACAAACACATGTAAATGGATGTACTCACCCATTGCATGTTGTACTCACCCATTGCATGTTGTACTCACCCATTGCATGTTGTACTCACCCATTGCATGTTGTACTCACCCATTGCATGTTGTACTCACCCATTGCATGTTGCCTCACAGCCCTGCTCAAACTCTTCATGCCTCAGAAACTGAAATAACACATTAGCAATCAATATAAAGGTACGCTATTCAATACAACATTTAATTATCATATCTGACCAGTCTCTCCAAATTACATGTACACAGAGTTTTTAAATACACAAACTACAGTATACAATTAAACCTGTCTTAGTGAACATATCTCTTATAGTGAACACACCTCTCTAGTGAACACCTCTCTTATAGTGAACACACCTCTCTAGTGAACACATCTCTCTAGTGAATGCACCTATTTAGTGAACACACCTTTTTAGTGAACACACCTTCTCAGCACACACTCTGATTTCTGTATGAAATCACCTACCTGCAATGGTGCCCAATGTTTTCCTTATAATACTTATTTTATGTAAAGTACATTAAACTGGAATAATTAAGATTTTCTATGTTAGTGTAACTGTCCCTTGATAGCAAGTTGCTACTACGGCCCTTTATAGCTCATGTATAGCAGTCAGCAGAGGATCAGACTTCGGATCCAACAGGTTTTACTATGTATTTAAGTTCATGAATAGCAACAGTCCATAAGAGTAAGCATAAACAACGATAAAACACACAGGGCTTCATACATGTAATCAGAGTAAGGTGACATTTCAGGTCGAAGTAGGTGCATTAATGCGCCTCTGGGGTTTTATTCATATATCTGAGATTTGTCACGACCCTATTCATCTATAGTCGAAAAGTCACTTAGAGGCGATTCATCTATAGTCGAAAAGTCACTTAGAGGCGGGGCTTCCACGTCTAAGGCCAAAGAGAGGGTAACTATGTAGAGCAATGACTTGCATACTTGGCAGTTGCATAAATCGACATGTAAGTAAAGACTACAACAGCGGATCTAGACGCGGGGGGCGTGGGGGCACACGCCCCCCCTAAAAAGTCAGAAAATTTGTGTTTTGCCTCATCGCTTTTTACAAAATTTGACTCTTCACTCACAGTTATTATCACACGCCCCTCATAACACAAAATCCTGGATCCGCCCCTGGACTGGGATTGTTTGAATACAGATCTGATTTGAAACAAATCTGAAATTGCTTTGCAGTAAAAATCTCACCTTCATCCCCAAAACATTTCTATAGAACTCTGCAGTCTTGTGTCTGTCTCCAACTTTGAACACGAAATGAAGTGCCCTTCTAGATGCCATATTAGATCGAAATAAGACTACACTAATAATATGGAATGAATGAATTTGCAAAAAGAACAGCAAATATTTGACTTGCAAATCCAATGTTGATGGGTCAGAGGTCACATCAATCGGAAGGTGAAGGCCATTTGGGAAAACCTGTGATTTGATTGGTCAAACACGTAGATTACCCAGGATACATCAGCAAAATGGCAGCGCCCATGGAAATGTGTTTTCGAAATTTATTAGGGTTTTCTTCGAAATTACAGTTCTCTAGACCCGGTAGATACTGTAAAATAAGTAGGGATTATGCTAAGTTTATTCATCGAAAGCCTGTTCGAGTCGTGACCCCTATTGAAAGTAAACCTGAGCTAGAACCTGTTGTCAAAGATGATTTTGTCCAGAAAAGTGCAAAAAAAGTTGTGACAAGTCAAATTACAAATAAAAAAATTGGAGAGTGGAAAGATGGGGAATATGTTGGTTTCAGAACAATTGACAGTAAAGTTCATGGAGAACTGAAATATACCAAACTTGAAGAACACGATAAAAGATTTGGGTAAAAGTTTAGACAATTTCCAGGTGGGGGGGGGGGAAGATTTCCCAAAGATGACCTGTAGTATTCGGCACGTTCGATAATCAATTTTATAAACAGGCCTCATTTGCCATTGAAATGGATCTCACAAAGTTTGCTGTTGTTTTATGAGTATTCTCTACAAGTTTGGATCGAGTAACTTCAATAGTATTACCGTAGTTTTGGCCAATACCAAAGGTCATCTATGGGAAATCTCCCCCCCCCCCTGGCACAATCTGTTCAGCTTTGTTGCATCATCCATTGAGTATTTAGCAAAATGACAAGGGATTGAAAATTAATTGAAATTCACTTCACATTTATATCTATCAGATACCCTGCTTATGCTTCCTGATTGACAAGGTAAAACTGATGGAATCACATTTAAGAATGTTTACTAAACTTCTTAAATGTAAGTGAGTGTCTCATCTGTTAGATAACTCTTATTTTTCCATTCCAGCCAGTTAGTGAGGAGGTGAAATCGACGTTAATCTATAATTTGATGTCTATGCTTTAGCCTATACATGTACATTTTCTATGATTACTAGTGTACACTGTACTTATTTTTGTGTGAGGCAGTGAAATTGTAATTGTAAGCATCCTGTTGTCAGGAATTCTAACAAAACCCTTTGTGAATTTTGGAATTTCAGACCAGCTATCATGGCTACAAAGTCCGGACGATATCGGGAGAAGCAAGGTGTCATTCTTCTAGAGGGTGCGAGATTAATCAGCGATGCCATCAAAGGAGGGGCACAATTGAAACAATTGTATTTCTCGATGCCAGAACTGTTAGAGGTAATATCACATATATCAATATTCCCTCCATAGTATTTTATGGGTGGGTGCACTGCAATATTATTATTCTCACAATGAAACTGTAACCTACACAATAAGTTATGGTCAAAATATGCCAAATTTCTATGATTACTAATTTTCAGGTATTGAAAATGAGTTTCTAAGTGTATTTCATTGTTTTGACTACCTGTATTTCATTGTACAGTACTGTCCCCATATTTCAATGTCTAGTAACTGTATTTCATTGTACACATATTGTGCCTACCTTAATTGCATTTTGCACATTTTGTTTCATTGCGCTGTATCTGTAATATTTTGCAGGTGTTTTGCTGACACTGTACTTACATGTAACTGTACCTGTATTTTATTGTAGAAAATACCATTAACAAAAAGAATGAAGAAAAGCTTGAAATTATATAAAGTCCAGTATAAGCACCTGAATGTTTGGTCTGATGTAGTTACACCATCTGGTATTCTTGGTAAGACAACCATCTTCTAATATCATTGGTTCAGCTTATGGCCACTGGTTTTGTGATCATTATATAAAGCCAAAATCATGAAGTAACACTAAAAAACCAAAAACTGGAAAACAGGTCTTGAATTTCCATTTTGAGATCATTGATTATTCAGGAGTTCAACCTGCTCTGTTATACCAATACATACCTGGTCCATAATTTATCATATGAGAAGTTTGATTTTAACACAAAAGCCCGATTTTAAGTTTTCAAAAAATAAATAATCAAGCACTTCTTTTTCTGGATTTCAAATTACAATTTCTTTTTGTACTGTGTACAGTTATTCGCAAGTGTGTTAAATGTCACATGTTAAATCTTTTTAGGAATATTTGAGCTGCCATCTCCAGGTGAATGTGTGAGGCGGGATGAGTTTATTGTGCCAATCACTGTTATATGTGACAACATTAGAGACCCCGGCAACATGGGGACTCTCATAAGATCCTGTGCAGCTGCAGGCTGTGAGAAGTTAATAGCTACAAAAGGTAATCTGACTTTGCTGTCCCATGTTTTGCACTTACATGTTTTGCATATACATGTAATCAAATTTGTTTTTGTGGCTGTGAGAAGTTAATAGCAACAAAAGGTAATCTGACATTGCTTTCTCATGTTTCATTCTTACATGTTTGCATATACATGTAATCAAATTTGTTTTTGTGGCTGTGAGAAGTTAATAGCAACAAAAGGTAATCTGACTTTGAATTTGTTTTTGTGGCTGTGAGAAGTTAATAGCAACAAAAGGTAATCTGACTTTGAATTTGTTTTTGTGGCTGTGAGCAGTTAATAGCTTCAAAAGGTAATCTGACTTTGAATTTGTTTATGTGGCTGTGAGAAGTTAATAGCTACAAAAGGTAATCTGACTTTGAATTTGTTTTTTGTGGCTGTGAGAAGTTAATAGCTACAAAAGGTAATCTAACTTTGCTGTCTCATGTTTTGCCCTTACATGTTTTGCATATACGTGTAATCAAATTTGTTTTTGTGGCTGTGAGAAGTTAATAGCAACAAAAGGTAATCTAACTTTGCTGTCTCATGTTTTGCCCTTACATGTTTGCATATACATGTAATCAAATTTGCTTTTGTGGCTGTGAGATGTTAATAGCTACAAAAGGTAATCTGACTTTGCTGTCTCATGTTTTGCCCTTACATGTTTGCATATACATGTAATCAAATTTGTTTTTGTGGCTGTGAGAAGTTAATAACAACAAAAGGTACTCTGACTTTGCTGTCTCATGTTTTGCCCTTACATGTTTGCATATACATGTAATCAAATTTGTTTTTGTGGCTGTGAGAAGTTAATAGCTACAAAAGGTACTCTGACTTTGCTGTCTCATGTTTTGCCCTTACATGTTTTGCATATGCATGTAATCAAATTTGCTTTTGTGGCTGTGAGATGTTAATAGCTACAAAAGGTAATCTGACTTTGCTGTCTCATGTTTTGCCCTTACATGTTTGCATATACATGTAATCAAATTTGTTTTTGTGGCTGTGAGAAGTTAATAACAACAAAAGGTACTCTGACTTTGCTGTCTCATGTTTTGCCCTTACATGTTTGCATATACATGTAATCAAATTTGTTTTTGTGGCTGTGAGAAGTTAATAGCTACAAAAGGTACTCTGACTTTGCTGTCTCATGTTTTGCCCTTACATGTTTTGCATATACATGTAATCAAATTTGTTTTTGTGGCTGTGAGAAGTTAATAGCTACAAAAGGTACTCTGACTTTGCTGTCTCATGTTTTGCCCTTACATGTTTTGCATATGCATGTAATCAAATTTGTTTCTGTGGCTGTGAGAAGTTAATAGCTACAAAAGGTACTCTGACTTTGCTGTCTCATGTTTTGCCCTTACATGTTTTGCATATGCATGTAATCAAATTTGTTTCTGTGGCTGTGAGAAGTAAATAGCAACAAAAGGTACTCTGACTTTGCTGTCTCATGTTTTGCCCTTACATGTTTTGCATATACATGTAATCAAATTTGTTTCTGTGGCTGTGAGAAGTTAATAGCAACAAAAGCTAGTCTGACTTTGCTGTCTCATGTTTGCATATATATATTCACATGTGACCCTAAATTGAAACTTTTCATTGGTTGAAATAAAATTAAGCATAAATATTAAGGCTGATGAGGATAAAAGTTTTGAAATCATATGATGGAACCCAGTGGTTTGCTGCCCCTCTGACTCACAAGTCTTAAAGATTTTTATGTCCCAAAATAAATGGAATTTTCATTTTCATGAATATTTCATTCTGCAGGTTGTGTAGATGTCTGGGAGCCAAAGGTATTGAGATCTGCAGTAGGGGCACATTTCCGTTTACCCATAATTCCCAATGTTCAGCACGATATGGTCGGCAACTATCTGGATCAGACTGGGCAGATCTTCATAGCTGATAATAGGTAAGTAAAACAAACTATAGTTAAAGTGGAAGCAATTTTATGTCATAAAGAAATAAAATTCATGAATATATTTTATTCATTAACATTTTATGCAGAGAAATAATGAAATCTTGCCAGGAAAGCAGTTTTTAGCTGTACATGTGTATTCTCCAGATTGTGAAAAAACAAGAGAATTTATACTTAACCTTATTTAGTAAGCATAGATATACACGCCCGGTGATCGTGAATATGGGACGAAGGGGGGGAGCAGGCAATTTCTGCTAGGAAATTCAACAAATCTGGAAGATTTATTTTTTCAAGAAAAAGTTTACTATTGAATTGCTAAATGGATAGGCGCACGGTATGGTAGAATATGTTAGGTTTTCTGGGATTTTTTCTGAAACGATACGCATCTAAGGTATGAGATCTATTAAAAAAGGCGCAAGGCCATCAACAGGCACAAATCAACGTTTTTGCTATAAATCAAGCAACAATGGACTACACGACCTGTAATAAATACTTGTAAGTGATGTTATCATAACTAAATTAATGTCATTGCTGAATTTATAAAATAAGTTTCCATACGTAAAATAAAAAATAATCGAAAATAATTAAAATGGGACGGAGGGGGGGAGGGGACGGAGGGGGGGAGTAATAATTCTATAAAGTGAAACAACTTCACACGAATTCTTGTATTTGAAAAATGAACTCATTAACTTAGTAAGAAACTGGATGATATACCCCTGGAGACTGAAAAATGGGGACATTTGGAGTAAAAGGACTTAAAGTCGCGAAACATCTCTAATCATGTCTTATATACATATTGCTCCCCCCTCCGTCCCCTCCCCCCCCTCCGTCCCAAATTCATTATTTTCGATTATTTTTTATTTCACATATGGAAACTTATTTTATAAATTCAGCAATGACATTAATTTAGTTATGATAACATCACTTACAAGTATTTATTACAGGTCGTCCAGACCATTGTTGCTTGATTTAATAGCAAAAACGTTGATTTGTGCCTGTTGATGGCCTTGCGCCTTTTTTAATAGATCTCATACCTTAGATGCGTATCGTTTCAGAAAAAATCCCAGAAAACCTAACATATTCTACCATACCGTGCGCCTATCCATTTAGCAATTCAATAGTAAACTTTTTCTTGAAAAAATAAATCTTCCAGATTTGTTGAATTTCCTAGCAGAAATTGCCTGCTCCCCCCCCCCTCTGTCCCATATTCACGATCACCGGGCGTGATATAGTGTCCTTGTAAAGTCTTGCAATTTAAAGCATAATTATGATACTGTTTTTGCCGCAATAGAGATTCTGTCCAATGTTGGATATTCAGAAGTTATCATCTATTTTCTCCTTCAGGATGTCAGATTCTGATCTCATTTCAGATGGATTATTTATATCCACTAGTTCAACAAATTGACCAGCTTCTCCAAGGTTATTGATGAAGATTTGAAGCGCACTACGAAATTTTCTGGTTATTTTTTCAATTTCTTCTATCTCCAGCGTTGGCATCCTTGTCAATGCATTGAGAATGGTTCCATATTCAGCAACCACTTGATAACTCTGAAATTAGAAAAAATTTGACTTGTTTGGTATAAAAATGTAGGCATAAAATTTACTGATTAAAGAGCCATTAGGCTCTGTGTTATTGGTGCTCATTTGGACTGTAGAATGACTAGTTTTTGAAGATTTCTTCTTGAGGGGAACCAAGCAGACATTTTCTCATTTTACCTTTGATTTTAAGTTTTGAGTCTATCGCTAACACAAGGACACTGAGGACCGGAAGTTCTGAAGTCAGAGCTTCTTTATTGTAAAGACCATTAAAACCACAACTTTAGCTTTATTTTCTTGGCAGTTATGATTAAACTTGATATAACATAACATAAGCAGGAGTTTCACTAGAATTTCTTACAATAGGCTAAATAAATGAAAATCATAAATCTAACATGGATAAGTCCCTAAAAACAACAGGCCATTTTGTGAAAACAACCACTGAAAATCGCCCGTTGCTAATGAAACCCTTAATAAGTAAATAATTTGTATTTGTAGATCATATTTCTTTTTATTCCAAATTAACAGCATTAAATAAACAACTCTGACAGGTTCAAATGTTGCCCTTTGGATTTTCCATCCTAAAATCTTGTCTGTAAGTCTTGTACACTCTTTTTTGGCAAATCATTTGAAGGACTGATTTCAAATTTCCGGGGTTGGTTGTTTGTTTGAAAATCTCAAAATGATTAGCTTTTTTGGCATTTTGTTCTACATTTTCTGTACATGTAGACAAGCATCACAAATAAAGCTGACCAACAAGATGGCTGCCTCGTGTTATAAGATAGTGATAAGAAAGTGGTACAAGTGATTGTGGAAGTAGAGTGTACTTATAATTCTTTTACCTGGTCATTTTTCTCAAATTCCCACACTGTATTCTTGTAAGGCCTTGGAGCACCGGCATAGTCTGCTTCGAATTCAATGCAATCTTTCTTTTTCATATTTGGGTCCACTGTACTTATCAATCTGGGGCACTTTCCATATTTAGGCACAAATATGTACAACTTCTTCGCCATTCTGATACCCCTTTCTTGCAAATGTTTATCCTCGATATAGTTTTCAATCTTGTTCAACAGTCCTTAAATAAATTATATGGAGATAATGAGTGTCTGTTAAAGAAGCATTTACCAAACAGTTTTATCCTAATAAGAACAGTGTAATCAGATGATTAAGAATGGAAAATCGGAAAAATTGTGCGACTCTTGTTGAATTAGAACCATGGTCTGCTATTGTAAAGATGGCACATATTCATGAAATTTAATGGCCACAAAATTTCAAGCAAACTGAAAATTAGCGAATGCCAAAATATAATAGTCCAGAATGTTATCATAATAGCACTGGAAGTAACTTACCATGCGTAATGATAATCTCTAGATGTGCATAAAAGTAATTTGCTGCATGAACATCTCCTATGTGATTCTTCACACCTGAAAATATAACCTCTATGGTTATTACTTTTAAATACAGGAATCATTTTCAGTCTGTGAGTAAATTGAGGACAACAGTTCTAAGTCAATAACTTAGTAGAGCTCAAGAAAATCAGGATAGTTATGAGTTCAATGGATGTTTACCATTGCATATAATTAAATTTCTGATTTGAAAATAATGTAAAAAGTAGAAGCATGTAAATAGTAACTGTTCCCCTTCTGACATCTTGAAAATGATGTAGATATTCCCGTTGTAAAACGAAAATCTCCTGGTTCTGCCGATAACCCATACAATTGGGGATTCAACTTCACAGAATAAGAATCCAAATAAACTGAGTGAGGAATGTATTAGGTAGGTCATTTAAGTGTTGTATAGTAGAAACACTGCCTGAACAATGGTTGGATTGTACGACCACAAAGTGGGTCCTAGCATATGACAACTCTTACCTTGGATGATAATTTGAACGTTCCTGTTCCCAACCTGGACATTGTCTCCATGAATGTCTCCACCAACATTGACTTCTCCAGCCCCCTCCATCCTATTGCTTCTAATCCTATTGCTGTGACAGATACTCCCTAAATGAAATTATAAGAAATTGTAAAGAAGTGCCATGCCCGCTCAAGTCAAGTGAACGGTACAAAGTCTTTAACATGTACTAATATTATTTAATCATGCTGTTCTGTGGAAAACTTCCTAAATTTTTATTCAATTAGTCAATTTTATGTTAATTGGTCTTATCTGAAGAGACGAGCATTCATATCATTTATTTATTAAAAACAAATGCCTCATTATGTACGTGTACATGTATTTCTTGAGTCTCTAGTCAGTAACTTGAATACTGTGCAGTAGGCTTGGAAGGAGTTAAGGTTTGTTACTCTTATCAAAATATATTAGCGAGAGGTAGGTCTGGGAAGAAGATGTCACCTTTATCAGTGACAATATTCCAAATCAATATATTATTATCCCATCAAACGTAGTTCGGAGGCATATAGGGAACACCATCATCCGTTTATCTGTCCATCCAAGTAATAACTCAAATAGCCTTGGCCCGATTTTATTCATATTTGTACACATATGCCCTATGGGAGTAGGATTCTGAAATGGCCACTCATTTAAAAATGGTGGCCATTTAAGTGACGATTTTACAGTAATTTAGATACAATACATAAAACTGTAATAGCAATGTGTTTTAAATGTAAAAACCTTACATAAGACATATTATAAAGCTAGAAATGTAGATATTTAAGAAACACATGGCAGCCATCTTGAAAAATGGCGACCTTACACGCTATTATACGATTTTTGCTGTAACTTGAAAAGTAGTGGAGAGCGATTTTGTTCATATTTGATATGTGAATACTCATAGGCATTATACACACTGTTTTATGACACTTTGGCTGGAAGGCAGCCATTTTGAAATGGCCACCATTTTTACGTGTTATTCTAAGTTTTAATTCTAAGTACAGTAATAATTTTGTTCATAATAATTGATATGTTATATGGCACACAGAAGTGTGGTTGCATATTCTTATAGTTTCAATTTTTGTGGCCTGAGTGTTCTACAGTTGGTGTTAGTTAGCCTTAGGTGTCTGTAACAGTTTTCGGCGAATTTTCATCCCCACCAGGGGGGAGATTTCCCAAAGTTGACCTTTCATATTGGCACGTTCGAAAACAAATTTTATAAACAGGTCTCATTTGCCATTGTTATGGATCTTGAAATGATCACTGTAGTTTTATGAGTATTCTCTACAAGTATGGATCGAGTAACTTCAATAGTATTACTGTAGGTTTGAAATGATGATGTTGAACTGATGTAATGCCATTCCCACAATTTCAAATTTAACTATGCGCATGCGCAGCACTGAAAGAGCACATGCTCATGATTGTTCACGTGATCACATCCTGCAATTTGATTGGAGATGATGCTGGAGATGATGTAAAGGGGAATCCCTGAATACGATAGAATATGAAAGAATTATGGGAGCTACTCACTTCTTCTGCATCCCCACCATTTTAAATTCAGAAGTGCACTTACCAAAGTTAAAATGAAAGAACTCATGAAATATATTGATATAAGGGATTTGAAAATATTTCTCCTTGAATCCGTTAGTTATTTTTGTCCCACCATGAAAGTATATTCTGATAATGTATCTAAATAATGATTTAAATTGAATCTTACCTTCAATAAGTTGTCTTAAGCAGCTTCAGTCCAACTAATGAGTAATATGCTTGTGCATTGCTTTTTATAAGGTTTGTGTAAATGCCAATTTGCATAAAAGGAAGGGGATTCCCCTTTTGTGGAAGTATGTAATTCCCATATACACTGTTGCTCATAAATATGGAATATTTTATAGATACGAACTATACGATGGAATTTCTACAAAATGATAAGATTTTGATGAAAATTTGTATTGTGTCCTCATTCCCTCATCAGTTTTGCATATAAAACTGATTGGTATGAAAAGTTAAAACATTCATGGTTGATTAAACTTGTATTCACTCAGGTGACCCCACATGATCACATGATATTGGTAACTTGAAAGAGGTGTCCAAATCTTAGTTGTAATCATTGTGCACGTTATGTAAAAATTTAATTTAGAGTTGGAAGAGTTTTAGAAGCCATGCCCCATAGAATAAGCAAAAAAGACCATGGCAGGTCATATGGATGGCGCTCTCTGGCATGAAACAAACTGCCATTGCCAGGACCCTAGGGGTGTGTCAGGAACAGTCTCTAAAATTCTGCAGTGGCACCAAAGGCAAGGGAATGTGACTCCAGGTCACAGCAATAGTAGCCCTAAAGAGACAAATGTAAGAAAAGACCACTGCCTGCTACATTTATGTCATCAAAATCGCTTTAAGTCAACCAGTAGTCTATGAGATGAATGGCTGTCTCACCTCAAAACCTGTGTTCCAGGGCTATAGGCAACCAGTGATTTCTTTATAACGGTTACAAGGCCATGAGACCTTTAAAGAGACCACCGCTGACAGATCATAACAAAGAAAGGTGCCTTCAATGGGCAGGAAAGCAACAAAACGTTGTACCTAATCTTTGGTGTCATATGACAGCATGTGAAGAAATAAGATGTGTTATCCCCAAAGTTGATAATTTTGTGTTCGTTTCTGTCGTTGACCAGGGGAAAGAGACAATTAGGACTCTTACTAATGTGGCAGTTCATGAAGGCAACTCTTTTTTATGTTTGAAGCAGTATTACAGAGGTTGTTTGGAGCAGTACTACAGAAGTTGCACCCCCTTGGTGATTCCCAAACATAATTTCAGAGTAAATTGACCTCATACCCACCCACCTACCCACCTACGTGGAACATGATACAGTCATTGAAAGGTTCAATTAGAATATTAAATCTCAAAATAGCTCAAATTATTAACATTTCTACAATTCCGGCTTTATTTTATGACTAGACAGATGACAGATCCATAAATAAAGCATATGGATGCATTTTAATGTGCCGAGGGCGCCCCAGGGGAATAAATAACTAATGACCGCGAGCATAGGTCTAACAAGTCAGATAAAGAAATTGAAAGAAAGTGTGCTAAATTCGATGCCCCGAGTGGGAATCGAACCCAGCTAGGATGTAGTAGCAACTTGCTATCAAGGGTTCTTACAAATGCATCTATATTTCATCATAAACTAAGATTTAATAAACTAAGATCTTTAAAATTGAACCCTTCAAAGACTGTATCATGTCCCACGTACGTGGGTAGGTGGATATGAGGTAGGAGGTTTTTTATACAAAGCCTCAGGGCAGGCAATGTGGGCCAGCTACCATGGGCACAAAAGTCATCCAATCAGGCTAATGCAGAGCAAATGTGGGACAACCTTGGTAATGAGATTCATTACATGGACCCCCACCTTAAAATTTAGACACTTTACGCATATTAGTGCTATCATTAGATAGAGGACACTTCAATCTTCATGACCAGATGTTTATTTTGTTTGATCTGCTTAACATGACGATTTGGATCGGGGTGTTTTGAAAATGCAAAAATTCTTAGCGTACCCCTGTTTAAATAACAGTCATTTTCTAAACTAATCTGAGAATATTTGTTCTCTAAAAAATGTTGATTTGTAGATGAAATACATGGTTATGATTTATTTGCCTAGAAAATAATTGTCTGAACAGACTCCAAATAAATTTTCTCTTGCTCCAAAATTTGAATTCTGAACTGCCAAATCTAATATTCCATATTTACGAGCAATTTCCTCAAGAAAAAACAGATCGAATTTATGCTCAATCATCACCCTTACTTCAAAGTACAATGTCTTATGTACCAACCAGAGAAATATAATTAAAATCGGTACATTGAATTTTTTCTTGTCATGGTTTTAATCTCCTCCACCATATAGAGCTCCATAGTTAGTGGCCGAATTACTCAAAATTAAGCAATGTAAACATGCGCTGTTTTTCTGCAGTGAAAACGAAATGAACTTCAAGCTGCCCATGTCAACTTGTTCCATCAACTTACTTTACTAAATGACCCAAAAGGCCCATCAAAGCCTAAAGACACTGTATACAGAGACATCTATTCATGTATATAGCATTTATATTATAGTACTATAAATATGCCATGAATGCAGACTAATTGTGGTGTTCATTCAATAGCAAGAGCAAACATTTATCTACAAGCCTGTTAGTAGGCTAAGAAGCAACTGAAGAGAGCTTAGACCAGAACATGTGTCTGGGAATGCCATTTGTCAAAGATCTGGCCAGCACCATGAACAAGTTTGATCAATTAAACTTTCAAGATACATAAATATCACATTTAAGCTGACCAGAACACAATAATAATTTCAAATATCATAATAATTAGTATGTGCATATGTAGGTTGAAATGTTGCCCTTTCAAAACAATATGGTTGAATTTCATTCTTCTTGATGATATTGTACAAATTTTAATTTTGGTCTGTTTGAAAAGTATTTCAGAACATCTCATGCATTGTGTGAGAGATAATGCACTTGTGTCTTGTGTGCTTTGCCCACTTTGTGCTTTGTGCTTTTCAATGGTACCCTCTAGCAGGAGATGTCAGAAGTTGAAATATTGATTTTGCAAGCTATAAAGAAAATAAACTTAAATAAAAAACAATAAAATTACAGGATATACAACCATCAATGAAAATCAAGATTGAGCTTTGGAACATAGTTAACACATTAACAGTAGCTTTTAATGATGTTTCGCATATATTTTCAGGTGCAATACTGAAGTATCCAACAAGTTGTCAAGCAGTCACTCAAAGCACAATGATGATGACAAAATAGATGATACAGTCACAATTGAGAATGTCAATGACCCTTCTAAACCAGTTCTTGACTATGAGTACACTGAATTGATATACCCAAATAAGGGAACTGCAATACTGATTGGTGGAGAGACAGTTGGAATAAGTGAACAGATGCGAGAGTTAATAAACAAATCAGATGTTAGTCGGGTAAAAATACCCATGATGCCTGGAATTGACAGTTTGAATGCAGCAGTTGCGGGAACATTGGTGATTTTTGAGGCTAGGCGCCAGATTTTGCAGGCTATGGATGAGGAATGGATGGGCACTGAGAGCCAAGGGATCACTGAATATACACAACATTGAGTCATGTGGTCAATGAGTAAACACAACATTAAGTCATGTGGTCACTGAGTACATACAACATTGAGTCATGTGGTCAATGAGTAAACACAACATTAAGTCATGTGGTCACTGAGTACATACAAAATTGAGTTATGTGGTCAATGAGTATACACCACATTAAGTTATGTAGTTAACGAGTATACACAACATTGAGTGGTCAATGAGTATACACAACATTGAGTCATGTGGTTACTGAGTATACACAACATTGAGTCATGCGGTCAATAAGTATACACAACATTGAGTCATGCCGTCAATGAGTGTGCGCAACCTTGAGTCATGTTGTCACTGATCATGAGTACATACAACATTGAGTCATGTGGTAAATGACTGAAGTGGCAACTGTAAATGACAACTGGCAGCTACATGTATACAGGAAGTTGAATTCGAGTTCTTAGATTTTCTGTCAAATTGTCTCTTGTATATCGTGTACATCCTAGCCAAATGTCATAAAGCTATATGTAAATGTAATGTTATTTATGCATAAGGTTAGTGCCAATTCCAGGAAATACTAGAAATATTCAAAATGGCAGCCATTCAAATTTTCACATTTCTTCTATATACAACACGTTTATCCACATTTGGATAACATTGATTTCCCAAAAATATGATGAACTATACACCATTGTCTCCTTTCAGAAAATAACATTGGCATGAACAGCGATGACTAAAGTCTTTTCATCATGCGTCGAGTACCTATAACTGTTATTGAACACCCGACTACTCAATGGACGGTTTATGTTCATGCAGTGTGGTTTTAAACGTATACATCACACGCGGTACAAACTTCGACCGTTAATTTAAATTTTTGACCTACCAGGTGTTTGAAAATCAAGGATTGCGAGTCTCATACTGCACCGTTTTCTTCAAACTTGTTCCATTCAAAGCATAACAAAAATGCCTTTCTGTTGGTACATTATTCTGCTATACAGAGTCCCTACTTTCAGCGGCATTTGGGTCCCCAGCTGTGAGAAGGGCTTCTCACAACTGGGGACCAAAACGCTGCTAAAACGAACGACTCTTTTTAATAAAACAATGTACCAACAGAAAGGCAATTTTGTTTTGCTTTGAATGGAACAAGTTTGAAGAAAAACGGTGCAGTATGAGACTCGCAGTCCTTGATTTACAAACACCTGGTAGGTCAAAAATTTAAATTAACGGTCGAAGTTTGAACCGCGTGACATAAAGCGTGAAAGGAAATAGTGAATCAAGTTTGCCCTGGCTTTTTATTTTGCAACAAAGAATTTGAAACATCAATTTGACAAATAATTATTCTATTTTGCTTCCAAAAGTAATACTGACAAAACATGATTAAAAGCTAAATACAAAAAAAGAATTCACGTTGATTTACTAACCGTTAATTAATGTCCCGTCAAATGCGATATATCGTCTGTTCTCTGCTGGTCTGTTCTCTGTTGGTCTGTTCTCTGCTGGTCTGCGACTGCAACACACGGAGCAATATTCAATGTATGTTGCCTGCGCAATGATATCCCTCACATAACCTCATTGGTATTACACTAGGCCTATGTAACATGGTAGAATTACTGTGTATCGTAGAGTATGTTTGCATAGGAACATTAAAAACGAGATCTTGTTGTAACAATATAAGTGTAGACTCTTGTGTACATACAAATATTAATGAAAGGTCGGAGAAGTTTTGTTAATGTTTAATGTGAAAATGTCAGCTTGACCAAAGAACCATAGGCAAAGGCCGATAGGAGTAATTTTTAAATAAAGATGACGTGGTAATCGATCTGTGTTTATTTATAACTAACGAAAAAGATAATACTGGATTCTATTGGTCCTGCCATCTTTATATCGGCCCAGAACCTATGCAAAGAACAATGCCAACAAAATGTTCTGAGTAGAGTGCAACTAAATTATTAATGAGAAGTCTGTTGATTGTGCAGCCTGTTGTGGATTCAAATAAGCTGCAGGGAATACATTAAAACCTGTGCAAGTGAACCATTCTTGCTCCTACGTTAATGTATTCCACAAAATGTGTTCCAAATATTGAGTTTCAAGTTAAACGAAAATAATGAGTCATGGGACTTTGAAAAAATGTTCCACTTACAGAGGTGTTTTACTTGGCAGGTTTTACTGTAGGCGCACAGTGTTTTACCAAAGACCATAAAAAACTAGGAGTGGATAGGTCAATGCAACCAATCACATTATGGTAATAATGCCTTATACTTGTCTTGTTGATCATTTGAGTACTGAATTTTAAATAAAGAATCAAATCTCGGCATCATGTTGTTGACTGGCAAATATTTTTGTTTTTCATTTGTTCATTTGGCAACGACTCTCGGGCAATGCATATATACTAGTGATTGTTTTCCGTAACCAATTTCAATAGCTTACGACTGGGTAGTGTCATTCTATCATGTTGAATTAAGCATTGTCAAAAAATCTAAATTTTTAATTTATTATGTAACCAGCAGAATTGGTAACATGTTGTTACTGTTTTGTGGTAGGCGTTCGGCATCTGTATCAAATGGCAGGTGATGACATTTTGCATGTTAATTATGATATAGTTGAATAAAACATCTTTATTCATTGGTAAAATATAAAACGTATTTTTATATTCAAAACTATTCACGTACAAATCGAAATTGTTTTGTCGAAATTGATAAAATTCTTTGAATGATTTATGTTTTATATGTCACGTATGTTCATATATGTTCATGAAAAAGGCTAAGCTTTTTAGTATCGTTTACTCTTTGCAGCGTCTCCTCTGATCTTCAAGGTGCTTGCTTCTCCAATATTTTTAATTGGTTATCATGGAACTCCACATATGAATCTGGCTCATCTATGTTCAAAGGAGGAGCCGATGGTGTCTTAATAAACGGCTTCATCTCCTGCATTTCAATATATTTCGGATCATCGTCCAAGTGTTCACCGCATTCACTTTTAATCTCTTCTAGGTCGCTTGTACAGTCGGTACTATAATCATTTTCATCCACTTCAGGCTTGATACCGTTTTTCCTGCGATTGCTTTGCTGTTTGAACCTCAACCAGACTCCTGCGAACGCTTCGGCAGCGACGATATCACTCGTGTTGGCGGTGAGAATCCTAAGGATGAAGAGACCATCTTGTCTGATGTAACTCTCAATGAACTCATCGAGGAGTCCTCTCTCCGACGGATTATACACGCCGAGGTTTTGGAGGTGTGATTTGATGTAGCGATGCTTGTGTCCGTCCAATATGGAAAATAGATACCAGGAAATGAAGCTATAGGAGGAGACTGCGGCAACGAGAACAAACCAGATCCACAAACAGATATAGATCTTCTCGTTGAATAGATTGATTGACAACACACACTGGATAGTATAACGGTGGATGTTGTCCTCGAACTCACGAATTTTGAAATCGCAAAGCGTTGTACGTGGGAAGTTATCTGAAGTGGTCCAATCTCCGCTTCGCACTAAATCTAGGAGGACCTCAAAACCGAAAAATGTGTAGTTTGTTCCGGTTTTCAAGAAAGCGTTGAGTAGAATTATCTGGACGACTGCGTTCCCAATGTACAGTAACTTGATTATCAGATAGGATGCGATCATTCTGTTGCCATACGTGTCTCCGCACAGAATATGTGTGTTCTTGGCGATACATGTCCTAGTGCGCGCCGTATAGGTCTGGCTCTTGTTTTGGCAATTGAAGTAACGACAGAGCGTCTCCACGACAAACTCCGTATTCTTTTCCCTCTCTGTTGGATTGATGTTTTTTGCATTGTTGACCAGTTTTACGATTCTGTGTATGTCAACACCGCAGCTGGCTTGTATACTTTTCCATACAATACTCGGGAGGAAAAAACATGCCATCTGAGTTAAGAGAATCAACGGGACCCATTGATAATATACCAATTCCAGAGCAGAGCGGCTGTCATCATCTTTGGGAATGTCTTCATCCTGGGCCACGTAATATGTATTCTTAGTCCAACATAAGCTCATGACATAATTGTTCATCGTTGATTTAAAATGCGCCGGTGTCCAACAGTCGATGGGATGGCCCGAATATTGTCTGCCTGTAACGAATAGGGAGGATATGAGGAGGAGGATACACGTGAATTGATGACTGAGTCTATCTGAGAAGTCGTCATCGTGGCGCTTGCCAAACCTACTGAAATTACTAGCGGAGATAATGCTTCCCATCTTAATCAAGCTATATCAATTCAGGGACGCAATAATACACTGCTGAATGTTGAACTTGTGTTTGCGTTTGTTTCTTCGCCCTCTGCTTCCAATGCGGGATTGACGTCTGTTTCAAACTCCAGCTATGAAGAAGCCATAATTGTTGCAGCCTGATGGCAAATAAATGTTTTTTTAATTTGTTTTATAGTATGTATCAATAGATTTCGTCTCCAGTTCTGCTAAACTTACTTTTATGCAATGTCCATGACACTTTACTTAAATAATTGTTGACATTAGACGCCTAATATATGGTCCTGACCTTATCGTCGTCCATCTTGATCAGTGTCCTACGCTGTTCATACGCATTCGTCATAACATGAAACCGATCGGGTCGTTATTTTAAATGTTATTATTGCAACAAAGAAAAAGAGGATTACGACAATACTGTTTGAAAAACTTTGTATTAGAACAAGAAAATAAATAGTTTTAATTTTATTTGGTCTGGTTGAATATTATAAATCAAAATAAGATTAAACGATCAAAATATTAATAATACAATAGATAATCCAGTTTTGAATTGAAATAATATTGATCGTTCAATGAAGGATACTTTATACGTGGAATAACTGAAACGCTTTGCGTTCTATTAAATAATGTCATTGGTACATTTTTCAAAAGGCAATTCTGTGTCATTCCTTGCATAATGTATTATACACTCCACCACAAGTTTGGAAAACTATTTTCCTCATTAAGTGTAATTGTAAAATAGAACTCGTCAAATTATGGTTTATTTAATTGATGATTTTATAATTTTTCCCTCACTTAAAAATGTAGGATTTTGATGATTCACATTTGATGAACTTTTAAAATCGCTGCCTGTGTACATGTTACTGTATTTCATTACGAAATGGGGAGTTGCTGCATTTAGATTTCATGACATCTATAGTATTCATCCCATCAAAAGCCTAATAGTAAGCAAAAAAAATAATTTTATGTCGGCCATCGCGCTTTCTATATGGATGTTGATAAGGAATGTGCCCAAGTATTAGGGTTGCAGTTAATTTAGAAGAATAGATAGCATAACCTAGGTGTTTCTAAATTTCTACGGAAGATCGTTGAGTATCAAAAACTTTAAGGAGGACATAAACGATGACATGAAAATAATTTTCCTTGTTATTGAAACAATTACTTATTTATTTAAAATAATAACCATAACATTATAATAATATAATATAAATACAAAATCATTATATATCCTTGAAATTATTCATGCTGATGTTATCCTATATGAGGTTCAGGATATCGGGATTATCCCTAGGCCAAGTTAATATATAAGGGTTATGTACTGGGAGGTTTTGGATACAGGGTTTATCCCAAGGGAAATATGTGTATCCCACGAGGGACCAGAGGGACCGAGGGAGATGCACATATTTCCCGCGGGATAAACACTGTATCCAAAACCGACCGTACATAACAGGTGTATCTCATACTTGAGTGGGTTTGGGGTAGATATAACCTTTACCACCTTTTTCAAATGATAAGATAGGCCTATACTGTAAAAGCACAATTTATATTTAACATTTTCATAATATTCCTTCAGCTCAATACAATAGAATTGCAACATAATAAACTTTTTGAAAAATTTAAACTTCTGAAATTAAAGTTTTTAAAATTTTTAAACTTTTGAAAAAATTCCCGGGAGCGGGATGGATATATTATATCTCCCCGCATTTGACCTAGAGCGGGACATATACAATATATCCTGCCCGCTCCTCAGATATGATATATATTCCCGGGTGATATCTACCCCAAACCCACTCAAGTATGAAATACACTAGTATATCTGTCTGAGGGCCGAGGGTTTCCGGGTCTGAACCTCATATAAGATAATCTCTATTATACCATACTTGCACGTGATGATTGTCCCCAGGCAAACATAGCACATCTACCATATTTACCACCAACCCTCGTAGAAGCATACTTTGAAGCATAATTTATATTTATTTACCATCTTTACCACAAACACTTGCAGATGCAAACGTACATTGGGATAATTCCAATATCCCGAACCTCATTTAGGATAATCTATATTTATCTACCATCTTTACCACAAACATTTGCAGATGCAAACGTACATTGGGATAATTCCAATATCCCGAACCTCATTTAGGATAAACTATATTTATTTACCATCTATACCACAAACACTCGCAGATGCAAACGTACATTGGGATAATTCCAATATCCCGAACCTCATTTAGGATACACTATATTTATTTCCATCTATACCACAAACACTCGCAGATGCAAACGTACATTGGGATAATTCCAATATCCCGAACCTCATTTAGGATAATCTATATTTATCTACCATCTTTACCACAAACACTTGCAGATTCAAACGTACATTGGGATAATTCCAATATCCCGAACCTCATTTAGGATAATTTATATATATTTACCATCTTTACCACAAACACTTGCAGATGCAAACGTACATTGGGATAATTCCAATATCCCGAACCTCATTTAGGATAATTTATATATATTTACCATCTATACCACAAACACTCGCAGATGCAAACGTACATTGGGATAATTCCAATATCCCGAACCTCATTTAGGATAATCTATATTTATCTACCATCTTTACCACCAACCCTTGCAGATGCAAACGTACATTGGGATAATTCCAATATCCCGAACCTCATTTAGGATAATCTATATTTATCTACCATCTTTACCACCACCCCTTGCAGAAGCATATGTACATTGGGATAATTCCAATATCCCGAACCTCATTTAGGATAATCTTTATTTATCTACCATCTTTACCACCAACCCTTGCAGATGCAAACGTACATTGGGATAATTCCAATATCCCGAACCTCATTTAGGATAATCTATATTTATCTACCATCTTTACCACCAACCCTTGCAGATGCAAACGTACATTGGGATAATTCCAATATCCCGAACCTCATTTAGGATAATCTATATTTATCTACCATCTTTACCACCACCCCTTGCAGAAGCATATGTACATTGGGATAATTCCAATATCCCGAACCTCATTTAGGATAATCTTTATTTATCTACCATCTTTACCACCAACCCTTGCAGATGCAAACGTACATTGGGATAATTCCAATATCCCGAACCTCATTTAGGATAATCTATATTTATCTACCATCTTTACCACCAACCCTTGCAGATGCAAATGTACATTGGGATAATTCCAATATCCCGAACCTCATTTAGGATAATCTATATTTATCTACCATCTTTACCACCAACCCTTGCAGAAGCATACGTACATTGACCTTTCGATAATTACAATATCCTGAACCTGTACGCATACCATATTTAAAGTGGTAGCAGAGAACTCATGAACATTGGAAGCAATCTTGCGAAGGCATAGAATGAACTCGTAACAGTTGAAAAGCGACGTCAACACAAAGCCAAAGCAATGACTATTTTTGTAAGATAGGAACAACGTTAACTGTTGTGATCAAAAAATGTTGACAACAGTTTTTAGAATATACTTCTAACTCATCTTTTTGCTGCACCTTTAATTTGTCAATTTCGAACAAACTTAATGCCTTGCTCAGGTCGGTCTATCTCACTTGATTTAATAATTCAAGATCAGATAAGTAAAAAGTACCGACTTGGCAAAGACCACTCCATTGTAACAATGAAGGTAAAATGCATTTTTCACATTGGCCTTTATACTGACGAAATGCGCTAATTGGTCAAAACGACATACCACTCTGCCCATCTTAAAATACAAAATGATCCATCCCAAAATCAATTTGTGTACAGCGCTTTATATTTTACAATTATATTGACTTGTATCAGTTGATGACTAGTATCAGTTTGATGACATAGTATCAGTTTGTTATAACTAAGGGTAGGTTTTTAGAAACACACACACTTACTGCCTTTTCTAGAAACACACACCTATTTCGGCTTGGATAATAGCGAAGCTGGTTGAACAACATCAAGCACTCTAAACTAAATAATAAATCGAGTGTTTGGCGATTCCTAATTTAAAAGCTAGCCTTATATTTTTAATCATAATTAAACATCCTTTTTGATAAGTGTTTGTGTTTTTTTCAGTCATATTCATAAATCAAATCATTTTCGTTATCAAAAATGCCTCCGTGTATCCTATCAAGATGATCATAGCAACTTGTACTTGATGAGCACACTTCCAAACACAACCAACACAGGTGGCTATGACAGTTTGAACAAGCCACATGGTTACAACCTTTGTTCTTTTCAATCAGGGTCCGGCATTTTGGACACCTCTTTCTGTTCTCCGGATCCTCATCTATGTAGCGCTGTAGTTCGTAATCTGGATCCGTTTTCATGCTCTGATACATCGCACATGTCATTCCACTATGGTATGGGATAATATGACACGTGGTACATAGCACATTGTTGCATTCTGGGCACTGGAAGACACCTCCCTCTTTGGTTACCTTGTAAACGGAATTGCAGCCTGGTGTGAGGCAATGTCGGACCGTATCGGTGTGTTTCGCTATATATGCTGATACAGCGGATTGAACGAACTTTTCTTCCTGCCCAGTCCCCCTGCCTAACATATTTAGGAAGTCTTTGTAGACTAAAGGGCCTTCACATTCAATACATTGAATGGGGAATCGACGATCCTTTATCATGACGCTTATATGAGTTTTGATGCAATCTTTGCAATAGGGATGGCCACAATATTCTAAACGGTACAGTTTATCAGCAGAACTATAACATGCTGCACAATCCTTCTCAGTGCTATCACCATCCCCTTGTTGTTCCAACAAATCGGAACAGATTTTATTTATTGCGGATTCAACACATTCAAAGACATCGGAATCACCCTTCACTTCTAAGTTCTTTTTCACGACGTTCAACTTCAGCGACTCTGCTTGAGACGTTTCTTTGAGTCCCTGTAAGTCACTGCCGAAGTTCTTAACGAGAGCTTTCAAAAATCCCTTAGGTCTGCTTCGCCCTATTGGAATTAGTTTTGTGTGGACCTGTGACTGTCCCTTTTCGATTTCATCTAAGTAATCATTTACTTTCCTCTGTGCTTTGGATATGTGCTTAGAAGACCCATGGAGTCCAACACACTGCCTTCGTTTATCAACCTCAACGTGCAGGTACTCATGATTTGAAACATCATTTTTGAGAAATTCATACCCTTCTTCCGACAAAAGATTTTGAAGGATTTCCATTCTGGAGCAATCAATCTCTGACCCTCTAAAACACTCACTTAACACAGAATGTGCAAGGGCAATGTCTTTTACTTTTAGACTTGAAATCTCCACTTTAACCACTTTATTGTTTTGTTTCAAGTTCTTATCAACCTTTATAGCAATGTTTGCTGTGTATTCTTTCAAACTGGCAATGTGCATCTCAGCTTCCTCTTTTGTTACTCGATATATTGCCGCTGGCACAGGAATCACACATCGTATGCCTGATTCAAATGTTACAGGCTCTGCATCAATTAGCACTTGACTATTCTGCAACTTCTCTACGGTTTCCTGACCATCTAGTGCATCTTCGAACTCAACATAAGCACGAGCTTCGAAATCAACATCTCTAGGCTTGATTATGTCCACTCTAAATCTATCTTTTTTCACATAGCGTTCGATGTGTCGTTCAAGAATCTCACGATATTCATCTATCTTTCCTTCTGTTGTCTCAAAAGCTCTCACCCTTGGAATCTGGACTCTGATAATTTGAATATCCAAATCTAATTCCTCTGACCTGCTTTTAAGGTCCTGTTTAATTTTATCTTCTGTCACATCAGGCGCCACATTTGACACATAAACCTCGCAATTTCTTTTTGCGTTTTTAGTTGGTGACAACCGTAATCGTTGACCATTGATATGTAATTCACGGATGTGCCGGACAGCCATTTGAGCATCATCAATGGAAGAAAACATCACGAACGCATACTTTTGTTTTGGACGGCGCAGCCATTTCAATTTCACTCGGTACTTTCCAGATAGAGGAACTAAAGCATTTTTTCGTTCAGGTACAGCACGAATAGCATCATTCTTTGTCCCCTCAATTGCATTCTTTGCTTCTTCATGATCTTGGTATGTCAACTTTCCCCAGTTCTGATAACGTTGGTTGGGGAATTTATAACATTTCAGAATTTTGCCATATGTCTCAAATCTTTTCTTAATATCTTCCTCGGACTGTGCTGCATTCACTTTAGCTTGATTATCTGAAATCGATCCTTTGTTAGTATCCTCTACAGATTCTTTTTCGTTCCGCTCAAATCGAATCAATACAGTGTGTGATTCTGTTGGCATGAGTATGTGTTCAACAGTTCCGCCTGCCGATAGGATAGCTCGGACACCATTGTTTTCTCTCTTTAGTTGAACCTCCCTCGTTTCCTTTTTCAAAGGTTCTTTGATATTATCAATAGCTTCTTGAATAACACCCCTAGCGACTTCTATGTGTTGGCGTTTAGCAAAGATCTTAATGTTTCCATCATCAATGCTCAAATCGATTGTAAAATGGCTGTCATTGATTTTTTCTTTGATATCATCCTCCAACTTATGCAAAGTGGTAAACGCCTTTCCACAAAGTTTAAATGCAACCGTTTTACTAAGGTTCACCATGGTCTCTGGCTCAAGCACACATTCTTTTAGTTCCTCAAAATTGTAAGTCAGTGATCCAGACTCAATGCATTTCTCCACCCATGATTCATCAACAGGAGTGAGGTCAACAATGAAATCTTGGGATGTCTTCAAGTGTTGAACGAACACTAGCCATTTGGGTTGTAAGCCTTGCATCCTCAGAGATGACCCTGGGTGAACCTTAACATACTGCTCTAAAGCGGGGGAATAATACCCAAGTTTATCATGGCCAGAAAATATGCAAACATTCTGTTTGTAACAGTCTTGAAGTATCATCTTTAGCTTAGCCATAGATGCAGCGGTGTCGTCATTGAAACTATACTCAACTTGGATGCTGAGGTCCTTTTCAAGAACATCTCTTAGTTCTTTCACAGAGTCACGTGTCATTCTCATGGCCTTCGCACTGATGCTATTTTTCATACACCATCCAGTCTTCTTTTTCTCTGGCTCTGCCATCCATTCGCGGAAGACATTCAGATTTGTTATAAGATCTCCCATATCATCACAGAATGGCATTTTCTTCATATCAGCTTTTTCCTTCTCTTCGTTTGTGCCAGTCCTAAAAAAGATAGATCCTGATACCGTCATCGATGCCGCTATAGACAGGGCCTCCATTCCAACACCCTGCTCTATACCCATCAGTGTTAGAAGTCCCAATCTAGGTTCAAGGTTCAGTTTGGAAACTTTCCTCCCACTTTCTGTTATTTCTCTCTCCTTTATCAATCCAAGGATACATAATGATTCATACGCTGTCTTCGTTGCATCTTTTGACGGCGGCTGGATGAAATCAAAGTTCATTGGATCCTCGATCCCAAGATCCAACAACTGAAGTATTGTTAATCCTAGATTCACTCTCAGTATTTCCGGGGTGTCGTTTTCTTCCATGTTGTTGTAATCCTCTTCTGAGTACATTCTATAGCACTTTCCAGACTGTGTTCTCCCAGCACGTCCCTTTCTTTGGTTTGCCGAACTCTTATTGATCATTACAACATCAAGTGAGCTCATATTACGTTTAGGATCGAACCGTTTTTCCTTCACAAGACCAGAATCCACAACATATTTCACACCAACAATTGTCAATGAAGTTTCTGCGCTGTTTGTCGCAAATATGATTTTCCTGACACCATCCTTTTCTACTGGTTTGAACACCTTTGATTGTTCATCCGGTTGTAGTTTCCCATGAAAAGGGAAGCATTCGAACGACTCCTTCTTCCCAATATATCGATGGAGGATCTCACAAGCCTGCTCGGTATCCATTGGTGTTGGGAGAAACACTAGGATATCCCCGGAAGGATCGGTATGGTAGGTATGATGAAGCTCTGCTGTTTTCCGTATCGTGTCCTTTACTATTTCGCTTGTGTTTTGAGACTCTGTCTCACACCATTCTACGTCAACAGGGTATGTTCTTCCTGGTATATTTATCACTGGGCAATCAGAGAAATAGTTAGTAAAAATTGCTGGATCAATGGTCGCAGATGTTATAATTACACGAAGGTCTGGACGCTTGGGTAGACAACGTTTCAGCATACCTATCAATAGATCACTATAGATGCTTCTCTCATGAGCTTCGTCTATTATGACACAGTTGTATTTTTTGATTTCAGGGTCATTGAAGAACTCATTGAGTAATGTATGATCAGTCATAAATATCACCCTTGTATTTTTGCTTGTTCTTCTTCTCATTCCAACTCTGTATCCAATCTCATCCCCTACACGACTTGAATGCTCTTCAGCTACTCTTTCAGCAAGTGAGGTTGCTGCTACCTTTCTTGGCTGCGTGCACACTATTGTACCATTGAAGGAGTTCATTTCTGCCATGAATTGTACTAACTGTGTACTTTTGCCTGATCCAGTTTCCCCTAGGAGCACTGTCACCTGATTGTTACTCACGTGTTGTGTAATTTCCTGTCTGAAACCAAATATGGGCAGTGACGCAAACATTTTGCTCCTCTCGAAACCAAAGGACTTTTCAATTTCTTCGAGTTCTTTAAACGTTTTGGCATTTCTGGCATTCTGTGAAATTTTTTCGATCTTGTTCTCAAATTCTTCTCTTTGTCGTATTAACTCTTCAGTTTTATGAACAACTGCTTCCTTCTCAAGTTGTGTTTTCTCAAATAGTTCGTAGCTCAGGTCATTGTACGTTTCACACAACTTTAGTATTTCATCAAAATCCTCCTCTTGTTTAGCAATCTTTTGATTATGCTTCTCAAGAATCAATTTAGATTTGGATTCTATGTTTCCTTTGACCATTGCCTTTTTAGACATTAGCTTTTCCTTCTCTTCATCAACTCGAGGTTGTATTACTGTTGCTTTACAGAACGGTTTTGTTTTATTTATTCTGTTAAGCATAATAGCGGCTTTTTTGGCTTGGTTATGTGATCTAAATCTAAGTAGTAAGGTTGTGATATCGCTAACACTCTGTGATATAATTTCATGATCAGGCAAAGTATCATCGTCAGCCATCTTAGATTCGATGTAACGTTTGATCATCAGCTTACTATTTTGCCTGATTTCCTCATATATCTCCAATTTGATATTTGTCTGGATTACATCTGTCAAATTCTTTTTCGTTTTAGGAATTCCTACTTCAGATTCCTCACCCTCAATTAACTCGTCTTTAGCCATATCAATGACTGTGTATAATGTTTCGCTATTTGTTATTTCATCTGAGTTGTGAAGAACATCCTTATCTTTCGATGCCGAACGGTGTTCCTTGCTTTTACTAAAATGTTTTTTTCTACGTCTTTTTTTATTTGTTTTAGATTTAGTAAAAGTCCCGTCTACTTCAACATGAGGTCCTCTGCTTGGTGAGTCTCTTTCCTTCTCAGATTGCTCTTTATCAGAAACCCGATCGTTCATGGTATGTACGTCATCTTGGCTGGATTCCGAGGGTAATAAGTATAGTATTTCACCTTTTAGATTGGAATGGTCACTCATTTTTGTCTTCTCTGATGTTTCATCTAATGCAGAGTAAAGAACTTCTTCTTTTCTTCTGTCTCTTCTTTTTTTGGTTATCTTTTCTCCTGTTGAAGCTATTGGTTTGCAGTCTAAATTTTCAGGTGTTTTACAACCCATAACTTCATCTTTCTCTTGATCCCCGTGCCTGTGCTTTTGTAAAAAATCTTTGCAACTTTGTGTCATATTCTCATCCTTTTTTGGTAGGTCTATTTGTTTGACCTTGCTTCTCGTTTGGTTTGGGTTTTTCGAATACCCCCTTCCTCTTGGATGTTTTATTAGTGACTCTTTTGATGACGTTGATTTGCAGTTGGCATTTTTAGTGACTCCATGTTGCATTGGTTTATCTTTCTTCAAATTCTGTTTGTGTGTATCATCACGAGAAACACTATTTCTACCAGCACCATGAGAGTGAAAATTTATATTACACTGACAAACATGAGCGTGAACTTCATGACTATATGCTCTATTATGAAGAGAATTGTCTCTGCTATTTCCTCTGTCACGAAAAGAACCTTCATTGCTATATGCTCTATCATGAACAGAACATTCATTGCCATATGCTCTATCATGAACTGAACCTTGATTGCTATATGCTCTATCATGAACTGAACCTTGATTGCTATATGCTCTATCATGAACTGAACCTTGATTGCTATATGCTCTATCATGATCTGAACCTTGATTGCTATATGCTCTATCATGATCTGAACCTTGATTGCTATATGCTCTATCATGAACTGAACCTTGATTGCTATATGCTCTTTCATGATCTGAACCTTGATTGCTATATGCTCTATCATGAACTGAACCTTGATTGCTATATTCTCTATCATGAACTGAACCTTGATTGCTATATACTCTATCATGAACTGAACCTTGATTTCTATATGCTCTATCATGAACTGAACCTTGATTGCTATGTGGTCTATCATGAACTGAACCTTGATTTCTATATGCTCTATCATGATCTGAACCTTGATTGCTATATGCTCTATCATGAACTGAACCTTGATTGCTATATGCTCTATCATGAACTGAACCTTGATTGCTATATGCTCTATCATGAACTGAACCTTGATTTCTATATGCTCTATCATGAACTGAACCTTGATTGCTATGTGGTCTATCATGAACTGAACCTTGATTGCTATATGCTCTATCATGATCTGAACCTTGATTACTGTGTGGTCTATCATGAAATGAACCTTGATTTCTATATGCTCTATCATGTACAGAACCTTGATTGATATGTGCTCTATCATGGACTGAACCTCGATTGCTGTATGCTCTATCAAGAACAGAACCTTGGTTGTTATAGACCCCATCATGAACTGAGCCTTGATTGTTTTGAGGGTTATTTGGCATACAACCTCTTCTGGGGTTTTGACCGATCCATTCCATTTCAGACAAATCTGAAGGAACTGGCCCTAACAGTGATTTCTTACCACTCATTTTTGTCTTCTCTGATGTTTCATCTAATGCAGAGTAAAGAACTTCTTCTTTTCTTCTGTCTCTTCTTTTTTTGGTTATCTTTTCTCCTGTTGAAGCTATTGGTTTGCAGTCTAAATTTTCAGGTGTTTTACAACCCATAACTTCATCATTGCTATGTGGTCTATCATGAACTGAACCTTGATTGCTATATGCTCTATCATGATCTGAACCTTGATTACTGTGTGGTCTATCATGAAATGAACCTTGATTTCTATATGCTCTATCATGTACAGAACCTTGATTGATATGTGCTCTATCATGGACTGAACCTCGATTGCTGTATGCTCTATCAAGAACAGAACCTTGGTTGTTATAGACCCCATCATGAACTGAGCCTTGATTGTTTTGAGGGTTATTTGGCATACAACCTCTTCTGGGGTTTTGACCGATCCATTCCATTTCAGACCAATCTGAAGGAACTTGCCCTAACAGTGATTTCTTACCACGTTGGTTATAACCCTGTTCAATATTACTCTCAAAAGAGCTGCTATTTTGTCCATGAGAACTGTTTCGCCAAATTCGACCATAAAATGACGAATTTCCACCTGAACTGTTGTCATCTTGGAGATGATGATCCTTTTTCCCAAGAGACTGCCGTTGATCTCTCTGGCCTGGTTGTCGTTGTTGCCTATTCGATCTTCCATTTTGATTAATTTGTTGACCTCGTTGCGTCAAACCTAAAATATATAGTCTAGATTAAACAGTAATTGACAAAGTTAGTTTATGTTAATCATCATAATCAAATTAGAAAAACTGACGAATAATAATAGGCCTACAATAAAATCATTTTGGCAAAAGGACAGCAAAAATGCGATTATCATTTTCAACCCGACGTCCGGATGTGAATGAATAGTCATACACACGTAAGCTGTGTGCAGGTGTATAAGAATATCTTGCTGTATGTGATGGGCAATGGACAAAGCAAACCGTACGTCAATTTAAACGTAGTAGAATGCCTGCATTCCGAAGAACCTCATGGGAGGATGGGACTAAGTGACTTCATGAGACGCTTTAGGACTAAACTGGGCACAATTTATTTTTTTGACGTTATATCAAAGAAAATTACTTACTCCATGCAATGGATATATCATTTGTGGGTAACCTTCACTTCTGTTTGAAGCCCAATAACGCTAGGAGTAAAAGCTATTGAAAACGGCGCCAGAGTATCATACTCTAAAATGTACCATTTCTTTTTTTAAATTTTTTATTGGCATAACAGGATAATATTTACATATGTTTCCAATACGAATGTATTAATGAGATCTGGATGTATTTGGTCTTTTTAATATTTTTATAAAAAATAATTATTAATTCTTTTGTCCGCTGTGACGGAGCAGTTTCACAGTTCACATTTGCAACTGGTTCGTCACGGCGGACAAAAAAATTAAAACATTATTTTTTATACAAAATTTAAATTAAAAAGAACCAATACATCAACATCTCATTAATACCTTCAGAGTTATGCTAAACACATATGTATCGTGTCATATATTTCATCGTGTCACTATATGGTGCCATTAAAAAGTTAAAACAAGGCACAGACGTGAACAATATCGTACCTAAAACACAGCATTGTGGTCTTGTTGACCAAGAAAGCAAGATGGCCGCAGAAAAGTTAATCAGCTCTGGAACTTATCACTGTGTAACATATGTAAAAATTTGAACCTGTAGACAAGTCTTGAAAGTGAAGATTTTAGGACGGAAAATCCAGAATGGCTACCTTAAAATTTACCCACAATTCCCAAAAACCAATCAGATCTTGACGTTGATATGTAGAAACATCCCTGAAAATTTCAGATGAATCCCTCAAATGGTTTGGCTGAAAATCTGTAGACAAGTCTTGAAAGTGAAGATTTTAGGACAGAAAATCCAAAATGGCCACCTTAAAATTTAACCAGAATGCCCAAAAACTAATCAGTTCTTGACGTTATATGTAGAAACATCCCTGAAAATTTCAGATGAATCCCTCAAAAGGTTTGGCTGGAAACATGTAGACAAGTCTTGAAAGTAAAGATTTTAGGACGGAAAATCCAAAATGGCCACCTTAAAATTACCAATCACAATGCCAAGGAAATCACCTGTTTATAATATGATGAATATATGGAATAAAATTCCAAGAGAGCTAAAATCATTACCAAGTATAGCATCATTCAAGTACAACTTAAAAAAATTTCTCTTCCAAGGCACAATCTCAACAATGACCTTAAAACTCTCAAGGAAACAAGAAATTATTCTAAATCGTGCCAGATCAGATCTCATTCTCAAATCACAACTCAAGGCCCACAACTGGACAACTGTTGACTCTCCAAACTGCGAATGCGGAGCCCCTGAGACTTTCCGCCATTTGTTTTTTAAATGCCCATTGAAAACTGAACAAATTCTTAAATTTAATAGAGATATTGAACTAATCACTGGAAACCAATCTCAGTTCAGGACCCAAATGGACAAAATAAATCTTTACTTATTTGCTCACCCTTCACTTACTCAGGAACAAATTGACAATCTTTTATCAGTGGTGAGCCTATATCTTATTGAGCACGCATAGTTACATGTAGTTGGAAGCTGGTCTACTTTTGTTCTCAGCCCTACCACTCCTTATCTCTACTGCTTTTCTCCCCTTGTTTCATTCTCTTACATTATACTGTAGCACCATGAAGTCTTCTTTGTGCCACATACAGGGTGTCCAAAAAACAAGACCGTAAGAAAGTTGAATAACTCGGTCAATTTTGCATATTTTGCCTTGAAATTTAAGAATTATTTAGTTCATTCAATGTGAATTTTGTTCTGAAAGTTTGATAATCTGTTCATTGTGTCAAAAACTACAGTCCTTTACAAAACATGTTCAAAGTGGGCACTTCTCCTCTCTATGCACAAACGAATCCTGCGAACAAAGTTGTTAATGACCCTTACCTATACACATTAATGTGGATGGTAAATATTGGGGTAGTTATTGCCCTCTTAAGATTGTTAGGGGCCTGTCAGTATACACATTGGCTTTGAGAAATCCTCAAAGACAAAAATTTGGGGGATTTAGATCGGGCGAATGAGCTGCCCATATGGTTTGCGTTCTGCAACTGATGAGCTGACCACCAAAGCATTGCCTAAACCATTTCAGCATATCATTTGCAGTGTTGGGGTGGTATTGGCTTGTTCAAACCACTGCTTAATTATCTCCTTAAATGTCCCTTCTGGTGCTTAGTGACCTCCAAAACTTGGTGAGAACTTACTGGTCCTTGTTCATGGTGATAGCAAGTCCCCAGTCACCTTCGAACCAAAAGGGAATGATGATTCCATGTTTCCTCATTGCCACCCAGGGAGTGCATTGTTCAGAATGCAATGGATGCTGTAACACTTCATCAGTAGGATGTAAGCCCCAGTAGCAATTGTTCTTGGAACAAACTTGTCCATTCAGAAAGACATGTGTGTAGGAGGATCATCAACAGGTTTGTTCGCCGGATTGAATTGTGCATAGAGATGACATTTGCACATTTGGGGCATGTTTTGTAAGGAGCTGTAGTTTTTGACTCAATTGGTAGATTATTATCAAACTTTTATAACAAAATTCACATTGAATGAACTAAATAATTCTGAAATTTCAAGGCAAAATATGCAAAATTGACAGAATTATTCAACTTTCTTACGGTCCTGTTTTTTTTGGACACCCTGTAGAAAGTACAGATCAGCCGTTTATTAGCCATGGGAGACTATGGCGTGAACCTCTTTTCCCTACTCATACTACTATATCTTTGTTTCCAGGACCCTATAGGCAGAGGCAGCAGCCCCCCACACTCCAATTAAAATGCAGATGCTTTCTTTACTATTTTTTTCTAATATATAATTGTGTATTAAAACCATGTTTACAAATTGTAATTACTACATTGAGGGACACCTATAATGCCACTGGCGATTGGGTCCCTCATGTATGATATGTACTTTTAATGATTAATGGCAATAAAATCTCTTGATGAAAAAAAAGATATACCCAGAATGCCCAAAAACTAATCAGTTCTTGACGTTGATATGAAGAAACATCCCTGAAAATTTCAGAGAAATCCCTCAAATGGTTTGGCTGGAAACCTGTAGACAAGTCTTGAAAGTGAAGATTTTAGGACGGAAAATCCAAAATGGCCACCTTAAAATTTACCCAGAATGCCCAAAAACTAATCAGTTCTTGACTTTGATATGTAGAAACATCCCTGAAAATTTCAGATGAATCCCTCAAATGGTTTGGCTGGAAACCTGTAGACAAGCTGAAAAGTGAGACGCCGCCCGCCGCCCGCCCGTTAAGCTGACTACAATATCGTACCTTTTGTTAGGTACGATAAAAAGAAATGGTATATTTTGGAGTATGACACTCCGGGGCCATTTTCAATAGCTTTTCCTCCTAGCGTTATGGGACTTCAAAAAGAAGTGAAGGTTACCTGCAAATAATATATCCATTGCATGGAGTAAGTTATTTTCTTTGGTATAGCGAAACATACAAGTTAAAAATAAATTGTGAAGTATTCTTAGTGTTTTTATGAAAACTAACATGCTCCGTCACAGTGGACAAATCTTTCGATACCACCCTGTGAAAATACTTACCTTGACTTTTGGAATGTTCGTCTCTTGTAATTTGACTTGTATCATGTGTGTCAGTATTATCACGATGACCTCCTCTGTGCTTATCATTGTTGAATGTTTTGGAATGTACCTTTGGTCTCGCCCCCAGGCCTAACAAAGGATCTACAACAATTCAGAGCAAAATTTAGTTAATCATTTATCTTTTTTTAGATGTTTGTGATTAATATGACAATACACATAATATGCAAAGTGCTATTCTTAAAAGAATCAAATTATAGTTATTTGTATCTTGGGTATTATACACTTAAGGTATCTTGGGAAATGGGAATAATACTTAAGTTACTTGTATCTTCATAATTATACTGTAGTATTTTGTATATGAGGAATAAAATTGCATTTACTTGTATCTTGGGTAGTATACTTAAATTATTTATATCTCGGGAATCTTTTTCTAGTTACCTGTTTCTGAGGAATGAAATTGTGTAGCTAGTTACTTATATCTGAGCAATGAAACTGTAGTTACCTGTATCGAGGTTATTATACTGATTATATTAATAGTATCACTGCGGATAGTGGGGCAAGATTTGAATCACTGAAAATTAGAGTTAAAGAAGTTAATCCCTCAATTATCAGTCTCTGTGAGACTGGTGCTCTATCCAAAGATGACATTGCCAACGGTAATTTTGACATAAAACATTATAGGACTTTATACTCTGAGTTAGGAAGAGGCCTTCTTATTTATATACATGACCAGATTGCCTTTAAGACAATTGACTCAGATTTTTACATTGAAGGCTTAGATTGTCTTTTTGCTGAATTAATAATAAATCAAAAGAAAATTTTATTTGGAGCCTGTTACAGGTCTCCAAGTATGAATGCTAACCAAACCCGTGAATACTTTTCTCTTTTTAAGCAACAGCTTCATAAGATTAATAATAATGTTCCAACTTTTGACCATGTTATGATCATGGGTGACCTAAATGCTAAAAATTATATTTGGTATGATAACAATGATGGCAATTTAGCTGGTGATAAACTTCTAGAATCTATTGATGAGTTTAATTATGTACAATTAATAAATAAACCCACAAGAATAACAAGGCATTCAAGGTCATGCATCGATCATATTATTACAGAATCACCTGATATTTTTAATTCCTGGACAATAACTGACCCAATTGGAAGGACTGATCACAGTACTATTATAACTCAAATTAATCTCTTAAAGTTCAAAAGAAAAAATCAGTGAGAAAAAAATTATGGAAATATAAAGAAACCAATCTTGTACACTTGTAAGCTTAAATAACTCAATACGTAATGAAAACTGGAATCAAATTATTAATAATGGCACTGATATGAATAAAATTACAATAGACTTTGTCCAGAAATTAACAACTATTTACAAAACTAATATTCCAAACAAAATCATTACTATCAGGGCAAATGATCAACCGTGGTTTAACGACAAACTTAAGTTAGAAATTAAAAAGAAAAGACAATACTACAATCAAATGATTAAAAATCCAAGTGATGAAAATAGAATAAAATATGACCAACAAGCATTACAATTAACAACTTTAATCAAAGAAGCTAAGTGTCAAAACGAAATAAATACTTTGGAATCTATGAAGACTTTAAGCAAAAATGATAAGAACTATTGGAAAATAATTAAATCTTTTCTCGGTAATTAGCATGTTAAATCTGATATCCCATCAATTATAGATGAAAATTCAAATCACCCACTCACTAGGAACTTAGATAAAGCTAATGCATTTTTGACTTTTTTTTGCAAATAAGAATCATCTAGACGAAAATGACAATCACTTTTTACCAGACTTTCCAATGAGAACAAACTCACTGCTGATTTCAGCTAAAACTGATCAGTTTGAAGTTATGAAGTTAATTTTGACTCTTGACCCTTCCAAAGCTTGTGGCCCAGATGAGATAACAAATAAAATGTTAAATTTAACTGCACACTCACTTTCTAAACCACTATCTGAACTTTTCAACAAACTAATGGCCAAGAATATTTTTCCTGATACTTGGAAAATTGGCAGTGTATGTCCTATTTTTAAAAAACAGGACAAATCCAAGATTAGTAACTACAGACCCATAACACTACTCAATACATTATCAAAATTGTTTGAGAAAATTATAGCTGACCGAATCAAAAAACACTTAATTTCGAATGATCTTTTGTTCAAGTATCAGTCTGGCTTTCTACCAGGCCATAGCACCCATTCTCAGCTAATGGCAATTGAACATTTTTTACTTACCAATTTTGACCAAGGCAAAGCCTCTAAAACCATTTTCTTGACATTGCAGCTGCTTTTGACCGTGTTCCGCATAACTTACTTCTACACAAACTAAGGGCCTACGGTATTCATGGACAACTTCTAAATTTACTAAAATCATATCCGACAAATAGGCGGTTTTTTGTAAACATTGCTGGTGAGTCATCAGTAACAACTGAAGCAGGCTTCCTAAACTGTGGCGTGCCACAGGGATCAATTTTAGGCCCACTTCTATTTATTTTATACATTAATGACCTTCCTGATAATGTTAACTCCAAATGCTATATCTATGCAGATGACACATCTCTTCATTTTATTTTTGATCCCAAAAAGCCCCAAGAAATTGATGAACTAGTTAAATCCGATCTAACTGAGATAGAAAATTGGTCCAAATTGTGGAAATTACAATTTAAACCAGAAAAGAGCTGTGAAGTTATTTTCCATGGAGTTAGAGCAAATCCTCAAAATGTAAGCAAATCCTTTCTAAGTGACTCTGAAATCGAAAGAACAAATGTACATAAACACCTTGGATACACTTTTGATCATAATCTGACCAATCAAAACCATATTGAAGAAATATATAATAAAGTTAGGAAAATAATAAATCCCCTGAAGAACCTTAAAACAAAGTTAAACTCAAGAGATCTGGAAACGCTTTTCAACTCATTTATAAGACCTCATTTTGATTATGGTACTGCTATTTTTAACACTGCATCAAAATATCTTCTAAATAGACTTGATCAAATTTATTATCAGGCTGCTCTTTTGTGCTCTGGTTGTCTTCATGGCAGTAATACTGATAAAGTTTTGAATCTCCTTCAATGGCCTTCTCTAGACACAAGAAGAAAAATGCAAATTAACAACTTTATGTTTAAAGTTGTAAATGGTCCAAATCCACCCTTTTTAGATGAAATTTTTGATAAATTCAAAAATCGGGGAACACGCAATCTGCGTGATAGATCTGAATTTAATTTACCAACCAGATGCTCAAAGAGGTTCTTGAATTCATCAGTTCCATCAGCAATATCAAACTGGTCACGACTACCAAAACGATTACGTAATTTGAATACTCTCCAATCCTTTAAAAAACACCAAAAGATTTTGTTTAAAAACCAAGAAAGTTTTATTAGCACCTCCAAACTCAATCTAAAAAGATCTCATGAAATTTTGATTAACCAATTTAGAGCTGATCTTCTTTTCAAAGCACAACTTTATGCTCACAACTTCACTTATGTTGAGAATCCAAACTGTAAATGTGGAGCCCCCCAGACGGAAAAACACTTCTTATTTCATTGTCCCCATATTAAAGAAAAGATAACAAAATTAAAAACTGATATTATTAATATAACTGGACTATCAGATAATCATTTAACTCAGAATGATCTCCTTTACTTAATGAAACATGGCTCGGACAATATTTCCCTTGATCTAAATTCACATCTCCAAACCTCAATCGCTGAATTCATTGAAATGAACCTATAACGTTTTCCCCTCCCTACATACTATATATACTATACTTTATTTTATATTATCCACACTTAATATTTCCACCCCATGGCCAACCACAAGTGCAGAGTGAACCCCTTGACCTAATCATAATTTTGTATTTTGTGCTATTAATGTACCCTTCTATAATGCCTTCGGGCGACTGAAGGGATTTATATTATGATATTTTTATGAAGCAATAAATATTTCTTAATAAAAAAAATAAATAAATAAAAATACTGAAGTTACTTGTATCTGAGGAATTAATCTGTAGTTATTTATATCTGAGGAATCAAATTGTAGTATTCTTATCTCTATGGTATTTTTCTAGGAAATACAATTGTAGCTACTTGTATCTTCGGAATGATTATCAATTGTACTTGGGTATTATATTGCAGATACTTGTAACTGAAAATGAAATTGGAGCTACTTGTATCTATGGTATTATACTATAGTTACTTACTTCTGGGGAATCAAATTGTACTAACTTCTATCTAGGTTATAATACTTTAGTTTCTTGTATCTGGGGAATTATACAGTAGTTACTTGTATCTGCGGAATGATATTGTAGGAGTTAGTTACTAGTATCTGAGAAATCAAATTGACTTCTATCTAGGCCTTAATACTTCAGTTACTTGTATTCGGGGAATTATACTGTAGTTACTTTTATCTGAAGAATGAAATTGGAGTACCTAGTTACAAGTATCTTAGGGATCAAATTGTACTAACTTCTATCTAGGTTATAATACTTAAGTTACTTGTATCTGGGGACTTATGCTAGAGTTACTTGTATCTGGGGAATGAAATTGGAGTACCTAGTTACAAGTATCTTAGGAATCAAATTGTACTAACTTCTATCTAGGCTATAATACTTAAGTTACTTGTATCTGGGGACTTATGCTAGAGTTACTTGTATCTGGGGAATGATATTGTATAAGCTAGTTACGAATATTCGAGGAACCAAATTGTTGCTACTTCTATTTAGGGTATAATACTTAAGTTACTTGTATCTGGGGAATTATACTGTAGTTATACTGTGTTGTACTGTAGTTGCATCTGAGGAATGATATTGTAATCGCTAGTTACAAGTATCTGAAGAATCAAATTGTGATTATTTCATTAGGAGTATAATACTTTTATTACTTGTATCTGGGGAATCATACTGTAGTTACTTGCATCTGAGGAATGATATTGTAGTAGTTAGTAACTGGTATCTAAGGACTCAATTTGTAGTAACTTCTATCTAGGGTATAATATTTAAGTTACTTGTATCTGGGGAATGAAATTAGAGTAGCTAGTTAGAAGTATCTGAGGAATCAAATTGTTGAAACTTCTATCTACTTGTATCTGGGGAAGTATACTGCAGTTAGTTGTATCTGGGGAACTTCTATATTCTAGTTACTTATGTATGAGGAATCAAATTGTAGTAACTTCTATCTAGGGTATAAAACTGTTATTACTTGTATCTGGGTCTATACTGTACTGTAGTTGCTTGTATCTGGGGAACTATACTATATAGATCTGGATCTAGGGATTCAAATTGCATTTACAGTACGTGTACATTTTTATGTATGTGCGAAATCATATTTTATTTTCCTGGATCTTGAAAATCATAATTGTAGTCTTGTATGTGGGAAATCGCACCTGTATCCGCCGTCCGGGTAATTATACATAGTAGGTTGAGCTACTCGTTTCTGAGACCTTGTACATGAACGTGTTGTAAATATAACCCCCATATAAAGGATTACTGTCCGCTCTCAACTGTTTACCCGTTACCCGTTATACGTTCGCGTCCAAGTTCTGTTTTGAAACTGAGCTCCCTGGAGAATAGATATCGTACTATCATAACATTGGACCTGTATCCAGGGAAGCAGTGTAGTCTTATTTAATAGTTACCTGTTACTACTGGGTCCTGTGGACACTGTTCCTGTTCAGAGTTAGTATTAGACTGCCGACGACCAAGTCCATACTCGATCCCTCCTTTAGACCCACGCCTTTTCCCCCCATGGTTGTTGTGTCTTCCAGACATGTAGATCTTTTTGGTGAATCTGACCACGTTGAGGATCCGTATGTTTCCTAAATCATCACTATTCCCCTTTGATAAATGTACCCCATTGCTACAAAGGATGCAAATATCCACTAACATCTCCGAGGAAGTATTTCTTGATTGGCTACATGAACAAGCTAATCCGAGTTATATGTTGATTACACATTTTGCATTTTGTGAAAAATTTCATCGAGGTCTAATGGTGCCAAGGATAAATTTGAACGCCATCAATAATTAAAGACTTCCCGATTTCAGTCATGAATCACGTCAATTTCATGTGCAAACTTTGGGTAGACGTTATTCCGGGCGCCCAAACGTGTCAGCAGAAACACATATAGATACTTGAATGATCTTGATTGGACATCAGGTTGCAGAGAAATCGTAATATTACTGCCAGAATGGCTTCACGAAAAAATAAAAAGGCTATACGTTAACATAGATCCCGGCCAGATTCTTTTGTACTTGTAGTAGGATCAGTAGCTCAATAAATATTCTTTGAGCCTATGAGATCCTACTACAAAACGATCTGGCCAATATCTGTGTACGTTAAGTAAATAAGTAAATAAAAATTCAAACGTAAAGAGGCTTTAACACGTAGTTCAATGGGGAGCTAAGTTAGCCAAACTTATGGAGAGGCGTGTATATTACAAATTTTTTATGTCATAAACAAGAATCTACGGATGATGATATTTCTCTCTACCTGAATTTTTCATGTGCATAATCAAGAATCTTCGGATGGTGATATTTTTACTCTACCAACTTGGCCTTGAAGTTTTCAAAAATAACATCACTTCACAGTTTTCATGTTACGGTAGCTTTAGGGACCAATAAACCTTCAATTCATAGTCTAGATGAAAAATATGTTTATGTGTGATGGCTTTGCAATGTTTCTTTAGTCAAGATATACAATATAAGTTATTATAAAGTAAACAGATTGTAAAACCATGTGTCCTTATCAAAAAAATATGACAGCTGGAAAGTAACATTTTGGTAAAAAATTGCTATACCTGCACATGTTATTTTCTCAGTACAAAATAAATTATGAAGGCATGTGTCAATTTTCTTGCTTTTTTCAGGAAAGTATCGTTACATTGTCTTCTTTTAGAATATCTGGTAGGGGTTCAATGGGAACTCCAGGAAATTCTGATATTTCACACTTTCTATTTTTCCAAATTTTCTTTCAAAGTTTCCAGACAACACAGGAGCTACAATTGACCTGTTTTCAGATATTCTAAAAGTAAACAGTGTAATGATACTTTCCTGAAAAAAGCAAGGAAATACACACACGCCTTCATACTTAATTTTGTACCAGAAAATAACATGTGCAGGTATAGCAATTTTTTACCAAAATGTTACTTTCCAGCTGAACCTAATTCAAAATTGAAATATTACCCCTAATCCACGTCGACGACCATGACGGCGAATATGCAATAAGTCAAATATGCGGTAGTCTCAGGTAGATTTGAAAATCTCCGTCGTGACAAGCTTGACTGTTTCATTTGCATCGGCTATAGAAAGAAAGTAAAAAATCGTTGTATTCCTTTGTGGGCTCAACCCAAAGTGTCAACACATGTACTTGAAACTATTATAATTAGTTCTGAGAAGTGGGCACTATTTATATTCTCCTCTACGCTATTTTCATACTATTATTACTCCGCAGAAAAGAAATAGTTTCACATTTTGTCAACTCTTTACAATAGTTTTACTGTTTGTTTTCTTGTTTGGTACTTCCCAATCCGCTCTTATCCAAGATTATCAACTATAATAGCCAATACAACTCATAATTTGTCTCTCGTGTCCGTTTAAGACTGACTTGTCTTGAACACACCTCTGCGGCGAGCAAATCGGCTCTCAGCTGCTTCTTTAGTAAGATAGCTAAATGACGACGACGTCATCGAGAAATCCCTAGATTGCGCGTATTGATTGATAAACCCACGTGGTGAACTATTATCAAAACTCAAGGAGGTTTTGCTCCCAGAATGCAATACCGATATTATTTCAGCCGTTTCGTTCGGTACGCATACTAAGCCCGGGTATTAAACAAACCCCTAAGCCAGGTGTAAAAGAGTAGGAGGTCCTATCAAATTATGGTCCTACTCTCCATTGATTTATATGGTGACCTAAATACAACTCTTTCCCTCATTATGTTATACGCAATCAGGGCCAGTAAGGACCGTTAAGAAAGGGGACCATAATCCCTGTGGGACCATCATTTCTTTCACACCGGTAAATGCTCAATTCCGTACCGAAACCGTATGAAACCGGATGAACATTATTTCAGCTGATATTCTTCTAGAAACGTAGTGGATCTTAAAAATCTATAAGTGGGACTCCCTTTATAGAAGCTTTGAACTGAATTTACACTCCTCAATGCTGATATAGCTTATACATACATTTCAAGAAAATAAGTATGTCAAAGAAGGTGTTAAGCCAAATATTGACATGCGGCTTAAAAAATAAAAAAAATTCGAATTTTCTCTCTACAGTCCTTGTTGCCCCTTTAAATGGAAGTTATGGTTGTTTAAAACATCTTAGATGCTCTAACAGTGCTGGCTTTCAGCAGTCTCACTCCTCCTAGCTTTCGGGGATTAAACAAGTTATGTAGAAAATTGAATTTGCATTTGTTTAACAAAAAATGATATTTTTCTTCACGTTCAACAAAGTTATAAGTCTCCAAAGTCTCCAAATTATTTTTCAAGAAACCTCTCCCATTAATAACAGAAGATGCGAAAATGATTTTCAAATACTAGTATGACTTTGAAGCTCTGTAATTTTTATGTTCACAAAGTAAACTTTACACTTAAGAGTACAAAAAATTATTTTTAGAACATTTAGAGGCATTTGGAAATGAAGTCATTACGTTTCGTTAAGCATTTTCATCGAGGGTTATGTAAATAAAAATCCAAATATAAAGAGGCATTGCGTACTCAAGAGGGAGTTAGGGTTGCCAAACTTTTGGAGGGGAGTGTATATAGTCTGAGCAGTACGGTCGATCTCGATTTTCCACCACCACTTTCAAACCATGGTGGTTTGCAACACGGTTTCCAATATTATCGATCTTAGATACATATCCCCTAAAAGTATATTTTTCATTTTGTATATTCTCATCCGCTGATGTATGGCCTCTTGAAAATTCTCGAATTTTTAACATAGGTAATACCCACTTCAGCAAATCCGCTACTCATATATTTATTGCTCAGGCTGCACTGGTGGGTCCAGGGGGGGGGGGGGGCATGGAGCCGACTCCCCCTCCCCTTTGGCCCAGACGAAAAAAATATAGGACCTAAAATTTTACAGGGCCTCTAAAATGGGCCTTCTTGGGCTTAACTTTCCAAGCCTAGGGTCTTATCTCTGACTCTTGCAGCAATGCCAGGCCCGTCAGAGGGATTGGGGGAATTCGTTGCGGCCAATCATTAGACTGGGGGTGGGGGGGGGGGGGTGTAGGGTGTGTGAGCATAACCTCCCGTAAGATCCTCAGTTCAGTGATTTCTGGACATTTAAAAATGTTTGAACGCATTAGAATCAATAAAAAGAAATCCTGACTCTTTCCAGTTTATCGTTAACTTATTTTGGGAAAGCGGGGGGGGTAGTGCAGAAACGATTGTCCGGCGATTGTCCAATAATGATTTGGTTCCGCCTAAAAACCCAGTTGCTTATGATATTACATTTAGTTCAGTGTAAAACGTTAATACACTTATCATTGAAGCATTTTAGCTTGATATGTGCAGTTAAGAATATAATATAGAGTCACTGTCTCGTGAAAAGATAACTTAGCCATCCTAAAGCGTATCATGGGGTTACTGTTCAGGTAATTTCGTTTTCTTCAGAAGTTTGTGTTTTGATTGATTCTGCACATGCGCGTAACGCCTCTTCCGGTCTGGCAAGAAAGAACCGTTGATTTACTAATAACATTTTAAACTGGATTAAACACTAATAAGGACAACTTTATAAGTGACCAACAAGAGTGTGTTCTGAAGGTAAGATACGTTTTTAAAGATTCTTTCAAATATTCTGTGATTTTGATCAAAATTGGCACTAAAAATGAACTTTCATTTCAGATGTCGTTCAGGATTCGAGAGAGCAGATTTCGCCATGTTTTTGGAAAACCGCTCAAAAGGACTGACTGTTTTGACAATATTAGAATTACAAAGACAGCATGGGATTCCACATTTTGTGCAGCAAACCCCAAATATATAGCTATTATCACAGAGTCAGCAGGAGGAGGATCATTCCTTGTTTTACCATTAAACAAAGTAAGAAAGTTTTATCTCCCAACCAGGAAATGTTTCCAAATAACTGCATTCTTCCTTCAAATAGAAGTCATTCATGACTCATATCCAAATAATTTATGGTAAAATACGAGGTATGTATCTGGATCTGTGAATAGCATTATCAAATAATGTACATTCTATTCAGGAAAGGTCAAGAAATCACGTTTTGAAGTATAAAAACTCTGACAGAGTGTTTGACCCCAATGACCCTAAATTATGGTATGGCGTTCCCATATAAGGACATAACTACACGTCTGTAATGTACTTGTGAATACAGATCTTTATGATAAAACATCATTTGTTAGACAATTCCAGAAGAGCCATGATTTCAAAATATACTTTGTTGTGCTTGCCTTTGGAATTATTGCCAAGGCCTGATATGTTAGATCTAGTGGATTTCTGTAATACTCTTTAAAAGTATAACCTTACTCAGAGGCTGGACCTGTATGTCAACACTGAATCAGCTGATTGAATAATTCTGATAACTTTAAGAGAATAATTCCTGATGACTGAATATTGTTGTATGTCTTATTAATATTGCATATAATATCATTCGGCACTTCAATTTACCAAAACTTATCATTATTCTCAAAAAATATCTCTATTTTGATCAAATGTCAAAATATTTTAACCATTTTTCCAATATATACATACATGGGCTTCTAGTTGAAAGCCCATGGTACATATACCAAGTACCATTGTATTTAAAGATGATAAAATATAGTGAATTGTATTGAGTAATGACATAAGTTACATCAGATAGACAGTGACACAGATGAGTCAATCAATTTGTAGAAATGTTAATTGGTATATCATTAATCTGATAGCTAAAGTGAGATTAACATTATATTTGTGGCATCATTGGTTGCCTTGTCTATATTGAAAAATATGACAGCCAGGACCTACAACCCCCTCTATAAATTTGGCACCCAGAGGGGGACTGGATTGTGTACTGAATCCTGTTTATTTTTGGCGATTGAAAGTAATTCATTAAATTTGTCATTAATATTTGAGCTATTGTATTTAGAAAATAAAGATGCAGATATAACCAGGCTTAAACAACCTATTGAATAAAGACTCCTGGTTGTCAAATTTGTGAAGGGGAGCTTACATAAGCCAGTTTCCTTTAGCCATCTGTTCGTTCCTGATATAGATCCAGAGGCTATCATATATATATGGAGTGATTGTAATGGGTTTATATTATAAACCCATGGGGAATAGGTTCTCTTTATTGAAAGTCTTATGGGATTCCCAGAGAGGTTCAATGAAATACCACATTCCTATGTTGAGTATGCCTTGTGTCACTCCAAAATAATTGGATTAAACAATGTATAGTTTTAGGTCAGCTCCTACTCGGGAAACAATTATTTAAGTAATTGAGTAACTGTGTTGATTCTCCCATATTCTGCATTTATCAATTACAAATTTCTGCATTCAATCATTAATAGAACATTTGAGACCAAGATTGGAGACTCTCTATATCGAAAATTGTAGTTAAGTTGATTTAATTGTTGCAAAATGCTGCAGTTAAAGGCCTATAATAAAATGAACTTCGGTGAACCACAGATTTTTGATAATGAGTCTATGGGGATATTTACTTAATGTTATAGTGTCAATATGAAACATGGGGACAATTAGACCTTAGCACTGAATCATAGATATACATGATATACCATATTACCCTGAATCATCAGCTATCTCTAACTGAACCCTCTTACTATTAGGGATGATTTTACCATTATCAGAGTCTCTCTTTATCCAAAGCTTGTCTATTCCTTGGGATAGTATAGGCTATGACATGTTTTGAGTATCCGATCACTTACTGGTTGTTTAGCTTTAAGACCCCGGACACCCACCCCCGCTCCCTTATCTACATTAAGAACCTATTGTTGAAGTAGGGTGAGTGGTGGGGGGGGTGCTCTTGAGGCTTAATGGTATGATTAAGCATACAGTAAACAATAGGGATAAATACTATTTTAGCAACAAATCCTTTTTTGTAAAATCTTAGATTTGGTCATTAACTGCAGTTATTAATAAATCAATAAATAAAAAGTTCCTAAAGCAAGAATATTTTAATGTACTTCTCAAAAGGAGAAGAATTTGAATCACATCTTCTTGTGTCCTATTTTCAATTAAAAGTTCATTATTAATAGTACTTTATCAGTACGTATACATAATACATAGATACATAAAATACCTATGTGATCTTTGAAGTACGCCCTCTCTTGATTAGATCATTTATTCTGATGTCATTGAGAGTCTTGTCAAACAGGTGTACAGTTAGAAGTGTCTCCTTACACCTGTTAATTGTCTCATACTCGAACTCAGTGTACAGTACATGAATAAAATATGGCAACATGGATTAATAATTTACATGGAAGCTCATTATCAAAAATACATGTCGAATTTAGATCTTTGATATAAATGTTAACTGTTGTTGTGTCCGTACTCTCCAAGTTTGTCGGAATATGTTTGCCGTATGACCAATAAGCATACCTCAACTGAAATTACAAGAAAAAATATTTTCAATTTTCTTTCCTGTTGTTTTATCTGCTAGCTGACATTCAATAATTACTGCCATGATGAGACAAATGACTTTCACAATATTTCTTACAATTTTGATATTTAGTCATTCAAAATGAAGAGACAAATGACTTTCACAATATTTCTTACAATTTTGATATTTAGTCATTCAAAATGAAGAGACAAATGACTTTCACAATATTTCTTACAATTTTGATATTTAGTCATTCAAAATGAAGAGACAAATGACTTTCACAATATTTCTTACAATTTTGATATTTAGTCATTCAAAATAAAGAGACAAATGACTTTCACAATATTTCTTACAATTTTGATATTAAGTCATTCAAAATGAAAAAACAAATTACTTTCACAATATTTCTTACAATTTTGATATTTAGACATTCAAAATGAAGAGACAAATTACTTTCACAATATTTCTTTCAATTTTGATATTTAGTCATTCAAAATGAAGAGAAAAATGACTTTCACAATATTTCTTACAATTTTGATATTTAGTTATTCAAACTAAAGACATTAAACAACAGCTATGATCAAACAGTCAAACCTGTAAATATATATAAACAGCTCTCTACTGTGAACAGCTCTCAATGTGAACACCTTTTATAAGTTCAAATTTTGTTAACTAAATCTGTAATTGACTCACATATCACAAAACCAAAGGAAATTCAAAAACTTTTGGCCGATCCTAGTAATATTTAAAGTAATTTCATGTAATCATACATGTACTGATCTTTCTGTTTCATCTGCAATAATAATGTTCTTGAAACTTTCAGCCTGGTAGAATAGAGAGAGATTGCGCTAAAGTCTCAGGCCATACTGCTGGAGTGTTGGACATTGCATGGTGCCCCTGGCATGACAATGTAATAGCCTCAGCCTCAGAGGATTGCACCGTCAAAATATGGCAGATCCCAGAAGGAGGCTTGGTGATTAATCTTGACGAGCCAATTGTTGACCTGGTGCTTCATCAACGGCGTGTTGGGCTCGTGATCTGGCATCCGACAGCCAATAATGTGCTACTAAGTGCAGGTCAGTCTTTGTAATGAATTTCTTGGTCACTTGCAATGCATCATGGGAGCTTCCGATTAAGAAACAATTTCCATCTCTTCTCACACAAACTAACATTTATTCATATTGTTATTATAAACAAAATATAAAAAGTCTATTACAAGTATTTTCTCTGACTTTTAAGATTAGTCAGGGACGATACAATGAGGTAGGACATTCTGTTATTAGTCTGACTGTGTCAAGTTTTAAGGGGGAAATTCATGTTTCACCCTATTACCGCCCATATATTTAACATTGAAATAATTTTTCACCCAAATTGAAACAATTAGCAACATTCTTGAGTCACCTTCTCTCTTCCAGGGTCAGACAACAAAGTTGTGATATGGAATGTTGGTACGTCAGAACCCCTGACGGAGATTGAGTTCCCAGATATATGTCTCTGTGCCTCATTCAACCCAATCGGCAATCTCCTAGCAACCACATGCAAGGACAAGATGTTAAGAATCATAGATCCTAGGACGGGTAGTGTCGTAAAGGTATTTATTTATTTAGAATTATTATTTCTACATACTTATTATTTCTTAGATTGTGATGTTAATCTTAATGGTGGGGAAGGGAGCATAGAACATTGTTAGATTATAATTTTGGAATGCTGGGCAGGGGTTTCACTACAATTTCTCGCAACAGGCTAAATAAATGAAAACAACAGTCAAAAATAATAGAAATCATAAATTGAACATGGAAAAGTTGAAAAGTCCATAAAAACAACAGATGACTTTGTGAAAACAACCAGTGAAAATCACCTGTTGCCTGCTGCTAATGAAACCCCTTCTGGGGCCTGTTTTCAAAACATTGTTTTTTGTTTTTAATGTTCAATTTGTTGGACTCATGATCATGGAGGATGTTCTTGTTTTACTCAACTTCGGGACCGCACAATTTCATTTTTCAAAGCATCATATTTTTCACAAAAGTAAGCCTTACAAAACACACTAATCCAGCAACACTCGCAGATCTAACCCATGGATTTCCGAAAAAAATCTTAATTGATGGTAAAGGTATGCTACAAGGGAATGAACTTCTGAGATCTTTTAACAGTAGACTCCGGTTGATTCAGAAAATTATGATAGAATCTGAATTTTGAAAAATCACGGCTTGAATTGGTATAGCTATCTTTGACACCAAAGAAACTTGTATTTCAAATTCATGTTAAAGTTTACATCTAATGTTAATATTGTGAAATTTTGCATGTAAAGATTAACTTGTGCTTTTATTACAGGAAAGGAAGATTCATGATGGCTCAAAACCATCACAATGTGCTTACCTAAGAGACAACAAAGTTTTCACAACAGGATTCTCCCGTATGAGTGAGAGGCAATATGCTCTTTGGGATGCTGTAAGTGTATAAGGCTTATCAGACTTTTCATAACATCATCATTGAATACGAGGGTTGTCCCATAAGTCTTGACATTTTTTATTCTAATTAAAAAAGATTTTAATGAATTTGGCTGAAAATTGGTATGTATCAAGATCAACCAATTATCTTCAACATGTGATAATTTCATAACAAATTTAAGAACTTTTATGGTTGCTATGGTAACTGGGGGAGTCTGGGGGTGGGGCAGTCATTAAATAGTGTAAAAATCTAAAATGGACTAATGGGAGTATTAAGGCTTATCATAACATCATCATTGAATATAAGGTGCAGGATCAAAATGGTTGTGTTGTTCATTTCTGCTGCTGAAGTAATTTGATGATCGTTAGGATCTCTTGTCTCCCTCTCTTTGTTCAAATTCTTGAACATCGATATGCCTTCAGATATAATCGGTCTTTGAAATTTAATATTCAACTTACAGAAAGTGGTATTTTTATGTCTCTTTAATGACTTGTTTATTAACTAGCACTAATGCAAGGTCATGATGTCCGTATAATATCAATGTTTAAACGCAAAATAAGCGGAGATTGGATCGAATATACAGTATATATATATAAACAGTTTATGAGCAGTGATTACATAGAGTGAACGATATAATAGACAGTGATCTCCCCAGGATTAAAGCAAGTGGGCGCAGCACCCACCTGAGAATTTGAAAACATGCTTGCACCCATCTGAAAATCCATTTGCACCCACTTAAAAAAAAAGAGAAAAGATCCTGCGGAGACCAGTGATTGGATAACACCGCAAAGGGGATTGCACCCAGCATACGTGGCAAATTATATGACCTTAAATGTTATTTTTACTTATTAAAGTTGCTGTCCTGAGGTGTTTAGTTCTGTTTACTATTAAAAATATATTTTCCTCCAAACAAATAGTTGTCATCCTTTATACATAATGTATAAACTAAAATTCCAAATATCCATTGTTTTACAGAATTTTGACTCGCTATTTCACTATTTTCTGTCTTCCTTTGATTAATGGTTATGTTATTGTAAAAAAGCATTCACAAAGGAAAATATTCAAATTATTAATTTTTGGATGATATTTGAAAAAAACTGGCATTGTGTCCCTTTAAGTGAACATTTATATTTTTTATTTTAGGATAATGACCTTGATGAGATGTGCATGGAAGAGATAGACTCTAGCAATGGTGTCATGTTCCCCTTCTATGATTCAGACACTAATTTGATCTACTTAGCTGGAAAGGTAAGATATCCTTATCAATGAATTGGTTTTAAATACAGTATAACTTGTGAGATCAAACACCCTTCTTAGGATATCCTTATCAATGAATTGGTTTTAAATACAGTATAACTTGTGAGATCAAACAACCTTCGTAGGATATCCTTATCAATGAATTGGTTTTAAATACAGTATAACTTGTGAGATCAAACAACCTTCGTAGGATATCCTTATCAATGAATTGGTTTTAAATACAGTATAACTTGTGAGATCAAACAACCTTCGTAGGATATCCTTATCAATGAATTGGTTTTAAATACAGTATAACTTGTGAGATCAAACAACCTTCGTAGGATATCCTTATCAATGAATTGGTTTTAAATACAGTATAACTTGTGAGATCAAACAACCTTCGTAGGATATCCTTATCAATGAATTGGTTTTAAATACAGTATAACTTGTGAGATCAAACAACCTTCGTAGGATATCCTTATCAATGAATTGGTTTTAAGTTGTGTACCAAACGAAACGACATGACATCCGGGGCTTTATATGATCTGCATTACACAATGGTGTATAGAGGGGTCAGTTTTCTCAGACCTTTGTACCTTTTTCTGTACCGTTTTGCGGTTATTTTACTCTATGGCATTGCAATCCGTTCACATCATTAGCTACATAATTGATCAACTCAAATATATGATATGTAAAGGACTATTATTATATGAACAGAATAGACAGGGAAATGTACTTGAAGTGGCGATTGTGTTTTCTGTCAGTCAGTGTTAGTGACCTGATTATGCAAATATTTTGTGGCATTATCTCTTGGAATTTATAAAAAGGCTAAAATCTCAACTGGGTTAAACTATATTTCATATGGATTCATGTAATATTTTTACTTAAAGAGATTGAATCGTCCAGATTTCTATTGTGGACAATAAGGTATGTCCCAATATAATTGCTCATGAAACATCATATATACTAAGTACCTTAGATATATCTTGAGACCAAATCATAAGCACGATATCGAAAATATATTGAGGATATCAACAGGACAACCAAAAGAAAAACCAACTGTCAGAATTGAACACACTAAGTCGAAAACAGAATACAATGTTTTTTGGGGATTTATCTATATTGTAATCTCTTAGAAGTAAATAATCTGAAGGAAAAAGCCAATCAGACTGGAACAAATTTGAGCGGGCTTTTTAAATTTTAATTTTAATTTCTATTGATGTAAGCGGAGATTCATGGCTAGGAACAATCATCGAATTGATACTGTTAACGAATTAATTCAAGCCTCAGAATTGATAAGTTAATAAACAAACTTGTTTTACATCAAATAACACGAAAAATCAGGGGGTTACTCTAATTGTGTTTTTAGGAGACCCGATCTCTTTAAATGTCAACTAATGTTTATATTTGTTTTGACATTTGAAAACTTGTGATAATATGGAATTATTGTATGCTGGGTATGATTATGATTAACCAACGAACTGCTACCCGCATATTTTCTCTTTCATACTTTAATGTTATGAAGAAAAACCCAAAAGGAAATCAGATGACGACGTGCATACTTTATCTTTTCTAAGTTTGTGACAATCAAATTTTGTATGTTTTAGTCGTAAAGTATTTCAATTTGATATGTGAAATTGTTTTAGGGAGACAGCTGTATTCGCTACTTTGAGATATCAGCAGAGGAACCTTATGTTCACTACCTGACCATGTACCAGTCGGGTGACCCACAGAGAGGGATGTGCATGATGCCTAAACGAGGAGTCAATGTTAACGCTTGTGAAATAAATAGGTAAAAATCAAACTGTCTAGGGTGCCTAAATGAGGGGTCAATGTTCATTCTTGTGAAATAACAAGGTAAAAATCAAACTGGCTAGGGTGCCTAAATGAGGGGTCAATGTTCATTCTTGTGAAATAACAAGGTGAAAATCAAACTGGCTTGGGTGCCTAAACGAGGGGTCAATGTTCATTCTTGTGAAATAACAAGGTAAAAATCAAACTGTCTAGGGTGCCTAAATGAGGGGTCAATGTTCATTCTTGTGAAATAACAAGGTGAAAATCAAACTGGCTTGGGTGCCTAAACGAGGGGTCAATGTTCATTCTTGTGAAATAACAAGGTGAAAATCAAACTGGCTTGGGTGCCTAAATGAGGGGTCAATGTTCATTCTTGTGAAATAACAAGGTAAAAATCAAATTGGCTAGGGTGCCTAAATGAGGGGTCAATGTTCATGCTTGTGAAATAACAAGGTAAAAATCAAACTGGCTGGGGTGCCTAAATGAGGGGTCAATGTTCATTCTTGTGAAATAACAAGGTGAAAATCAAACTGGCTTGGGTGCCTAAACGAGGGGTCAATGTTCATTCTTGTGAAATAACAAGGTAAAAATCAAACTGGCTAGGGTGCCTAAATGAGGGGTCAATGTTCATTCTTGTGAAATAACAAGGTAAAAATCAAACTGGCTAGGGTGCCTAAATGAGGGGTCAATGTTCATGCTTGTGAAATAACAAGGTGAAAATCAAACTGGCTTGGGTGCCTAAACGAGGGGTCAATGTTCATTCTTGTGAAATAACAAGGTAAAAATCAAACTGGCTGGGGTGCCTAAATGAGGGGTCAATGTTCATTCTTGTGAAATAACAAGGTAAAAATCAAACTGGCTGGGGTGCCTAAATGAGGGGTCAATGTTCATTCTTGTGAAATAACAAGGTAAAAATCAAATTGGCTAGGGTGCCTAAATGAGGGGTCAATGTTCATGCTTGTGAAATAACAAGGTAAAAATCAAACTGGCTGGGGTGCCTAAATGAGGGGTCAATGTTCATTCTTGTGAAATAACAAGGTAAAAATCAAATTGGCTAGGGTGTCTAAATGAGGGGTCAATGTTCATGCTTGTGAAATAACAAGGTAAAAATCAAATTGGCTAGGGTGTCTAAACGAGGGGTCAATGTTCATTCTTGTGAAATAACAAGGTAAAAATCAAACTGTCTAGGGTGCCTAAATGAGGGGTCAATGTTCATTCTTGTGAAATAACAAGGTAAAAATCAAATTGGCTAGGGTGTCTAAACGAGGGGTCAATGTTCATTCTTGTGAAATAACAAGGTAAAAATCAAACTGTCTAGGGTGCCTAAATGAGGGGTCAATGTTCATGCTTGTGAAATAACAAGGTAAAAATCAAACTGTCTAGGGTGCCTAAATGAGGGGTCAATGTTCATTCTTGTGAAATAACAAGGTAAAAATCAAATTGGCTAAGGTGTCTAAACGAGGGGTCAATGTTCATTCTTGTGAAATAACAAGGTAAAAATCAAACTGTCTAGGGTGCCTAAATGAGGGGTCAATGTTCATGCTTGTGAAATAACAAGGTAAAAATCAAACTGTCTAGGGTGCCTAAATGAGGGGTCAATGTTCATTCTTGTGAAATAACAAGGTAAAAATCAAATTGGCTAGGGTGTCTAAACGAGGGGTCAATGTTCATTCTTGTGAAATAACAAGGTAAAAATCAAACTGTCTAGGGTGCCTAAATGAGGGGTCAATGTTCATTCTTGTGAAATAACAAGGTAAAAATCAAACTGGCTGGGGTGCCTAAATGAGGGGTCAATGTTCATTCTTGTGAAATAACAAGGTAAAAATCAAATTGGCTAGGGTGTCTAAATGAGGGGTCAATGTTCATGCTTGTGAAACAACTAGGTAAAAATCAAACTGGCTAGGGTGCCTAAACGAGGGGTCAATATTAATGCTTGTGAAATAACTAAGTAAAAATCAAAATGGCTTGGGTGCCTAAACGAGGGGTCATTGTTAATGCTTGTGAAATAACTAGGTAAAAATCAAACTGGCTAGGGTGCCTAAACGAGGGGTCAATATTAATGCTTGTGAAATAACTAAGTAAAAATCAAACTGGCTTGGGTGCCTAAACGAGGGGTCAATGTTAATGCTTGTGAAATAACTAGGTAAAAATCAAACTGGCTAGGGTGCCTAAATGAGGAGTCAATGTTTTTGTATTTGGTGATTTATCTTAATATTATTGTAATTATCTTAAGCACACATTGGTCCCGGAATATTTATATGTTTAGCGCTATTCATTAATTATGTGCACAGTTTATTGACTGAAATCAACAGATGTAGAAAATGACAATCTTGTTTTTTCAGATTTTTTAAACTTCACACAAAGGGCCTTTGTGAAATAATTCCAATGACAGTCCCAAGAAAGGTAAGTCACATTGTAGTGTAGTGTAGTGTAGTATATTGAAGTAACACATGATACCATTCTGCCATGGTGCAGCTTCATCTCGGGTATTAAGGCCTACATAAGTACCAGGTACCATGCACATTTTTTGCAAAACCAGTCCACTCTAATTTAGTTGTTTTGAGCAATTTCTGTAATACACATTGTTTATTTTATAATGGAATAGTATATTATGTAATCAAGTGATATAGAATTTGTTATGGGATATATATTATATTATTATTGAATACATTTATGTTTACAGTCAGAGTTGTTCCAAGACGACCTTTACCCAGACACACAAGGGGACAACCCTTCAGTGTTATTATGGGATATATATATTATGTTATCATGGGATATATTTATGTTTACAGTCAGAGTTGTTCCAAGACGACCTTTACCCAGACACACCAGGGGATAACCCTTCAGTGTTATTATGGGATATGTATATTATGTTATCATGGGATGTATTTATGTTTACAGTCAGAGTTGTTCCAAGACGACCTTTACCCAGACACACAAGGGGACAACCCTTCAGTGTTGTTATGGGATATATATACAATGTATTATGTTATTATGGGATATATTTATGTTTACAGTCAGAGTTGTTCCAAGACGACCTTTACCCAGACACACCAGGGGATAACCCTTCAGTGTTATTATGGGATATGTATATTATGTTATCATGGGATATATTTATGTTTACAGTCAGAGTTGTTCCAAGACGACCTTTACTCAGACACACCAGGGGATAACCCTTCAGTGTTATTATGGGATATGTATATTATGTTATCATGGGATATATTTATGTTTACAGTCAGAGTTGTTCCAAGATGACCTTTACCCAGACACACAAGGGGACAACCCTTCAGTGTTATTATGGGATATATATATTATGTTATTATGGGATATATTTATGTTTACAGTCAGAGTTGTTCCAAGACGACCTTTACCCAGACACACCAGGGGATAACCCTTCAGTAAGTGCGGAAGACTGGTTCTCTGGAGTGGATGCTGAGCCTATATTGGTAAGTGTCTTTAAAATAGATGGACACCTTTCATTAACTAATAGACTAATGGTGCAATGTTCTTCTTTCTGTCACACTTTTGCTGTTGGCTTGTGCTGGTGGGGGTGCGTCTGTCTGATTGTCTAGACGGGTGGTCAGGAACCACATAAATCTTGTCAACAAAATTTTGGAAAACCATTTAGCTGTTCAAACTGAACTAGTTAAATTTCTCAGCGAATTTGAATTTTTCAATAAAAAGTGTGATATTTATCAATGTGTGTCTTTTAATTACAGATATCGCTGAGAGCAAAGTTTGATGAAAAAAGTAAGAAGGCTATAGGAAGTAAGACGAGACCAAAGTCATCAGTTCTATCTAGTAAAATGCCAAACAAGCTAACGGCAGCATCAACTCCCGCCCCTGCTGTAGATAAGCCAAGGGTAAGGGGGTTATATTGATATGTATGAAGTATTGTTTTTTGTATTGTATTGTATTTTGGTTATCGCCATTTTTCAATCTATGCACACTGCTATACGAAAACAAGTGGGCTTAAAATCTTGTTTGTAAAGTCTTGTTTACATGTTTTCTGGTTAACTGTGTGAGGGATCAATTTCAAATTTTCAAGGGTGGCTCTTAGTATGAAAATCTAGAACTGACGAATTTTTGGGCATTCTGGGTAAATTTTCAGGTGGCCATTTTGGATATTCCCTCCTCAAATTGTGTCGGTAAAGTCTTGTCTACTCATTTTTAGGACAACCATTAACGGGATCACCCAAAGGTGGGGACATTTTGTACACATTTGTGTTCTTGTGTTGTATTGTATTTTGGTTATCACCATTTTTCGGTGAGCAATACCTCATTGGTGTATTCCGTATTTCACACTTGAAGACAGAGTCAGAAAGCCATCCTTGGAGGAACCCTGTGTTCATTGACTTACAATCTATGCACACTGCTATACGAAAACAAGCGGTGCGGATATCATGTGCACAAGGTGCAGATATTAAAGCAGATATGAAATGGTATTTTTAACCTAAAGGAATCAATATATTTTTTTGATAAATTTATTTTGACATGTTTTCACATCAGAAGTGTGAATATTATTTGACTCTAACGATCGTTATAGCTGCTTAATAAGCAATATTCGAATTGGTTGTGACGTTATTGGCCCCCATGTGATCTCTCACTGGTCCCCACGTGGCCCGTTTTGGTCCATTAGATCATGACGTCATAATTCCAAATGTTTTGTTATTTGTTTACAAAACAATCCTATGGTTGCCGTGACGTTGTGATTACTATGGAACCAATAAATCAAAGCTACATTTTGTATATGACGTTACAAATCACGTGGGGGCCAATTTGATTGATCAGTTAGTTTTATTTCGTTATTTATGACCGTTAGCGCATCGCAAGAACTCTACGTTGGGCTTACAATGGAGAAAACCGCATTTTTGTAGCTGCAAGTTGAGATAAGCTATTTCAGTTTTCCTTTAATGATCATTTATTAATTTAATTTTGTGATATTTCACCAACTAAGGCATGTTGGGTACTCAGTTATATTCATACATGTGTACAGGTTCCCTAATAAAAAGGAAATTGTGTAAATAGGTGTGTAGTTCTTTCTATAGAGGCACATCAAGCAATAATACTCTCTCCAAAGCAAATAATTTGAAAGCAGCTTTTTCACAACGTAAACAGTATTCATTCAATATTGGTGATCGAGATGACCTATCAATATACAAATAGTGACTGCCATTGAGGGCAATAGTGTAAATTATTAACACTATTGCTCGAAATTAGGCATACACTATTTGTTTTATTATATACCCTATACTGACTCTTGTCCCGTTTCCTCTGCGAAGGCCAAAAAGGCTTAGAAAGCCCCCTCCCTGGGGTCCATTGTTAGCATTATAAGCTGTGACGTCATCGTATGCTCAACATAAATTTTTGCCTCAGAAATTTCTGCGACTCTCACTTGACAAATTCAATCGCGTTCAACGCGCAAAATAGATTATCATAACACTTGAAATTACACAGACGTATTGAGCTTAGGGAGCTTTATCCATGTTGCTCCATTGTATCTTTCACACATGTCTGTCATGGTGAACGGAGTTGATTTGTGTTTGTTTTCATCCTCCATTTTTCTGTTTTTCGTCTGCGCAGTTTCCAAGGGTAATAGAAGTTGCAATCGTGATGTCAGGGGGCAATAGTTCAAATATATATTCCCGTTTCTTTCATTTGAGGGAATTGGGTATATAATAATACAAAGTATATTTGCATTTTGAAAATTGAAAGGTTTCTGTGTACTTTTATACAAAATGGGAAACATTAAACAAAAATGTGATATCCGAAGTGATGATATCTGCAGTGCTTTTAAAGGTAGCACATTTCGTTTCCAATCAATGTTTTCAATTTTTTTAAAATTTACACAGAAAGTGTATGACTTTCAAAATGCAAAAATGATTTATATTGATTGGTCATCTCGATCATCAATACTGAATGAAGGCTGTTAACCATGTAATAAAGCAGCAATTTCAAATTCTTTGCTATGGAGCAAGGATGAATGCTTGGTGCATCGTTAAGGAATGAAGAATACAACTATAGACAAATTTTCCTTTCTATTAGGTATCCTCTACAAATGGTTGACGATAATTGCGTACCCAACATGTCTTAGTTGATGAAATATCACAAATTCAAATTCAAAAATGACCATTAATATCCACACTTTGCGCACATGATATATGCACATCTTGTTTTCGTATAGCATAGTCTGTATATGGTGACTTATGAACAGTCATGTATTCATGTAAGAACACACCACATCCTTTTAAAGAAGTAAGTTATTGACCACTCTGTGAAGCATTCAAAATTACATAACATGCAAACATGTACATCAAGTTTATTTTTTTTGTTGTTTTATACTTTTGACCATATTCAGCAGCTTCATTAGCAGCGGGCAATAGGCGATTTTCACCAGTTGTTTTCACAAAATTGCCTGTTGTTTTTAGGGACTTTTCAACTTTTCCATTTTTATGTCCCCACCACATAGTGTGGGGCCATATTGTCGGCCTAGATCTGATTAGGTTTTGAACCTGTTAGCTCAGTCATGAATGTCTTAAGAAAAGTTAGCGTGCGATAATACTTTGTATCATATTGAATGGTGTTTTTGAGTTTTCATACTTTAACTATTTAGTAGCTTTATAAATAATTTCAGATGTACTTTCTTGTTAAAGCTTATGTAATTGTCAACAGTAGTTATATGTGATAATTTTGTAAAAAGAAATCAGCAAAAACTCATATTCACTTTTTTATTGTCGGCCATTTTGGATTTTTCCGTCCTAAAATCTTGTCTTTGAAGTCTTGTCTGCATGTTTTCAGGTGAACCGTTTGGTGGATCAATTTCAAATTTTCAGGGATGATTCTAAGTATAAAAATCTAGATCTGATTAGTATTTTGGCATTCTGGGTAAATGCCAAGGCAGCCATTTTGGATTTTCCGTCCTAAAATCTTGTCTCTTGTCTACGCGTTTTCAGGTGAACGGTTTGGTAGATCAATTTCAAATTTTCAGGGATAATTCTTAATATGAAAATCTAGAACTGATTAGTTTTTTGGCATTCTGGGTAAATGTCAAGGCAGCCATTTTGGATTTTCCGTCCTAAAATCTTGTCTGTAAAGTCTTGTCTACACATTTCCAGGTGAACCGTTCTGTAAATCAATATTCAAATTTTCAGGGATGATTCTTAGTATGAAAATCTAGATCTGATTAGTTTTTTGGCATTCTGGATAAATGTCAAGGCAGCCATTTTGGATTTTCCGTCTTAAAATCTTGCCTGTTAAGTCTTGTATACATGTTTTTAGGTGAACTGTTTGGTAGATCAATTTCAAATTTTCTGGGATGATTCTTTGTATGAAAATTTACATCTGAGTAGTTTTTTTGCATTCTGTGTAAATGTCAAGGCAGCCATTTTGGATTTTCTGTCCTAAAATCTTGTCTGTAAAGTCTTGTCTACACGTTTTCAGGTGAACCGTTTGGTAGATCAATTTCATATTTTCAGGGATGATTTTTAGTATGAAAATCTAGAAACAGATTAGTTTTTTGACATTTTGGGTAAATGTCAAGGCAGCCATTTTGGATTTTCCATCCTAAAATCTTGTCTGTAAAGCCTTGTTTACATGTTTTCTGGTTAACTGTGACGGATCAATTTCAAATTTTCAGGGGTGCTTCTTAATATGAAAATCTAGAACTGACTAAATTTTTGGCATTCTGAGTAAATTTTAAGGTGGCCATTTTGGATTTTCCGTCCTCAAATTGTGTTGGTAAAGTCTTGTCTACTTGTTTTCAGGATAACCATTTGATGAGATCACCCATTGGTGGGGACATTTTGTACACATTTGTGTTCTTGTAAATTTATGATTTCCATAAATTTTGTCTGTTGTTTTCATTTAATAGCCTTTTGTGAGAAATTCTAGTGAAACCCCTGATATTATGCATGACACTTTGATTTCAGTTGAATTGAAGAATTTAATTTTGCTTGTTTTAAGAAACAAACCCATGAATGAATCAAAACCTATTAATGAGTTGAAAGATATAATAAAAAGTACTTCCTCTTGATTTTGTGATGATCTCATCATTTGAAAATAATGTTGTCTGTTTTAGCCAACATCTACTCCTATGGCCAGTAAAGAGCCTGCCAAGCCAGCACCCGTAGCTGCACCAACGCCTGTAGCTGCTCCAGCCCCAGTAGCTGCACCAACACCAGTAGCTGCACCAGAGCCAGCAGCAGCTGCATCAGCTCAAGCTGCTCTCCCATCAGTAAGTTAACATTGAATTTATCATCCTGAATACTTTCCTTTCACAATAGTTTTCCATTTAGATGTTTTGAAGTGCCCTTACAGAATTTCATTGTGGTTAGTTTTCTTTATGAGGAAAATTTATTCATAAATTATTACCTTGCAAACATATAATTTGCCAATCTCTCTGATGTGAAGTGAATAACAAAACCAGTATTTGATAAATGTGTAAGGGTACATTAATTGTTTGGAGAAAATGTACTGATTGATGTAAAAGATTACATTGGAATTGGAATTACAACAAGACTGCCCTCTATTTAAATTACTGGAAAAACATCACCTTTGATTTAGTTTTAAGTTATTTAAGCAATTTTATACTGATTAATTAGATACATTAAGTGAATTAAGCATGTTTGAATTTAGTTTCATTATTAGTTTAAAATATGTACCCTTGCAAAAAATGCATACCTTTGTAAATAGTTTGTACCCTTGCAAATAGTGTCATGGTGGTTATGTTAATTGGACATTCAGAAATTAGAATGGTAATGATATGTTAACCAGGACAACAAGTTTGATTTAAACAGCGTATGATTCATGGAGGGCGGATATTTTTTTTATTTGTATTGGTTATAAGAAGCTTTTCAATTGGACTTAATTATTGTTGCTAACTCCATCTCCCCTTTAGTTTTCTTCAAACAATGATTTTTCACTGAAGTTCTATGATTTTAAAAAATGTGCTCAACGTCATGAATTAGTCATAGGAACTACAACTAAAAGCTGTCACACTCGTGTGAGTGGAACACTCTCCAAATCAAACACCTTTTTGAGGAATTAATGGTGTTCTACTTACACATGTTTTACTATACACATATTATACCTCAACTGTAGAAATTGACTCATTTTTCACAAATCTTACGAGAACTAAATCATTAATTATTCACAATTGAAAAAAGAAAGTCTTATTCGTCTGACCTTATATCATCTTGTATAGGTCCTCCAGTATCACATATGACCTTCTATTGACTAGTAAATAGCTCTAAGAGCTAATCAACAAATGTGACGCATTAATTCCATTAATATTGAACCTCAATTTGAGCAAAATGTGACAGATGCTCGAGGCATGACTTATAATTTTTATTACCCTTTGCAACAATATTTTTGATCAATTTTCCTTAACCTTTTTTGACTACCCAGAATGACGAGATTTCTCGTCACCTCAGAAATAAACCCAGAGGGACGAGAAAATCCGTCACAAAATTGTTCACAACAATTGCTCTTATTTGAACAATTTTCATCCAATTTACACAAAAAATGTTTTAAAACGTGTATAAATGATCTCTGCCATCTAATTAAGTTGTAAAGGTATGTAGTAAAATGCCAAAAGGTGGCAAAAATGAAAATTTATCTGGTTTCAACCAATTTTAGAGCCTGGGATTCAAGAGGTTAACTGATCTAAGATCTTCAGGTCTCCCCTCTTCAGCAGTAGGGACTAAATCACATGTATCACAAATCACATGTATCACATGATGTTCAGACTCTCATAAGCCAAATGCTGGCTGTGCTTAATGTGTTTTTTAGTATATATTTTGTACATTTTAATGAGCATGAGGTAAATAAATTATAAAGCTAAAACTAAAAAACTATATATCAGTGTGACACTCCTTAAGAAATGTATAACATGGGAGAGGCCAGGGGTAAAAAGTCTATTGAATAATAACTGAGGCATTTTGTTACTCATCATAGCTCATTATTTGCGTCTGTGTGATCAAAAAGAATAGGCCATGGTTTACACTCCCCTCCATAAGTTTGCCAACTTGAAGTTTCGTTTTTGATCACTTATAAAAGCCAGTTTATGTTTGGCAATTGAAAAAAAATCATCAAATTTGTCATAGATTTCTAGACTGTTTTAATATACTGTAATAACAAAAATATGATTCAACTGTTAGCAGACTTTAACAACCTATCCAATTGAGACTTTCCATTGCCATACTTATTGAGGGGAGTGTAACCCATTGCCATACTTATTGAGGGGAGTGTAACCCATTGCCATACTTATTGAGGGGAGTGTAACCCATTGCCATACTTATTGAGGGGAGTGTAACCCATTGCCATACTTATTGAGGGGAGTGTAACCCATTGCCATACTTATTGAGGGGAGTGTAACCCATTGCCATACTTATTGAGGGGAGTGTAATCCATTGCCATACTTATTGAGGGGAGTGTAATCCATTGCCATACTTATTGAGGGGAGTGTAACCCATTGCCATACTTATTGAGGGGAGTGTAATCCATTGCCATACTTATTGAGGGGAGTGTAACCCATTGCCATACTTATTGAGGGGAGTGTAACCCATTGCCATACTTATTGAGGGGAGTGTAATCCATTGCCATACTTATTGAGGGGAGTGTAATCCATTGCCATACTTATTGAGGGGAGTGTAACCCATTGCCATACTTATTGAGGGGAGTGTAATCCATTGCCATACTTATTGAGGGGAGTGTAACCCATTGCCATACTTATTGAGGGGAGTGTAACCCATTGCCATACTTATTGAGGGGAGTGTAACCCATTGCCATACTTATTGAGGGGAGTGTAACCCATTGCCATACTTATTGAGGGGAGTGTAACCCATTGCCATACTTATTGAGGGGAGTGTAACATGATGAAGGGGAGGAGTGTAAACCTTCATTAAAATAATTTCTCAAAGAACGGTATTGTTTTTTTAATAAAATTATTTATTCAACATAATATATAAGTTACAAAATACATTTACGAATATGATATAAAAAACATGTTATTGTACTAATTCGCTCAAGGATCTTTGTAGAAAATTACAAATTTCAATTTTTTCTGAACAATGTTGTTGATTACTTGACCAGGCCACAAGCTCCCAAGGCAAAATCAATAAAAAGAAAGAATGAAAAACACAATACAAGGTCTACAGTTAACATGTCAACAATATAAATCAATGTTGAATATTCCAAAAGGGAATGAACTCTACAGCTTTAGAAAAGCAGTACTCTGGTCACATTGGAATCTCTGAGCCTACGGGCCTGTATCCTTTGTAAGGAGACTAACCACCATGAAATTCTATTGCAAGTATGGGTACCTGGATACTACCGTAGTAACTATCCATTTTCTCTGTTTCTTTAGGACTTTGAACCTAAGCAAATCATGGACGACATTAGAAAGCTGAAAATCATCGTTAAAGGCCATGAACGACGGATTAAGACCTTAGAAGAAAAAATTGCATATTATGAACAAGAAAATGGCGACGAGGAAGAATGTTAATAAGAATTTTTTGTATATAAGCCTGTATGTTTTCCATTTCCGCTATTTAGTTTACTAATCCATAGGGGCCATCTCTGGAGTTCGCTGGAATTTCTAAATGTGTTTTGTGTTGTATATATATTAATTTTGTTATGAGCCCAGCCATTTTTGGACATTTTTATTTAACCATGATCCAAGCTTTGATGGAATTTGCACATCTTATTAATGACCCTAACTACACTGAAATTTGCACAGTGTTAAATGACGACCCAAAGTTACAATAAATGGAATTTGCACAGCATTTAAAAATCACCCCAGCTTTGATGCCTTTCAGGTGTTGAAATTTAATATTACTGATAATAAGAGTTGACTACCATATGTTTAAGATTCCAGCATGAACTTCTAAGATTTCCTCTCGCATACTGTTAGACTATAATATAGTCACATAACATAGTGTATGTATAAATATGGGTATTTACCGAGCGCTCCGCAGAATTATACAGCATTATGTTTAAGCGTAGCAATCTAAAATATATTACAAGGCTGATAGGGATAAGTTTTCATATTTGTTGGGATTTTATGAAATGAATGCTATTTGCGTTAGTAATTTTGAAGCTTACATTTAATTAAGGTCATTCTTTGATTTTTGCTGCAGTTGAATGGTGCATTTTTTCTGCAATTTTGTCCACATTACCGTCAGTAGCCAGGAGGTTAAATATCCCCCCCCCCCAAGAAAAACAGCAGTGAATGATGTATATTAATTCTATCTATTCATGATTGTCTTAACCTTTGTCTGAATATAGCAAAGTACCCATTTAGTGACCTCCCTCCAGTGTAAAATTCCTTGAGCACTTTTAAATTGATTTCAGGTCAAAATTGACAAATTTCTACTCCCCCCTGGGGTAGTTCTGCCTACAGCTCCTTTCATCTCCCAAAGATCAAATATTCACAGCTCAACTGCTGCTCTCAGAAATTCATAAACAAAAGGCAGGTAACATTGAAATAACATTCATGGTCATAATTGCTCAATATTACGTAAAAGAAAACATGTTACCTTGAGCTATTACAGTTCACATAGATCCATAAATATTTTTCAAAGGAAATTTCATATTTTTCTTGGGGGTGGTGGTATTGTAAACTGAGACGCATCCATTGTGATGGAAATCAAAAAAGATGTTTCTGAATTCGAGCCTTTACTATTGACCTGGTGTAAGAATGAATATTGATTGATAAGTGGCGCTGCAATTATGTTTTGGCTTGCAATGTTTAGATAATGTGGATTTGTTATAGGCATCAGGCATTTGTAACTTGCATTCAGCCTTCATGGAATCTAATCCCTTATGCAACATAGTGCAGACACATGCCACATAGTGCAGTGCACTACTATGTAGAGTAATACATGTAGTGCAGTACAGTGCAGTGTCATTGTGTCATGTAGTGCAGTACAATATTGTACATGTATAGTGCTGTACAGTGCTCTGTGTTGCAGTTCAGTGGACTCTAGTGCTGAGTAATGTAGTGCAATACCATGTAGTGCAGTTCAGTACATGGTGGGGCATGTACACGTGCCACTGTACAGTGGAGTCCAGCGCTGTGTAATGTACTGCACTACACTATCATATTGTTCAGTGCTGTGTAGTGCTGAACCATGTCATGCAGTACAGCAGTGCAATATGATGTAATGCAGTACAGTGTCACAAAGTGCCATTCCATGTAGTGCAGTACAGAATCACAGTTCAGTGCAGTGCAATATCATGTAGTGCAGTACAGTACAGTGTAGTGGTCTTCCATTAAGCGCAGTTCCATGTAGTGCAGTACAGAATCGCAGTGCAGTGCAATGCAATATCATGTGGTGCAGTACAGTACTGTGTAGTGGTCTTCCATTTAGTGCAGTTCCATGTAGTGCAGTACTATGCATTGCAGTAATGCTGTACAGTGCAGAATAAATCTTGATATGCAACTGACAAGGTCAATTCTAATCATTGTTTTATTTCACCTTTTTACTGCCTTACTTGGGTTTGCAGGGCTAATTTCGCTCTATTCCATGAAGTATATATCACTTGGCAAACAACTGTTCCCTGCAGCTTACTCCTTGAAACTACACGTACATTTGAAATCAATAAATTCATGGTAATGGATCCAAGTTAATGTTGTTGAAATCTATAGTGGGTATTATATTCCTTCTTTAAAGGAAGTAGAAGTAAAAAGACAAGTAATCAATATTTGATACTGACATTTTCAAAATATTAGCTAATTTTTTCAAGAAGCCATTATTTTTTAAGTGTTTTACAGGGAAATGTCAGACTGTCTATGTGATATGTATTTTATGGAATAATTTTTTTTTTGTTTATAAGAAGAAAGAATACATGATATTTTCATATTTTCTTCTGCATTTGGGTTAAACATCACATTATCACACCCAGCATGTTCTAACCAGAACCGATTTCACACCACATGTTGTCACATTTCATGTTCACCCATGTTTTTTCACATTATATAGGACTATCCGATGTATTCTCATATGGTAGGCCTCTACGGAATTGTTTTCGCCATGATGTTTTATAGCCTGTTTTTATGTTTGATGTCACATATAGGGCTTTAGCTAAAGGTGTTAGAGCAGCTGGTCAAAATCTCTGGTCCTCAGCAGGATGAACCTAATTTCCTAAAATGTCTCCGAGAGATCTTTGAGCATTTCATTTTAGTTGTTTACAATCAGATGTTTATGAGTTTGCAAAACAATTTTGAATTCAAATTTTACTTGAAATTGATGGTTTATGGATATCGCACTAATTTTGTCTCCAATCTTGGATTACACTAACTTCAGTTTGTATCATCCTGTTATGGACCAGTGAAAATGACACCAATGACCTTTTTCTAGTTATGTAACATGAAAATATAACATGGGCCATATCAAAAGGATCATTGAATCAATGAATCAGCCCTTGGAATCAATGAATCAGCCCTTGGAATCAATGAATCAGCCCTTGGAATCAATGAATAAGACCTTGGATTGAATCAGCCCTTTGAATCAATGAATCAGCCCTTGCCTTCATTGAATCAGCCCTTGCCTTCACTGAAGCCCTAATCATATGCATGTTGACCCTATCATTATTTTTGTGCCACCCATTGCAGCAGTTTAAAGTTCTAGATGTGAGGGCAATGTTTGAGGTAACCGTGGTAACCATGCACTGTGTTGTTGTTATGTATCAATGTTGTTCTGAATAGCAATCATAATTGTTGAATATTATGTATTGTAAATCATTAAGTTTACTCATGACCATTGAAAACACTCCTAATCATTAGGGTCTCTCAAAAGTTTTGAGTACACTCATGATTGAGTATATCCCTTATTGCAGAGGGCACTCAAAAGTTCACCCAAAGATGATGCACTCAATTATAACATTTTGCTCTCATAATCATCTGAGTGCTGTCATTATTATCACTTAGTTTACTCATAATGAATAAATTCATAATCATGGAGTACACTCATAATGCACATAATATAAACAAACAATTATTTTTTGAATTTGCTCAAGATTTTAGTCGATGTTTTAGTATTCTTTCTTCTACCTCTTTCATCATAGAAGGCCTACACAATATGTTGCTGCTTATCTTAGGTTATTTAAACCTCCTTGCAACAATATATTATGGGCCTTCACTATTAGTTATTATTTACACGTTGTTGTTTTTAACATTATGCATTAGTTTGTGCTTTATTACTTCTTATGTTCTGCATATTTATTAGAATTGTATAGTATTCTGAGTGTTGAAGCACAGAATACTTATATATCTGTGTTGTATGAGTGTTTAAGTATGAGTAATTGTGTTGTTTGAGTAATTGTGTTGTTTGAGTATGTAGTTGTTATGTCACCACCAAAAAGTGGTGACATATTGTTATGGTCTCCGTTTTTTGATGGTGGTAGGTGGTTGGCGTTTGGCGATCAGCGTCTGTAACAAATTCTTACAACTTCCAATAACTTAACAAATACTGTTTAGACTGACTTCAGTTTTTTCAAAATCATCTTCAAGTTTTCAGAAGTTCTAATCTGACTTTATTTTTAAAATTTGACCTTCAATGACCTTCTCAAGGTCAAAAAAGGTCAAAAGGGTCTTTTTTCAACTTGCTTCAAATTTTTTTTAAATCATGTACAAGTTCTCAACAGTTCAATGACATTCTCAAGGTTAAAATATTTGACCTTCAATGACATTCTCAAGGTCAAAAAGGTCTTTTTTCATCTTGATTCAAATTTAACAATTTATTTTTTTCAAAATCATCTAAATGTTCTCCGAAGTTCAAATCTGACTTTTGATTGAACTCATAATATTGTGAGCAACTAGGTGGTGACATTTTGCCATGTTAATGCGTTGTATGACTTTTGTTGCACGAGTATTATTGTACATTTACACAGTATTGTATTAGTATTGTTGTACAGCTCGATCTGAGTATTTTTGTTTGAACTGCATTGAGTGTTTGAGTACGTAGATTATATTGAGTATCAAAAGTTTGATTCTTTAGTTCTTTTGAAATTCTGTGTGATTAGTAGTATACGTTTAAATATTAGAAATTATGCTTGCAATTATGGTCAAGAGCTACTGAATATACAGGGTTGACCAAAAATGTTAACTATTCTGTTGTATTGTAATAGCAAAATGAATAACATTTGTTGGCTCACCCTGTATATTGATTATGTTTCATCAAATTAGATAATGCTTCATTATTTAGGCTTAAGTATCTTAGGAACTATATGAATATTATTGCGCATCAAATTAAATGTTTATCTGTTTAATTTTAAAATAGATCTTTCCTTCATAACCTCTGAAAGTGTGCTGGTAGTCATTAAAAACTTTTTGGGCATTTTTAGCTCACATGGTGAGCTTTTGCAATCACTCACTTGTTTAAAAAATGTATTCCAAACTTAATGTAAATCATATAGTTTACCATTAAATATGATGTATCATACTAACTTTTATAAACAAAGTTTCTTCATTTTTAAACTGAAACAGTGTGTTTGTGTGGGTGTTTATGGGAGTATAAGGTCCAGTGATCTTTCTCAAATTGGATACACAATTTATTGTTTGAACATTGTACTGGTCAAAATGTATGAAAAAAGTTCTCCCTGAGTTCAAAACAATTTCAAATAGGAAAATATATATTCAAATATATTTAAATAGATGCAGGATCTAGTAACTGGTGGGGAGTTCACTAAACATTTTTTCAAATTAGAATAAATACATTAAGAATGCAATAATACATGTAAGATGTGTGGCTGAATGTAAATGAGATATATGAGGAGGTGATACATTCGATTCATGTGTGTGCAGTTTCTCATTATTCATTGCAGAGCTCAAAGCCAGTCGTTGAGTCACCAAAACCAGCCAAACCTTTGATAGAATCCAAGAAGCCAGAGATCACTGCTGCCAAGCCTGATGCCCCTAAACCAAGCGAGACTAACAACACAAAGGATGCGCTCATTGAGAAATTGATTGCCAAGATTGAGGCGATGGAGGTTAAGTCTGAGGCAATGGAGGCTAAATTTGAGAAACAGCAATCCCGTATCACCGCATTAGAAGAAAAGGTGGCAGCACAAGAGGCAGATCGCCATGGTGAATTGGAAATGGACAACTTGGTTACGGAAAATGGTGATGAGGAAGTGGTTTAAATATGTACATAGACGATGAAGATAGACATATTACAACTTAACTTGTCAGTAAAGTGCTCATGGATTCTCTTAGGACCTCCACAATATAATGGCTTCACATATTCTGAATTGAAGTTTTCCTCCAACACTATGGTCAGCTAGGTGTATATCTAGCAGCATCTTTCTCCACCTTGGTGTATACACATCTTGTAGTCCAATTGAAATTTCTTGGTAGAATTTTTCGTTTCGTTACTTCCAAAATTGGATCTGTGAGATGTGGCACATTTAATCTGTGAGCACCGGAAGGCACAAGTAATAGTGTTGATATTCTTCAGTTATACTCTACAAAACAACAGCAAATATAAGGTGATCTTAAATTCAAACTAGACAACAGCAACGTCAAAGCATTGCAAATCCCATCGAACAGCCATGGCTGGTATTTTTACTAACAAAGTATATAGCAAAAATGGCAGCCATTTACCAAAAGTGTCATTAGACTTTGTTCGATGGGATAATAAAGATGGTCTAAATTCAAATCACCTGGGTTTTCACAATATGTATATTTAGCAGGTCTTCACTAATACCAGCATTTTATGCTGCATGTATGTTGTGGTGGTATTCACTTTTAGTGATATTCAGTGAATATCATTCACTACAAATTGATTGGAATTCACTACGAGTCATATTGGTATTCACTACAATTTATATTGATATTCACTACAAATTAATTGGAATTGCATACAATTTTTTGTGGTATTTGCTAGTTTTAATTGGGTATTCACAACACATCACAATGGTCACGCTCCTTTCAGTCAATCGTCGTGTTTATAACGATCCATGAAAATAACTTTACTTGAAATAATTTATTGGCCTAAATAAATCAGTTTGAGAATGACCATGACTCCTCTGTTTAATCAGACTGGGAGGGGCAGATATGATATTTATACCATGTAGAATACAATGTGAATATATACATTGGTTTTGGGAATTGACTAGGGAAGATTTACTAATAAAGCTATGTAATTATAAATTGTACATGTATTGTATGTGATGTACCAATAGTTAGTATATTTTATACATGCTTCAGGTTCAAACATTAGCTCATGCTACAGTGTGTGTATTTTAACAACGGTTTCAACAATTAGTGAGGCTAATTTAGATTAGTGAGGCTAATTTAGACAAGTGAGGCAACACAAAGGGCATGTTATACTACTACAGGTTTACACAGGACAGGTTTGCGCAGATTTAGTCTAAAATGCCTAAAAATGTCTCTGTGAAATGTTGATCAAGTATACACCCTCAATCCGACCCATGCGGGCCCCACGCAGAAACAATGTGGATTTCACGGGGATTCCACGTGGATCCTTGTGGCATGGGTTCCACTTGGATGTGGACTGGCTGTGTTGGGTACCTAGCTACACCCATAAAACATAAGGCTACACTTGTTAACAATTTGAGGTGATAGTACATAGAATACATGTAAATGTTGCCAAGTGACTGTTTTTGTTGTTGTTTACAATGTTCTATACAATTAAATTATTCAATACAATTTTACAAAATGAGATGAATATTTATCCTATAAATAGGTTTTAATAGGTATACTGATTGTAAGCGTTCATGCATGGAGTGGGTTGGCTCACGGCCAGGCCAGATCAATTGAATTCATTCAGTCAAAACATGATTTTGAGAGAACTGATAACTGGCGTATCTTTCCTTGCCAAAAAACTTGTAGAGACTTGTATGTGATATTATTGTCCATTTGTAAATACTTTTGCACAGATCTGTGTATACAAACGTAAGGTGGCATATTGTATAGTTGATCTGGCTACTAAGTAACATTACAATTCACATGACTCACATTTGGCAATAATATGCCAACTTTGCGGATAATATACCTACTTAACATAGTTTACATTTCAGACCAGTACACTTATTACATTTCAGTACACTTACGTGGCATCATTGTCATCCCTATAGCACTAACTAACATGTATAAATGTAATAATTAAGAAACTAAAGTGGTATTGAGAAACTTTGAACGCATGTTGCGCTAGATGGGTGTTCGGCAGAATTCATAGGATCCCTCAATCTCTGTACTGTGTAGATTTGTAAATCCATCATGTTTTAATGAACCTATATGCCTAATATTCTAAAATTGCTACCCCAGATCAAAACAATAAATGATAGTATCATTGCCTTACTAGATATTACCAAAAGAATGTTAGGGTATCTTCCCATGCATAAATAATCAAACATGACTAGTTGCCCTGCCAAAATTTTACAAAATATTATTCCAGAGGTATTTTTCAATTGAAACCTTGAATATGAAGACCATAAATAAAAATTTGCCTCGCTATATATTAGATCTTGGCTATACCCCTATAATGGAATGACATTGCATTTAAATCACCTTTAACAGTTTAACACATACTATTATAAGTTAAACGCATTCTATAATACGTTTAACACATTCTATAATAACCCTAGTGAGAAAATCATTTCCAAAGTGAATTCTTTGTTTTATCAAACTACACCATGCATCATGGTTAGGCTACTTGTTTTGTTGCCAAAACATAAAATATTGTCAATTGTTCTTGAAACTTAATTTGTATGTATTCATCATTTACTGTAGGACCAGAAGCACTGGTGTCATGTAAAAGGTAAAATGGAACACTAGTAATTAGTGATAATTAGGTTGTATGGGACAGTAGATTTTTTTTGAATTGTAATGGGTGCTCAAGTAATTAAAAAATTGATGTTTTTTTATGTAGAATGTCTTTTTTTAATGAACACCTTACAAAAATGCCTCACATAAAGTGTCACTTTAAAATGAAAGAATTTCTCACTTGTAGCATGTATATATCTAGCCTGCAATAAATTTATATACACATTGTTAATGAAAAGTTATGTTATCTTTAATAACTGAATAATGTTTATTATCCCACCAAACGAAGTTCGAGGGGGATGTAGGAAAGCCGTCCGTCCGTTCGTCCATCTGTCCTTTTGTCCGGGCGATAACTCAAATATAATATAATATAATATAATATAGACGCTTAATTCAAAATGGCCGCCATTTTTCGTAAAACCTTTTTTCGATAACTCAAATACTAGTTGACGGATTTGGTTCAAATTTTATATGCTGTTGTATAGGAACAGAGCAGCTACGCTGAAGAAGAGATTTTCAAAATGGCTGCTAAACATCAAAATGGCGGCCATTTTTCGTAAAAACGTAATCTTTGATAACACAATTACCAGTGAAAAGATTTGGTTCCCAATTTTATATGATGATGCCTAGGAAAAAGTAGATTTGTTCAAAAAAGAATTTTCAAGATTGTGGCTGAATTTCAAAATGGCCGCCATTTTTCATAAAAGTACATAATCTTTGATAGCTCAAATACTAGTCTGCTAGTTGACGGATTTGGTTCAAATTTATATGTTGATGTCTAGAGACAACAAAGGATTTTCTACGAAAGTATGCCTATCCCAAGATGAAGGAAAAAACATCAGGCAGCCATTTTGAATCTCCCCGAGTCTGAATTAGAAAAACGATACAATATTTATAGTGGATGAGCTGGGACCAATTTTTTACTCACGTTATTGCATTTTTATAATTATGTTAATTATGTGTATTATATCATTTCTCATTGATTTTGAAAATAATAGGGTCTAGTTTTTCAGCCTCTTCGAATAATTGCCATTTATACCCTCCCGGCTATATTTATGAAGGGGTACTATGAAAAGCATGAATTATGTCTGTTATATACCGTTAATCAAATTCATATTTCTAGGGATTATGTATCTATATATAACAAGTTTCCATGACAAGTTTGATTATGCTTGGTCGAGCAGTTGCCATGGCAACACAACTTAAGTGCGAAAAATTGTAAATATTTCGGATAAATCCACAAGTTCTTTAAAAGGTAAACGACTGCTAATCTCTTCGGATTGTACCAATCAACATGAAGTTGACTTTGAAAACATATTTAAGGAGTTTTGAATGAGAGAACGTGACTGAAATGATTAATTTTATGATATCTTTGACTCTAGTTCATATTCCTATTTGGTCACTATCATTCAAACTACTTAAAAGTGGACATGGCTCCTTTAGATAACAATCTTAAATAATTTCTGTTATGTACCTCCAATCATGTTCATACTTTCAGGGACTATGTATATACATATAGTGAGTTGATATAGCAAGTCTGATCATGTTTGGTTAAATGGTTGCCATGGAAACATGCATGCAAACAATTGTAGCTATTTCAGATTAACAAGTAACTGCTAATCTCTTAAACCAATCAAAATAAAGTTGTGTTCAAAACCATTTTTGGTCAATAAAACAGCATGATTTAGATGATTATTGGTAATTGGTTGCTATGGTAACACAAATGAATGGCATTGTTCTTTGTAAATATACTTGTTTGGCTTGTGTGGAGATGGTAGATACATATATACATAGTTCATTTAGATTAATTTCTGTATTGTTAACTGTTTTTCTTTAAAATACTATTTTAATTTCTATGAAATACTAGTATACATATTTACATCATATTATGTCCTTATTTAATAAGCTTAACTACAGGGTGTCCCAAAAGTATACCCCCACTGCGGCCCCCCACTATGCAGACATATACCAATGTTTCCATAGTATGTGTCCTATATCATTTTAAAGATCATCCAAAGATACATTGATTTGTGTCTCCCTAGACCATGTTAATAGCAGCAATGTTTTTCATATATGACCCTTAACGCGCTTCAAATAGGGATGTGGCATTTTGTAATCCTCAAAAAATTTGTTAAGCCATTTTAGAAGAATTCATTGGAGTATCTACCCTTAATTGCCTCTTTTTAGAACTCAATATCCATCCTATATTCGTCAATAGCACCCATATTAATGGTCATATTCAGGTCAGGGCTGTTTCCAGGATACTAAAATGAACTATATTTTTGGCCGAACATTATTAAGTTTTGAAATGCCTGTAACTTGTTACCATTTGTGAGTTGAACCATGATACTTGGCAAATCAATGTAACTTTGGATAAGCTTTAAAATTATATATGGCACATACCATGGAGACATTGTATACGTACACGTCTGCCTAGGGGGCTCATACTTTCGAGACACCCTGTACATATTAGTATGGTGGGGTAAGTTAGAAACATTGTTCTGTATGTCTTCACAGCCTGCTGTTTCGATTTGCATCACCTCAGTGTAAGCCCGACAATGTCTATTACGATTCATTTATGTAACAATGTCGGCAATACCTGTGAGATGGTGTAGTGTCTGGGATAGTAAATAATTGTTTTGGTATCTTGAATGATCCATTTGAAGTTGCGAGACAAATTTCTTGTGCAATAGAATGCACCAGCCGCTGTTGTTTCTCATTTAATATCTTGTTCTCATTGCTCTGGAAGAGATTCATTAAAAATTCCTTATAGGGAACATTTAGTATGAATTTGTACATTCTATTTGCAAGTTCTGATGTTCTTGGGGTCAATTAAATGAGGGGTATTTTGTTTTGGCATTTAACATAATGCGTCTTAGATGAGACCCAGCATTGGTCAATAGATCTTGTTCTGAATTGATATTCTTATGAAAAGCCTCTGCAATAGATTTTTCGGAGATGCCCCTTAAATTGCCAAATACAAGTTCATTTTTCAATGAAGATTCTTTTGGGCGATAGAAATTGAGTTTATTCCCCAAAATGAATACTAAGTCCACTTTTGAAGTTATCTAACCTTCTGTACTTTGGTGTAGGTATGGTTGGATTATGTTCACTCATATGTCTTTGGAACATATTGTGAAGAGAGTCTAATGTAACAATTATGGGACCACCAGTCAACACCGTTTCATCTATATATTTGCAACTAAATGTGAATGATGAATCAATTACTTTATCACATGTATTTGTGTTTTGGCGTTTACTGGCCAGGTAATATTTTCTGCATGAATTATGGTACATTGCTTCTGCAGAAACTATGCAACGTCCACCTATTTTTGCATGCAGGGCCCAGTCTTATTCAATGACTGCATTCAATATAGACATTGATGCAGTATCAGTTTGACATTTTGCTAGTTTCTCTTGTATTTCCCTTTTGATATTTCTTTTATTTATCACAAAACAGGTACAATTGCTATAGAAGGCTGAATGTGTTAAGATCTATCAATATCACACCGGAATAGCCTGACTACGGTAAAGTCAGATACCGTTGTCACAAATGACGGACATAACCATCACTTCAACTGTCTAATCACTTGGTCTTCATTTCATGGGATTTTATCGCCGCTAATTCTGTGCATGCATTAAGCTCTTGTGATAATGTATAATATGAAATCCCATTTTCCATCAAATTGGGTCGTGAATCGCCACAATATAGCACCTTCGATATTGTCAATGACAACGGAATCTGAATTTGAGTAATTTAGAAAGACAATGGTATTTGGTAATAATTACAATGTCCGTTGTCTCGTATCTCATTTTGGTCGGTAAAATTAAAGACTTTAGTTCGATGGTAGAACATTATTAACCGTACAATGAGTATTAAGACACTTTGATTGATTGTTGTTCCAAAGGAATTTAGTCTAGGTATCTAGGTAAAGGTAAAGACAACGGTATCTGACTTTACTGTTGTCAGGCTATTCCGGGGTGAATATAAGAACACAGAGTAGTTTCTGTTTATTAATTAACCATGAGTTGATATCATTGACTAATAGATGATTTCAGTCATGTTTTCTTAAACCAACTCCTATAACATGTTTTCAAAAAAACTTTTTATTGATTGGTACAATCTGGAACTATGTGTAGATTTATCCAATTGTTTATACTTCTTTATAAGTAAGTTGTGTTTCCATGGCAATCATTTCACCAATCATGATCAGACTTGCTATATCAACTAACTATATATACATATATACTCTTTGAAAGTATGAATGTGATTGGAGGTACATAACATGAATTATTCAAGATAGTTACTTAAAAGTGCCACGCCCACTTTTGAGCAATGTGAATGATAGTGACCAAATAGAGTTATGGACTAGAGTCATAGATATCATTCAATTAATCATTTTAATCATGTTATTTCATTGAAACCTCCTTAAATATGTTTTTAAAGTCAACTTCATGCTGATTGGTGCAATCCAAAGAGATAAGCAGTCGTTTACCTTTTAAAGAACTGGTGGATTTATGCGAAATATTTACAATTTTTCGCACTTAAGTTGTGTTGCCATGGCAGCCACTTGACCAAGCATGATCAAACTTGTCATTGGAACTTGTTATATATAGATACATACTCCCTAGAAATATAAATTTGATTGGAGATATATAACATAAATTATTGATGCTTATCGTATTACCCCCTCATAAAAATAGCAAGGAGGGTATAAATGGCAATTATTCGAAGAGGCTGAAAAACTAGACCCTATTATTTTCAAAATCAATGAGAAATGATTAACTACAAATAATTAACATAATTACAAAAATGCAATAGTGTGAGTAAAAAAGAGGTCCGAGCTCATCCACTATTACACTCTGTTCTCGATTTTCCTCTTCGAGTAAAATAAAGCTATACACATGCACGGGCCCAAGAATCACGTTCAAAACACGGAATTTATGTAAAAGGCATATTTATGGATAAACCAGCAAAACAGTAATACTCATGACCTTTATTAGAATCGCAAGACTTAGACTCTTGAATTAAATTAATCATTTCCATTAAATCCGTTTATTTTCTCAATTATGTACAATATCATACTTTACACAACTACATCTACTATTCTTATAATATTTCACAAATCATTATAAATACCATTATGTGGCACCTAATACTCCCTCTTCATATATAGCTACTACAACCTGTAAATATGTTACATTGGTTTAATTAAAAAATATATTGACACCAATTTCGAAGCAGCAGCATATTTTTGCGTAGAACTATTAACCAAAATACATCTTTCTTATTTCCAATATAGAATGATACATATTTAATTTCTTAATTCAAACATGCATTAGAGCAATTCAGTGCGTTGATTTATTGATATATACTACATAACAATGATTTTGCGGCAGTGCGGTGTGTTTGATTTTGATACATGCACGGGTTGAGCAGGGCTATATTTTAAAAAGGGGTGACAACATGTCACCAGTGTGTTAATTTTATATAGTCAATGCTTTTCCAACTAAGTTTTTATGATTTTTCTGTATCAAATTAATTTCATTCCTATAATACTTTTGACAAATAAAACCTTCTCAATAGTTTTCAAACGAATATCAATTGTAACTCAACACGTGTACCCCAATTTAGTATTTCTTAAAGATAAACTTTTCCGAAATCATAAATTGTAAGGGGTAAACCAGGTCAACATTCATTGCGATTTCATCACATTGCACATCAATTTACTTTTACAATTTTACCACTTTACAGGGCTCCTATTACTCACTTCGAGAGCCATGTTCGATTTTGAAACTTATATCAAAATCCAAATAGCTTTCGCAGGAAGTAAGGCTCCTACACTTTCACTGGTGATCATCAGTTCCGACCTAGCGAACCACGGTTCTCACAACGCGAATATCGAGGAGGCCTGTTTTAGTAGTAAGTGTAAAAGGGTAGGTGGTCCTATCAAATTTTGGTCCTACTCTCTATTGATTTATATGGTGACCTAATCACAATTATTTTCCTTATTATTTATACACAGTCAGGGCCAGTAAGGGCCGTAAGGAAAGGAGACCATAATCCCCAGGGGACCATAATTTCTTTTACACCGGGACAAAAATGTCAGCAAATTAAATTTCTTCAAAGAACGAACTGTTTTACTTCATCATTGACTATACCATTTGCATTCGTTCGACTTCCTTTATTACAAGACTCTGCGCGCAGGGCCCGGACACAGGGTAACCATTAACCAGGGTCATGTTTGAATTGCAATGAATTCTATATTAGAAATATAAAAACATTCGTGTATGTACTAACCCATACTGACAATGCACTCGGGCTCTATAAAAAGTTCATTCATTCCCCTTAAGAATGCGCTATACAGAATTGCCCTCCGAACTTGCTGCGAAACATAATCTCCATTTCATAGGATAAGGTCACCAGTTTTACTGAAACGATCGCTTATTCCAATTAAGGTAGGATTTGTCATCCCAATAAGGTGTCACAAGATAAAAATGAACTCGTCTAATCCGCTAGTGTAAACTTCCCGGCGGAAGTGATATACGTTGCCAAAAAGGGTGAACACTTGGTTTTCTATGATTTACACTTTCAATGTCATCATTTCAAATTGAAAAATATATAATAGTGGTGCTGAACCAAATTCAGAAATAAGCAATGATTTAATTATAACTAATATACACTAATTTAAATCGGTTAACTGTAATAATAAACAGTGTTTGATATCAGGGCTTATCAGTAATACCACCCACTATAAGTTTTGAGTCCATTTTGATCTCATTTTTCAGTTGATTGATTCTGCACATGCGCGTAACGCCTCTTCGGGTCTGGCAAGAAAGAACCGTTGATTTACTAATAACATTTTAAACTGGATTAAACACTAATAAGGACAACTTCATAAGTGACCAACAAGAGTGTGTTCTGAAGGTAAGATATATTTCTAAAGACTCTTTCAATGAAATTCTTGTGATTTTGCTAATTGGGACTAAAATGAATTTTTATTTCAGATGTCCCGGTTCGTTCGAGAGAGCAAATTTCGCCATGTTTTTGGAACATCGCTCAAAAAGGATGGCTGCTACTATGACAATATTAGAATAACAAGCTCAGCATGGGATTCCAGATTTTGTGCAGTGAATCCTAAATATATAGCCATTGTCACAGACGGAGGAAGAGGATCGTTCCTTGTTTTACCATTAGAAAAAGTAAGACATTTTTATCTTCCAACCGGGATATATGTCAAAATAACTGCTTTATTTAACTCTACTGAGCTGAATGAAGTTTAACCAGAGATGATGATCATTTTTGTCCAACAAAACGTACATGTATTTTTGCACAATTTTACACAAATTATATATTAAACATTTACATTCTTAATCAATTAGCGTCACCTTAAATTCAGCATCTTGGGAAATACGATGTTAACTGGTCTCAACAAGGATACGATTTGAATTGTGCTTGGACGGTGGAAAAGAAAAAAATATTTAGATATCGCGATCGCCCTACATTGGTTCCCATGAACTGAGATTTTGGCGATAGTAAAGTTATCCAGTTTGAATGTTCCACGGTTTTATAACTTGTTTTTCACCTGGGATAACAAAGGATTGACCCAAAAGACATTCTGTTGACATTTCTATTTCTAAAAACATAAATTTTTTGCATTTTCTGGTATCGTGACTATTAAGTTAGAATTCAAACCGCATTGAACAAACACAATTTTTACAATAATGATGCATATACAAGGGGCAATAAATACGAGTAAATACAAATAAATACCCAAAAATATATAATACAAGGGGCAATCCACCGATCCATATATTCTGATGAAAATGCTATGATTTTGTGACTTTTTCATATATCCCTCTCATTTCTTCTGAACATATGGATTATGTATATGCACATACTATTTCAAAATATTATAACTATATCTCTAATTAATTTTGAGATAATGTTCCCATGGTAAGTTAACCTGTGTTAAGGGTAGACAGGTCAGTTAGATTAAAACATATGAAATAGACAGTTTTAGTTAGCATGCGGAAACCATTTTTTCAAAAAATGTTTGGTATTGTTGCTTTGTTGTTTGTTGCTATGCAAATGTAGATTTTTGTAATTAGTTTCCAAATTCAAAATGTACATAATACAACCAAAAGAAAAATATATCCGAACCATCAAATTTTGCCTACTGTTAAGAATGTATCAATTGGTTTGCATGAACTTGATTGGTTATTTAAGTGGTGGGATCCGAAATTTAATTATGCAGCTAGGTATATTTGGATATTTAATTGAACATCCCGCTGTCACAAAACATGAATTATGAAATAAAAGCAATTTTAAAACGAAAGACAAGCAGGGATTAACTTTTCTACAAAAAGTTAAAAGTTATCTAACAGCTCATAATTGCCATTTAAATTACATGTACATGGTCGTAGCGCTATCTTTTACGTTGTATTAGGCCTGCAGCCAAATTTTGCGAAGTGGGTGGTTTATTTCCAAAAATTCCACGGGGTTCACATTTTTCAACTTTGGCCCAAAATCACTCGAAACGTGCTCAGAATGGTGAAAGACTGCATGCATGGTGTTGAAAGAATTTTTGGGCAAGGGGAGGGACCGCTCGAATGCCCCAATCCCCCTTGTTATATGCCTGTGTATAATGCTTAGGGAATGCATTTCATGCAGAACTACTGAAGTATCCCATTGCTGAAATTAGCATATGGAACAGTTCAACGAATAACTCACAATGACCTGAAGATGTGTTTTATTCAATTCAATTCAGTTCAATTTATTCATACATTCAACCATTATGTTTACAAATAACACGTGGCACCAAAGGTACGTTGTTGCCTATACCGGACCCGTATTGTATTGTATTTTGTTTAATTTACCACCAATGAAGGTGAGCAGTACCTCTTGAGTATAACCCGTATATACATGTAAATGGTTGTAATTAACGCATGTAATCAAGGAAGGCAGGCCCAGGAAGCCATCCTTGAAGGAGTCCTGGTACATGTGCTCTACCGCTGAGCTATACGGGTGGACAGATGCATATAGTACATATAGTAGTAAAATGATGTAGTATATCATTATTTCGCACTAATTTTTTCCCGCCAATTGCGCGTAATTAAAGCCCACGTGTAATTTACCACGGCTACAGTATCTCAAAGTTAATTCAAGATCTGAGATCTAATCTTGAGATCACTCTTACATGTAAAAATTGAAGGAACGTTTTGTCGTTCGCTGACACCATGATGTATGAAATCATTGGTTTGAAATTAGTAGTTTCGCAACTTACAATGCTCTTATAGGCTAGGCAAATGGAAGTTTAACATCCCAAAAATTGCAACAGTTTTTAAATTAGGCTTATATTGTATATTGATACCAGTTGAAAAACATATCAAAAATATAGAAAAATATATGCAGTGGACAAATATGAAATGTCACATTCTAGGTACCCCCCTCCAAATTTGAGTATGGGATTGTAAATATTTTTTAATTTCAAAATGAAATGCTCTTGTCAACTAAATGAGTAATATTATCATAGTTTACTGACATAAGAGCAAATAAAAATTGTTAACCAACTATTTGAGTCCAATAATTGGCATTTCTAGCCCCAAATATCTGAAAATAGGCCATCAAATAGCCCAAATTTAATATAACAATGTATTTATTTCTGTATCAATTCATTAGAATTGCATGAAAAAAATCAAGGAGGTTAATGTATACCTGAAAATTGTATTTAATCAGTATCAGGGTCATTAGTTGAATATTGAGGGTGATAATAATATTTGAAATTTCAATATTTTACCACACCAACTTTTGGGGTGACCTTACTTTTGTTTAATTACTTCCAAGATAAGTCATATTTGAACTCAATAGCACAACTAAATTATTTGTAAAGGCTTATTTTGTCCTGAAAACAGTTATTTGATGTTTTCAGGGAAGGATTATGTAAAAAAAAGTAGAAAAAACTGCAAATGCCAGGTGAAATATAGGGGAAGCCCTACTTTTAGTTGATAACTGCTAAATTATCAAATGTTTTGCCCTTATTATATTCAATTTGATACATTTTCTGTTAAAACAGAGAATGATTTGTTAGAAATTAAGTACAATCAGTGTTCTAAAAATATCCTTGAAAAGGCAACAAAATGTTAAATATCCCTGTCCCTGACATCAGGTTATTAATATGAGCCAAAAAAGGTAACCCAACCAAATTTTTGTTAATAACCCAGTCATTCAGCATGGGTTTGACATCATATTTTGCACAATTACCTTGTTCAATGTTCTTTCATTCTACTAAGTGTCATTGATCTATCCTTAATAGTCACGATTTCATGGCCATTTACAAAATGTGCTCAAAATATCGAAATGTGCCTAAATGACTGGACATCAATACCACCAGCTTTTTATCTGTGTACCCATTTTCTATACTAACAACCCTTGAAACATTAAAACAAGAGATAAGAATGAAGATGAGAGCCATAACACATGATTTTTATGCTCCTGATTTGAAAAACTACGCCCGATACGTTCAAGTTGACCTCCAGGCATGACGCCCATATTTCATGGCATGGTATAAAATGGCCATAAAATCGTGACCACTAGAGATAGACCACTGAGACTAGATTGATAATACATTGACCAAGACTCAATTCTGCAAAATATGACACTAAATCCATGCAGGATGACTTGACTGGGTTATTAAGATTTGTTTGGGTTACCTTTTTAGCTCACCCTGTATTAAGGAAAATTGTTGCTTTTGACTAAGATGTTCTTAACCACACTGTGATATTGAGAATTGAAATGAAGAAGTTCAACTGTAGAATGTTGGATTTCAAGATGAAATTCAATAAAAAATGAGGAAAGGGTTTCTACGCTAATAAATTATACTGAGTTAACTAGTGTACCGCAAAGTAAATCCCTGGTCTTTATACAGGGCATGGTTCGATTACGTTATGTTCATTATCAAAAGTGCTGCCTTCATTTTGTAATCTTAACTTACATATATGTGTCTTACTTATAGAGAGCAAAAAATAATGCTGATTAAATAAGCTTAATACTTTTATGTTGTAACAACAATCACTTTCAACCTTTCCTATCACCAGCCTTCATTTTTTAGTCATCATTATTTTCATGATCAGTAATGGAGGTACTTGCACAAATGCCTTTGCATACCTTACATGCCATAGAACAATTATTCCATTTTCTGCAAGTACATCTCATAGAAGTTCAATCTGTCTTACACACACAATGGATGATCTCTAAGAGAGGGGAGCTGCAGGTAGGCAATAGACTAGATACGAGTAGAAATATTCATTAAATATTCAAAATTCAAAATGATGTCATATTTGAAATATTCCCCATAGACCCCATGTTACAAAAGCACAAAAATCGAATTATCTTATCTTGTATTGGACAGATAACATTTTCTTTTACTGGACATATTTTGATTTGCATAACTATTAGATACATAAGGGTTATATGAAAATTGAACCACGCAAATAGATGTAATTTAAGTTAGGGAACTTTCTACTATACCAGCCATGCTATCTGACCCAAATGAGCCATCTGGTGGTGAATCTGGTAACTACCTACTCGCATCTGCGTTATTGGTACAAACGCTTCGCTGCTTATTTCCCAGCCCAATTATAATGGAGGCAGTTTATTTCCCTTCCACTCCTGGATCTGAAGGTACGCTCTATAACTGTGGTATACCGCAGCATCAGACGTTGGAGGAAGAACACGGGGCTTCAATAATTCAGATCTTGCTGCTCTCTTTTAATAGAATTTTTGAAGCCTAAGTACGTTGTAACAAAATGTCAGAACATCGAAGGTATCATGATTTTTCTTTTTTTCCTTATTTCACACGTTGTAGGCAGAATTCCAACATTGTTATCACAAACATGTGTCAGTATCATATGTTTAAAAAATGTACATATTTGCGAACAAATAGTTCAGAAGACAACAGAATCGTCGATTTAATTCCTCACTTAAGTTACATAAATGGTATTTCGATAAACAGTTAAGATCTGCACTTTTAACCCAAACCGTTTATGTAACTTAAGTGAAGAATTAAATCAAGAATTGTCTTCTAAGCTATTTTTGCGCAAACATGTACATTTTCTAAAACATGTGATACTGATACATGATTGTGAGAAAAAAACATCGTGGGGATTCTGCGTACAACGCGTGAAAGGAAAAACGCGCATTCGACGTTTAGACATTTTGTCATACCTAAACGGGCGTATTCGAGCGGATCACCAGTGCTTTTGGTAATTTAAAAACGACCGCTTGTTTTCTCAAGAACTCACTCTTTTTTATCTGCCTCAATGATAGCTTCTTGTCAATCCCATATATAACCAGAATGAGGTGTCACACCCCAGAAAAGCATGGATAAAGAAAATATTGTCACAGACCACTTTTCCCAAAGACAATCTTATTTAATTTATATCCAACATTTTGTTTCTTGGGTTGCTGCTTTTGGTTCAGGTTTGAAGAAAATGTTAAAGTTTGTGTTTTGTGTATGATAAATGAGAAGCACAAGGAGAACTGTATGAGTACTGTATTTGAGGTTGGAGCACTTTGGATTGCAGTCTTCACAATCACAATATCTGCATCCGATTCTGAATGTGTAGCACATGTGCACTCAATGTTTTCCAACCTGACAGACAGAATTACCATCATTCCTACGCACTGAAATTATGTTAATGAAAGACTCCCCAGATATCCGAGATTTAAATGTGCTCTATCAGATTAGATTACCTTTAATGACCATAAAATCGTTTCTACAACATTATACATCCAGTTCCATAGTAATGTATTCTTAAGTAATGATTTATTTATCTGATGAATTTAAATATATGCAAATTTTGTAATTGCGGATTGTAATTAATAATTTAAACAATATTAAATTTCACAGAAACTACAATACATTATTTAGATAAGCCTAGTATAGAGCAGTTACCAAATACCCTAATATCAGAGTGGTGATATGTAATTATTCATCAATTAAAAGTGAGGTCACCTTAACATTTCACCAGGTGCAACTAATTATTCCTATTTTCATACTTATAAGGTATAAACCTTCACAAAACCTGTATTTTAGATGATGACAAGCCTATATAAATGATTTAGATGTCAACTCTAACACAGATGTGATGTATTGTGGGAGTTAGTCATCAAAACTATAGTCTCCCCTATAGTGGGCGGGGCAAAACTATGAAAATGAACTTTTTTTTTCTTCGTAAGTCTACACGTTAGAATTCTGATACTCACCAAATATTAAGTTCACATGAATATGTAACACCATGATTTTCTTCATGCTTTTCTGACAATCTGATCCTAAAATATCTGAATAGATATTCAAAACTATAGTCTCCCCTAGTGGGCGGGGCAAAACTATGAAAAAGAAATAATTTTTTTCTTCCTAAGTATACAAGTTAGAAGTCTGATACTCACCAAATATGAAGTTCATATGAATATGTAACACCATGATTTTTTTCATGGTTTTCTGACAAACTGATCCTAAAATATTTAAATAGATATGTGATAACATGGCTGTTTTGTGGCCTATTTTGTTATACTTTGGGGTCAAATGACCAATTACTGGTCTCAAAAATGATCAAAACGATATTTTAATTATTTGTGAATATGTGATCTATCGTAATAAAGCTTGAATACTTGACTAAAATATTCCATTTGGGAACAAAAAATTGTTTCCTACCAATACTCAATTTTGGGGTAGGGTTGTAGGGGGTACCTAGGAAGTGAAATTTCATATTTGTCCACTGCATACATTTTTCTATATTTTTGATATGTTTTTCAACTGATATCAATACATAATATAAGAGTAATTTAAAAACTGTTGCAATTTTTGGGATGTTTGGGCCTTTTATGAGCCCATTTGCTTGGCCTATTAGTATTTGCTATTGTCCTAGTAGTAGAGGAATAGAAAAGAAATAAGTCTCAAGAAGCCATAGTTTGTGCGCTCGATCAGGCCACTGTTGGGTGTTTTGTGCTTTATAGATTATGTTGGCGATTTCCGACAACTGTTATGAACATTTAATCGTGTATGATCACACCCGATTGCATTTGTTTAAAATGTTTTGGCTCACTTCTTGTTTAGTCAGCTTGAGTTTTAAAGTCAATGACATCTCGTGAATTGGACAAAACATAATATTCATTCTTGTTGGTGAAAAGATCATCTAAAGTTACACTTACTCAGCAACTCAACTCAGCAAGTATTTTGGATGTTTATCTACATTTTGTCCCATTATTCCACATTGTTATAACTCATTTTTTACAGGTTTTGAGATAATTTTACTATCTTTCTAAATTTTTCACGAGGGATTCATTTCTGAGGTCCATTTCAATGGATCTCATTTCCTTTTGGAGATCTGTGCAAAATGAGGAAAAAACTATCCCACTTTGTCATATCCGTTTGGGAAGGCAGCAGAGCCAATTAGATACATAATTTTGATCACCTGACTAACATTTATAACATTGTGGAAATAATGGGACGATCTCTTACTAGTATACTTTGCAGGTAATTAACAAAGGAGATCATGAATCATGACACCATACATGTAGTACAAACAAAGGAAAGCATATTTGAAATTATTTGTAACAAAAAAGCTCATTCAGTGAACTTACTCAAATACTGACCCTGTTATAGTCTTTGTACCTTTTAAAGATCTCATGGATTTATCCAAGATATTTACAATTTTCGCACTTAAGTTGTGTTGTTATGGCAACCACTTGACCAATCATAATAAAACTTGTCATGGTAACTAATTGTATATGGATACATAATCCCTAGAAATATGAATGTGATTGAAGGTATATAACAGAAATTGTTGATGATTATCACAGTACCCCCTCATAAAAGTAGCCAGGGGGTATAAATGGCAATAATTCGCAGATGCTGAAAACCTCGACCCTTTATTTTCCAAATCAATGAGAAATGATATATTTCACATAATTAACATAATTAGAAAAATGCAATCCTGTAAGCAAAAACATGGACCAAGCTCATCCAGTGCCTAATCAGTCAAAATGGAACACGATTCATATTCTTTATAATTAGATGAGCAGAATAAAGGGATACGAGACAATAACAAAATGGAAGTGAATAAATATTCAGTTTTCAGGGTTATTTTGATATTTCAAAAACAAGAAACCATAAAAAAGATGTGTTTTATTTATTGTTAATCAGTGCTCTGCAAGGCCTACATATACACATGCTTACCTAGACGAAAAAAAGTTGAATTACTACTCAAAAGGTATGAAGACCTAAACTTCAACCTCTGATTTCTCATTATCAGCGAAAATACAATTGTAACAATGTGGAAATAATGGGACGATTTTCATGATGTCATTGATAGTAAATGTGCCCTCCTCCAGCAGCTTTTATTGCATCCAAACGAAAATGATATAACCTGAACAACACGTCAAAAGTCAACCTTGTTCGCATCCCACTTCTTACAAAAACGTCTCCACCACTTCCCATTGCCCTTCTCTACACTACACATCGGACCCTATATGGTACCCCCGAGACAGGCAACTGTTTCAACATAATCCTACAAGCGCTAGTTTTTAGTTTTTATGGTTTCTTTATTTTACCCTACTATCACACCAAACTAGTTCTCACTACGTTCTCGAAAACGGGCTTCAACTGTGTACAAACGGACTGGACCTACTAAGAACCGTTTGGGATCTATTTACAAACTTCATCGAACGTACTCGAACGGGTAGGTCCTCTAGAACTTAGACAATGCTCAAAATGTTCTCGTGGTCGTCACGTTCTACAATTAGAACGAGTGACAACGTACTAACGACGAGCTGGACGTACTACGAACGGAACCGTCGTACTTCAATCCTACTAGGGACGTTTTAACAACGAGTTGAACTGTCTGAGGACGTGTTGAGAACGAGGTAGAACTAATTGCAAACTGGTTTAAACTGATTAAGAACGTGTTTAACACTGCTTATGAACGTGTTAGCAAAAATATAGCTATCACACCAAACAAGTTGCCACTGCGTTCTTCAAAACTGATTTTAAACTGTGTGCGAACGGAATGATCGTAGCTGCAACTTTCTAAGGTCTATTTACGAACTTTATGATCGTTCTCAGACGGGAATGTGATTTTAGAATTTTGAATCGATTCAAAGTTCGATTGCGACCATGCCGTTCTGTAATCAGGTCATTTTGACCTTCTAGACTAAGGGACGCGTTCTACTACGTTGCACACCGACGTGGTGCGACCTGAACGAACTGCGAACGAGATGGACGTATTGAAGACTGTTTAAGAACGAAGAAGCTAATTATATCAGACATATTTCCCGACCACAGCCAGATTGAGCCCGTTTTACGACGTTTTCGTAGGACTGGCAAGAACGGGTAAGAACTAGTTTGGTGTGATAGGGGGGTTACTTTACACTATTAGTTAACGAATGACAGGGCCGAGGCTGAGGCTGAATTCAGCATTATTGGCCCTGTTAATACATTGTATCTACAAAATAACAATACAAATGACTACCAACATGTATGTATGCATGGCAGGAATGTGTTCAAACTATATAATTATACCAATACATTCACACAAAATGGCTGTCTAAGTCTGATCGTAACTTAACGACTTAGTAACTAACTCATGTAATTTTTACAAAGTTTCTCCTTTTCTCACATTATGTGGTTAAAATTCATCATGTGAGCACATTTGCCGTGGCTCCATACGTGTAGTGATAATTTCTGTTTCATTTGGTAGGTACTAACATCTTTTATATTTATAGACTGGCAGATCAGAGATAAATGCGCCCAAAGTCTTAGGCCATGCTGCTGACGTGTTGGACATTGCATGGTGCCCCTTTAATGACAACATGATAGCCTCAGCCGCGGAAGATGGCACTGTAAAAATATGGGAGATCCCTGAAAATGGCTTGCTTGTAAACCTTGAGAAGCCACTCCTTGAGTTGGAGTATCATCAAGAACCCGTAGGGATTTTGGTCTGGCATCCTACAGCCAGTAATGTACTGCTAAGTGCAGGTCAGTCTTTGTAAAGAAAGGACCTTATAGTCAATTAACCATTTTAAATTGTATTCTTGTTTTGAAGATGAAAAACATATTAGCGAAATGCATAAACAGCCCCAAATTCATTCTACAAACAACTTGCGGCCCTTTCTATAATTCAAATGTTTTTTCAGTACAGCATGCGATGGTACATGTATAGCCTACAATGTATAGTGCAGCACAGGTTTCATTAGAATATCTGACAAAAGGCTAAAATACGGCAAAATTATTAGAAGAAATTATTAAAAGAAAAAGAGGATATTTAGAAAAAAACAGAACCAGAGAAATTACCAGTTTGTCCTTAAAAACCTGTAGGAAAAAACCCAAACTTAAAACATCCCTTTACTAACCCTACTATCACACCAAACTAGTTCTCACTACGTTCTCGAAAACGGGCTTCAACTGTGTACGAACAGACTGGACCTACTAAGAACCGTTTGGGATCTATTTGCAAACTTCATCGAACGTACTCGAACGGGTAGGTCCTCTAGAACTTAGACAATGCTCAAAATGTTTTCGTGGTCGTCACGTTCTACAATTAGAACGAGTAACAACGTACTAACGACGAGCTGGACGTACTACGAACGGAACCGCCGTACTTCAATCCTACTAGGGACGTTTTAACAACGAGTTGGACTGTCTGAGGACCTGTTGAGAACGAGGTAGAACTTATACCATACCGTTCTGTAATCTGGTCATGTTGACCTTCTAGACTATGGGACGCGTTCTGCGACGTTGCACACCGACGTGGTGCGACCTGAACGAACTGCGAACGAGATGGACGTTTTGAAGACTGTTTAAGAACGAAGAAGCTAATTATTTCAGACATATTTCCCGACCACAGCCAGATTGAGCCCGTTTTACGACGTTTTCGTAAGACTGGCAAGAACGGGTAAGAACTAGTTTGGTGTGATAGGGGGATTACCTTCCTTCCCCTCTCAGGGCATTCCCAAGTAATGCCCAGCACCATCTTGTAACACCTTACAACTTAGATCCCCAATCTTTAGACATTTCCCCCAACATGGATTATCCCCATCTTTCAAACATTGGCCGAACTGAAGCAAGGCATACGAAGATTTTTTGATGACCATCTTACTTTCCAGGGTCAAGCAAAGTTGTGATATGGAATCTAGACGAGGGAGAAGTCGTGACAGAGATTGATTTCCCAGATAAATGTCTGAGTGCATCATTCAACCCAATTGGCAACCTTCTAGCAACCACATGCAAGGACAAGATGTTGAGAATTGTTGATCCTAGGACGGGTATTGTTGTAAAGGTATTTATTAATTTAAGATTTAAATTTCTTATTTTGTTGATTCAAGAATGGTGAGGGGGATATAAAACATTTCTGGATCACAGTTTCCAATGTGGGGGTCTCGTTTTTTGTCAGTTGACTAATGACTCTCTAATTTAAGAGGTTCATTTTGTAGTTTATCTATTTCACAAGCTTATTGAGTGTTCCTTCACTCGGGTAACAATTCTCGCCTCTCCACTCAAGCTCTGCTTTTGTGGATGATAACCTGTTTCCTTTCGTGGAATATTTGATGCTAACTATGATAACTTATATTACAGAATGTTTTCAATCATTGGTTTAAGAGAAAAACAATGTTGAATCCAGTTCACCATATCGCTACTAATCCTTTACTTTTCGTATTGTTCAATATTGCATAGACCATTGTATTTCTGCTTTTATTACAGGAAAGGAAGATTCATGAAGGCTCAAAACCAACACGGTGTGCTTACCTAAAAGACAACAAAGTTTTCACAACAGGATTTGATCGTATGAGTGAGAGGCAATATGCTCTTTGGGATGCTGTAAGTTGAGGATCACATGTATTAGACTTTCCATAGTATCATTATTGAATCTAAGGTGCCGTATCATGATCAAAATGTCAGTTTTTCTGTCATCGCCAGGAGTAAAAATATATAGTGATAGTCTCCAGTTTTTTTGTGGATGGTGTTCGCCGGATGTTTTTTTGTGTTCGGCAGTTGGTGTTCGAAGTTCGGCGTCTGTATGGCATTTGGAGATATGTTGCACGTTAATGCTTAATGTTAATGTTGCTGAAGTTATTTTGTGAGTGTCTCTTCTGTCCTTCTCTAATTGGTCATTACGATTTAGTATTCAACTCAAAGATATTTCACCGCTAACCAACCTCAGTTCATTAATAATGTCATCATTTAGTATAATCGTCTTGATATCAATGGTTAAACGCAAAATAAGAGGAGATTGGATGGAAAATATAAACAGTTTAAATGTAACAGGGATTACATAGGGAGAACAACAGGTATAGATTACATTGGTCAAAGGGATGCTATTTTTATCTATATAAATTGTTTAATTAAAGTTGCTATCCGAAGGTGTTTACTATAAATAGTCCTCTAAACAAATAGTTGGCATTCTGCATTTGATGTATGTTATAAATGGTAGGTTGTAACATATTGCATGTAAATGCCTTGCTATGTCATAATAGCTTATTTCACCAGACATTGGCACTGGATATTGAGTCTTTTAAATGAAAATGTTTCTCTTTTGATTTAAGAACAATGACCTGGATGAACTATGTATGGAAAAGATTGACAGTGCAAATGGTGTTTTGTTTCCTTTCTATGACTCAGACACTAACTTGATCTACATAGCTGGAAAGGTAGGATATGTTATCAATGAATTGGTTTTAAATACAGTGTAACTTGTGCAATCAAGCACCCTTCTTAGGATGTCCTTATCAATGAATTGGTTTTGAATACAGTAAAACCTGTGTGATTATGCACTCCTCATCCTATGGAACATCCCTCTTATAAAACACAAACTTGATCCTAACTTGATCTACTTAGCTGCCAAGGTAAGACATCCTTACCAAACAAATTAGTTTTAAATAAAGTAAAACCTATGCGACCTTATACCTCTCTCTAGGGAACACCATAGTTGGTGGCAAAATAAACTGTCCAATTGAATTACATGTTAATGAATCCTCTTTGTAACTGGAATAGTTACAGAGGCTAACATTTTAACTTGGAGGAAATATTCTAATCGGATTCTGAGACTGAATCTATGTAATAATGTTTTCTTAAAGAGGGACGTGGCTTATAAATAGGAGGCAGACTAATGGATTGGAACAGCTAAAATAAAGCAGGTCAATTTTCTCAGAGTTCATATTATTTGAGAAAATAAATGCTTCTTCCAATTTTGTTTTCTAACTCCTTCAATAATTTGATGTTCAAATTTTAAGTATGTATGTGACCTCACATTTTAATCGGGGTTGCAAGCAAGTGTGAAATCCCCTTTTTGCATGATGAAGTAAGTTTGAAACAAACGGTTTTATTGCATTCTTTGATGTATTCATGAAAATCTAAGAGGAACTGGATTACTAAATGCATAGTTTATCTTTTCTCAGCATGTGACACTCAATTTTTGTACATTTAAGGTGCAAAGTTGATATATGAAATTTGTTTCAGGGAGATAGCAATTTTCGCTATTATGAGTTATCAGCAGAGGCCCCTTATGTTCACTACCTGAACACGTACCAGTCGAAAGACCCACAGAAAGGGATGTGCATGATGCCTAAACGAGGAGTCGATGTTAATACTTGTGAAATGACTAGGTAAAATCAATCTTGTTTAAGGGTTCCTAAATGAGGGGTCAATGTTTATGCTTGTGAAATGACCGGGTAAAATCAATCTTGTCCAGGGGTGCCTAACAGAGGGGTCAATTAAATGTGAAATTTAATGTGAAAATGAAACTGAATAGGGTGCCTTAATGAGGAGTGGATGTTAATACTTGTGTAATGACCCCGTATAATAAAATGACCGGGTAAAATCAATCTTGTTCAAGGGTGCCTAAACAAGGGGTCAATGTAATGTGAAATAAATAAAATGAAACTGAATAGGGTGCCTTAATGAGGAGTGAATGTTAATGCTAGTGAAATAAGTATATGTAATATGAAACTGACTAAGAGAGGAGCCATTGTATTCATGCATAAGAAATAAATTTGATTTTGCACTGGGTATTTTATTTAAGTATCTTTAGATCCCAGATATCAATTTGGAGTCTATTGTTTTTGCTAGTATATCAATTTACCCTTCTACTAGTAGTTTTACTTGTCTTATAGCTCACACCAGTCCTTTCAAAGTATATGTTTAGAGCTCTACATTCATTTTTTACATTTTATTCAAATAACTTTTATTGGCTGACTGAAATCAATAGATATAGAATATAACAAAAAGAGCAAGACTTTAATCGTGTTTGTTTCAGATTTTTTAAACTGCACTCAAAGAGTTTTTGTGAAGTAATTACAGTGACAGTCCCACGAAAGGTAAGTCACATTGTATTGTATCAAAACATAAATAAAACGTAAGTTGTTTTGGGGAATTTCAGTACTACACCTCGTTTCAGTTTCCCACAGAACGAAGTTTGTAGTGATATAGAGAAGCTATTCGCCCGTTTTTTCGTTCGTATGTCCGGACAATAACTCAAATACCGGTTGACAGTTTAAGTTAAAAGTTTATAGGCTTATGCTTTGTTGTTGTAGGACCTCTGTTTGAGAAGAAATTTTTGATATGTCGGCTCAATTTAATATGGCCGCCATTTACGTAAAAATGTAATCTTTGATAACTCAAATACCAGTTGATGAATTTGCTTTAATTTTATATGCTGATGCCTAGGGACATATGAGCTCTGCTTTAAGGATGCCACTGAATTTTAAAAATGGACGCCATTTTAAATAAAAAATGTAATTATTGGTAACTTAATAACCTCCTTCCCCCTCCAATCGAGAGATATTTGATAAACGTGTTCTTTTAAATCAAATTCAATAGACTTAGAGCTGGTCTACTTTTGAACAGTCATTTTTATTCTCATAATCTTCTGTTGGTAACCGATCCCAAATTTCAATGTGGTGAAAAATTCCAAACCACTGAACACTTTTTAATCAAGTGTCCACTGCTACTTAATGAACGTGAAGTTCTTCTTGCAGGACTATTAGACTATTGTATTGTATTGTATTGTATTGTATTGCATTGCATTGCATTGCATTGTATTGTATTGTAGGACTACTGTTTACGTGAGTTTGGGCCTTACTCAATTCAAAGGAAAACATATTTTCTATTGAATAGAAATGAAAATTTGACCATTGAAACAAATGAAAAACTGATTGAAATCACTGCTCACTATACTTCTCAAGCTATACAAAGTCTGGGACAGGGTAATTTTTAACATTTGATTTTGATACGATCACTTGATACTGGGGAACAAGCAACCCAAACAACAACAAAAAAGAAAAAAAGCTTCTTTGAACATTTTGTGTATTTCTAAATATCAATTTTTACTCATCAAAATTGTTTCAATTGCCGATAATGATGTCCCGTCAACAATGGCAATTTGTACATATGTAATCGATTGATTTATAGAAATAAATGTGAAGTATGTAAAAAAACGTTCTTTTCGGCGGACTTTGCTAATACGTAGAGTTGCTGTTTTCTTGGATATATATTATGTTATTATGAGATATATAGTATGTTATTGTATGTTTGTGTTTACAGTCAGATTTGTTCCAAGACGACCTGTACCCAGACACACAAGGCGACAACCTTTCAGTGTTATTATGGGATATATATTATGTTATTATGGGATATATTTATGTTTACAGTCAGAGTTGTTCCAAGACGACCTGTACCCAAACACACAGGGGGACGAACCTTCTGTGAGTGCAGCCGACTGGGTTTCTGGAGTAGATGCTGAGCCTATATTGGTAAATGACTTTACACGATATCAAAATGACTACTCTGCTCTTTGAATACAGAGGGTGTTCTATAAGTTAGGTGACTACATAAGGTGTTCTATAAGTTACTGCATTTCACCCTTTTTAAGGTAATAATGTGTACTATCCCTCTAATCATCATGACCTTACGCAAAGTGTCGCTAGGGTATTACTGCTGAAATTACATACTCTATGCGCGTTTGAAAGTGAGCTTAATTTCAGCTCAAATGAAAAATGAAAATGCAGCTTTTTATTGTAATGTATATAATACTAAACAAGAGATGTGACTTGACTTTAAGTTCTGGAACTCCAAATTTCCCCATTTTTTAATTTTCAGAAGTGTGACATCCAGTTTCTTACTAAGTTACTGAGTTTTTTATACAACACGTATGGAAACATATTTTTTTATAAATTTAAGTCAGCAATGGCATTGATTTAAATGATAACGGTACTTACAAGTATTTATTACAGGTCGTACAGACCATTGTTGCTTGATTTATAGCAAAAACATTGACTTGTGGACATTGGTGGCCTCGCGCCTCTTTTACTAGATCTCACATTTTAGAAGCACATCAGTTCAGAAGAAATCTCAGAAGACCTAACATAATCTACCATACCATGCGCCTATCCATTCAGCAATTCAAGAGTAAACTTTTTCTTGAAATATAAATCTTCCAGATTTGTTAAATTTTCTAGCAGAAATTGACTGCTCCCCCTCCGTCCCATTTTCACGACCACCGGGCGTGATAACGGTGTGCTGTTATTCTGACTAATAATGGTGTGCTGTTATTCAGACTAATAATGGTGTGCTGTTATTCTGACTAATAATGGTGTGCTGTTATTCAGACTAATAATGGTGTGCTGTTATTCAGACTAATAATGGTGTGCTGTTATTCAGACTAATAATGGTGTGCTGTTAATCAGACTAATAATGGTGTGCTGTTAGTCAGACTAATAATGGTGTGCTGTTAGTCAGACTAATAATGGTGTGCTGTTATTCAGACTAATAATGGTGTGCTGTTATTCAGACTAATAATGGTGTGCTGTTAATCAGACTAATAATGGTGTGCTGTTAGTCAGACTAATAATGGTGTGCTGTTAGTCAGACTAATAATGGTGTGCTTGTGCCCATGGAGGCGCATCTGTAATATTATCTGGACAGGCTGTCAGGTTCTACGTAAATCTTGTCGTCAAAATTTCAGGACAAAATTATCTTATTGAAATCTTAACAGAATGGAAAACTAGAACACGCTTGTGTCAATATCTGACTAGGTTTGGGGAATGATGGTTAAATTACTTGGCAGCTAATTTGAATTTTCCAAAAATGCAATATTTATCAATCATATAATTATAGATATCTATGAAGGATAAGTTTGTTTCTAAGAAGAAAGTAGAAGAAAACGGTAAGAAGAAAAGAGGACTCAAGTTTCTAAAAAAGTCAAAGGCAGTATCTACTCCCGCCGCTGCTGTAGAAAAGCCAATGGTAAGAAAGTTTATATTTATGTATGATGTATTGTTTTTTGATATATCCAGAAGGACATATAGCGGATTAGTTTTTGTCTGAAAAATATTACTGGTGAATAAAGAAAATGTAATGCATTTTGTTTACCCCAATATTTTGGTGAGCAATATAGCGTTGCTATATTATGAATTTTTTACAAAGTTGACTCTCAGAGACAGAAAACCCTTGGAGAGAGCCCTGTTTTTTACGTGCATTGATGCACAGTATACAAGTATACCAAGTAAACACCATAGATTTTTATACAAGTCATGGATCACTTGGTCAAACACTCTGACTTACGTGACACATTAACATATACACCGAGCTTATTCCTTAACCAGACTATGTATGACACTTTGATTTCAAATGGATTGAAAGGTTTTTCTTATTTTAAGAAATAGACCAATGAATGAAGCAAACGTTACGCATGGGTTGTTAGATATAGAAATGCCTATAGTTAAAATTTTGGGACACCCTATATACTATATGCTTGATCTTTTTCATATTTTTGACAAGCATTTTCTAAGCAATTGATGAACCTACTAAGTATTATTAGCAAGTTGTAAAGATAGGAAAAGATCAAGCATATGTAATGCAAAGTTTCTCCTGGGTTCAAAATAGTTTCAAATATTGAAATCTATGCAATATTCAGTCATTCGTTTTTTTCAAACTATCTCATACGTAAGAACACAGTGCTACTTACAAGGTGTATAGCTGAATGTATCAATTCATGTTTATGCATTTTTGATATTGTTTTCAGAGCTCAGATCAAGAAGCCGAGAAATCGTTGACCAAGATTGAGGCAATGGAAGCTAAGTTTGAATCGATGGAGGCTAAGTTTACGACAATGGAGGCTGCGTTTAAAGCAATGGAGGAACGTGTTAAGAAACAGGATAAGCGTACCACCGCATTAGAAAGCCTGGTTGCGAAATAAAGTTGAGATGAGAAAGTGGATGGACAATGGTCTATGAAGACATATTACAACCTAACATGGAATCTCGAAACTATCATGGCTGCACATTTTCTGAATTCAAGTATTCCTCGCATATAATATAGCTAGGAGTAGCAGTTTATATCAAGCAAAATCTAATCGCATAAATTCTAACTACAAATTCTAACGTGTAGCATTTATATATAAACATGACATTAAAGTGCTCATGGATTTTCTTGGAATCTCGACAATATCATGGCTGCATATTTTCTGAATTCAAGTATTTCTCGCATATAATATAGCTAGGTTTATATCAATCAAAATCTAATCGCATAAATTCACACTATTAATTCTCACTTGTAGCACGTATATATTTAGCCTACAATAAATTTATATACACAATATTGTTAATAATAAGTTATGTTATCTTAAATGTTTAAGTATTGTACAGCAACATCTGTGTACATATTGAACATTTTTTGTCGAGAAAAAACGTTCGGTGTTGATAGATGTTCACTACAGAAAGGGTAACCAGAGAGAGAGAGGGGGTGTTCTTCACTAAGCGAGGTTTTACTGAAAATGTAAAGGAAATGTTATACCTTACAAATAAATTCTGACACCTATTGGTACATCAAGGAAGCTATGAGAGCTAGATTGATTTCACGATCATAGGTTGAAGGTACAATCGCAATCTGTTCAAGCAAAAAATAAGCTTAACTTAATGCTCATTTTGAAAAGGTACAACCTATGACATCATCAATCTAGTCAATATATCACTGCTTCTTTGATTTAACAAAAGGTGAAAGGGTTTATTGGCAATATTTTTTGAAATCTGAACAACATATTTTACTGTCAACTAATTGTCAATCCCGAACCATGATCGTGTACACCAACCATGTCCCTCTTAGCTGGTCGATTTCAAAGCTACAATGTATGCTATATCATTTCCTTTTATATATTAACCAAATTATTCATGATCCTTTAAGCTATGGCTATTAGGTTGAGTCAACAATTATAGCATATAAACTAAATGGATTAAACGTGGATTTATTTTCCAACCATCGTTAATCAATAAGGAATGGTTACAGTACATCTGGCCAGCTAACTTCTCAAGTGCAACATGTTTGGTTTGTATAATATTACGTCAGACATAGAGGTTTAGTCAATCAACTCGTTTAAAAATGCTCATTAGGTGGTTATTGTTTTAATTCGTGTTGTGTTATGTTGGCGGAAATCGTACTAATCTAGTTTTTATACTTTCTTACTCTAGATGCTCGTACTCATGATCAATTATTCGACTATTAGAGGGGAATGCATGTAATTCCGATCCCGAACTAGTTCCGCACGTATTTACAATCTACAGTATACAATTTTTAATATAAACTGTGACGACATTACTCGCACTCGTACTCATTCCTTCTCGCACTCATTTTTACTCGTAGTATGCTTAGAAACAGTTTGTATCATAATTTTATGTTTATTTATGATAAGTTAGTTATTTGAAAAACGATGCTCAACTTTTATTTAGCATTTTTGTAACCAGCACACCAGGGCACTCATATTACGTCCTTGTTACAAACGCGAGGAAATTATTTTGTGCTATACCACCAATGAATATATATTTCTAACAATATTTTGAAGCCAATGAGGTTAATGTTTACTGTTAAAGGCCCCGAGCAGAGCTTTAAAATATATGTTTTTATCATTCATTTATCATTTACTATTATTTTCAATTTATTGGAGAAAATTTGTCAGCTTTTTATTTCTCAAATATTTAAATTCCCCGCCATTTTTCAAATAAAGTTAACATTTTGAAAAATCTCCCATGTCAATATTTTCTTTCGTAATATGCGTCACCAAACTGAATTGAAAAGAAGGATATAATGTTTTAAAAATTGCTGTACCATTGGTTTCTATGTGAACTAATATTCCAAAACGCATTTTTCTCTGAACCATTTTCATGAACGCATGAGTTCTTTTCTCGCTTATTTATCAACAAATCTCTTCGACAAAAAAACATTTTATGATGAATGCTTTGCATTGGTGTGAATTATCGCTGAATAATAGATACGTGTGACCTCTGAAATATAATTTTAAATAAAGTCTCCATTTCAGAACAAAAAGTCCTAAAAACGCTTTTTGAAATTCAAATAAACGTTTCACATATCACACTTTGATAACATTAGGTAAGACTACAATATAAGTGGTTTCAACCTCATATGAGGTTAGAGGTTATTATGTCACCACCAAAAGTGGTGACATATTGTTATGTTTTTTTGCGACGGCGGTTGGTGGTTGGTGGTTGGAGGTTGGTGGTTGGTGGTTGGAGGTTGGCGTCCGGCGTCCGGCGTCTGTAACAATTTCTTACAACTTCCTATAACTTAACAAATACTGTTTAGACTGACTTCAATTTTTTTCTGACTTTAGATTTGACATTTGACCTTCAATGACCTTCTCAAGGTCAAAAAAGGTCAAAAAGGTCTGTTTTCAACTTGCTTCAAATTGAATAATTTTTTTTTTCAAAATCATCTACGTGTTCTCAGAAATTCAAATCTGACTTAAGATTTGACTTAAGATTTGACATTTGACCTTCAATGACCTTCTCAAGGTCAAAAAAGGTCAAAAAGGTCTGTTTTCAACCCTTCTTCAAATTGACTAAAAAAAATTTCAAAATAATCTACGTGTTCTCAGAAATTCAAATCTGACTTAAGATTTGACTTAAGATTTGACATTTGACCTTCAATGACCTTCTCAAAGTCAAAAAAGGTCAAAAAGGTATTTTTTCAACTTGCTTCAAATTGACTAAAAATTTTTTTCAAAATCATCTACATGTTCACAGAAATTCAAATCTGACTTTAGATTTGACATTTGACCTTCAATGACCTTCTCAAAGTCAAAAAAGGTCAAAAAGGTCTTTTTTCTACTTGCTTCAAATTGACTAATTTTTTTTTTCAAAATCATCTACATGTTCTCAGAAATTCAAATCTGACTTTAGATTTGACGTTTGACCTTCAATGACCTTCTCAAAGTCAAAAAAGGTCAAAAAAGTCTTTTTTCAACTTGCTTCAAATTGACTAAATTTTTTTTTCAAAATCATCTACATGTTCTCAGAAATTCAAACCTGACTTTAGATTTGACATTTGACCTTCAATGACCTTCTCAATGTCAAAAAAGGTCAAAAAGGTATTTTTTCATCTTGCTTCAAATTGACTAATTTTTTTTTTCAAAATCATCTACATGTTCTCAGAAATTCAAATATGACTTTAGATTTGACATTTGACCTTCAATGACCTTCTCAAGGTCAAAAAAGGTCAAAAAGGTCTTTTTTCAACTTGCTTCAAATTGACTAATTTTTTTTTCAAAATCATCTACATGTTCTCAGAAATTCAAATCTGACTTTAAATTTGACATTTGACCTTTAATGACCTTCTCAAGTTCAAAAAAGGTCAAAAAGGTCTGTTTTCAACTTGCTTCAAATTGACCAAATTTTTTTTTCAAAATCATCTACATCTTTTCAGAAGTTCAAATTTGACTTTACAAGTTCTCAGAAGTTCAAATCTGACTTTAGATTTGACCTTTGACCTTCAATGACCTTCTCAAGGTCAAAAGGTATTTTCCAACTTGCTTTAAATTGACCAAATTGTTTTAGGTGGTGACATTTTGTCATGTTAATGCCTTGTTGTCCTATTGTCAGAAAAGTATGAGATACAAATTTAATTCAAGCCATAAAGATACACGCATAAGCTCATTTAAAATCAAGGGATAAATAACCAATATTAGGCTTACGGCATGACATTATATACCAAAAATATGTTTTTGTATAGCTTCGTATACGAGTATAATCTGCGTAGAGAACAAATGCTTCTGGGTTAAAAATAACGAGAAATTGTGTTTACTATGATATGAGCTGAAGCAAGTTGGAGGCCATGACTTTTAGATATTCTTTATCGAGTGGCACTCTTATTAAAAATTAAAGAGAAACATACACAAATGGCGGCCACAAGAAGGAAAAATGTCCCGGAAAAAAGTACAATTCTCAAAACAGTTTTCTTAAATTTTTAGAAACAATTTGAAATTCTAAATCGCCGGTGTTTTGGAGGTTTATACATTAGTGTTGTTTCTGAGAAACAAACAATTGTCCATGGAGCTTTCCAACCGTATGCTTTTTATCTTTTTATGTCACGTGTTCAGAGAGCTCGATCGTATAAATAATGTGTGGAACTAACAAAATTGAGAAAAGACGAGTTGAAGACAAACTAATTAATGGAAAATGAATATGACATAAATACAAACGTTGGGTTCATTTTTGATTCATGTTTCCAACACGTTGTCCAATGGGGTTTCTTTTCAAAATGTCCACTATAAAATAATGATATTCTTGTGAACTTATCCTAAATTCAATCAGTATTGTGCATTGTTTTAATCGCTGACTTTTTCAATGTCATTGTTTTGCGGATTTGATTTGTGCTTTCAAAAAATGACATTTCAAAAATACCGAAAAAAGCCAAGAGGATAAATAGAGGTGATAACAAGCATTCTGTCAATATTGACCCGTGGCACGCTTGTAATATGAGAAAGTGTATTTTCATATCTACATTTCGAATGGTTTGGGGCATTATTGGAATGTAAATGTTGCAAATTTCAGTTGTCCTTTCAAAAATACTAAGAAGGCCAAGGGGACATATAGAGGTGATAACGAATATTCAATATTGACTTGTGGCAGATTTGTAGTTGACAATATGTATATATCTACACTTCGGATGGTTTGGAACATTATGGGAGCGTACAATGTTGCAAATTGGCAATCAAATATTCATACTTTCCAGTTGCCAATTTTCAGTGATTTGTTATTTGTTATATTTCAAAGATGTAGATTCCAAAAATGACATCACTTTGACCGAATTTTTAATATTTAATGACGTAAATAAATATTATTTCTACTCGGATCTAGTCTATTGACGTTTCAAAAATAACCCCCCTATCACACCAAACTAGTTCTTACCCGTTCTTGCCAGTCCTACAAAAAACGTCGTTTAAATCGATCAATTCAAAATTCTAAATCACATTCCCCGTCCGGGAAAGACCGTAGAACAGACCGTAGAACGTTGTAGCTACGTTCATTCTGTTCGCACACAGTTTTAAACCAGTTTTGAAGAACGCAGTTACCACGAGAACATTTTAAACATGTTCTAAGCTCTAGAGGACCTACCCGTTCGAGTTCGTTCGATGAAGTTTGTAAATAGACCTCAAACGGTTCTAAGTACGTCCAGTTCGTTCGTACACAGTTGAAGCCCGTTTTCGAGAACGTAGTGAGAACTAGTTTGGTTTGATAGTAGGATAAGTAGGGGGTGAGACACCTTTTCAAAAGAAGTATATAGGTACATATTAATGCCATCGCCTAATTTGGTCAATGTCTAGGTCTTGCAGGGTCATTTTGTCAGTGAATAAGCAACTTTTGAGTTCAAAATAAAATGTGTAGAACTAAGATGAAACGAATTCTTTGTATAACTGATATATTGAGAGGTCTAAGAAAATGTTGTCATGAGAGTTCCAATGGAGGGTGTATAGGAATAATTTAGTGCATATATATTGGGGTCTACTAATTACCTCTTTATTAATTAACAAAGTAGCATTTACCTAAGGAACTCTAGGGTCCTCATAACTAAGTGCATGTCTAAGTGCATGTCTAAGTGCATGTCTAAGTGCATGTTGTGACCGTGAACATTACAAGAAGTAAGGTGGCGATTTCCCATGAAAGAATTCTAATATTTCCTTCGCTGTTTCTAAGTGCAGGATCGGAAGAGACTGGCTGTAATCTCTCGTCCCTTTTTACGTTTATAAACACATATAAATCGATAATGCCATGGTAGTTAGCTGTATTTTAAGAGTGCTTGCATATTGGTGGACTTTTTTCATGTGGCAAAATTATGATTTCTCCCTGACACAATTGCCCAATCAAGGCCTTGAACGAATATTTTACCTGGACAGATCTACGAAAAATCATATTATCGTCGTGATGGAAAGAAGTTCATATCTATCCATATCGTAGTCAAGCAATGACAAATCACCACCCGAGGGCGATTTCAAGAACAGGATATTAAAACAACGACAACGTCCGAGTGAAAACAGAAATTTTGTTACAATTAATAGCAAGCTAGCCGGAAGAAATTAATAATATCATCAAGTTATGATGCTGGCACATGTCAGTAAAAAGAATTGAAAATGAAGAAATAGTTTGAATAACTTCTCATAGAAAATTGCGCTGCGATACAGACGTCCTCAATATATAAGGGTTATGTACTGGGAGGTTTTGGATATGGGGTTTATCCAGAGGGAGATATGCATATCTACCTGAGGGACCGTAGGGACCGAAGGTAGATGTGCATATCTCACGAGGGATGAACCCCATATCCAAACCGACCGTACATAACTGCTTTATCCTATACCAAGTAGAGTTTTCTAATTTTCTTTCGATTTTTTCTTTTTTTTCACATTTTTTCTTTTTTTTCAATTTTTTGAAAAAAAGCGGGAAGATATGCGCTGGAGCGGGAGATATGGCGGGAGATATGGAGGTTCAGGATATGGAAACCTCAATACGGGATATATCTTACCAACTTATCTCCCTAAAACTCTACTTGGCATAGGATAATGTCTTTTATAAACCGTAGACACGGGCATGACATATACAGGGTGTCCCAAAAAAGGAAACCAGCAATAGATTGCTTATTTCTCAAATATGAATAATGATAGGAAAATTTCACAGCTACCATCTGATAGATTATAATGTCCTCTTTCTTACGATACCAAAGTTGTCTATTTTCCTTCACGGATGACTGAGTTATAAGGGATTTAAGTGACCATGTCAGAAATGAGTTTGTACCACTTTCAGCCAAGTCAATTTCACCATCATTACAAAGTGATAAGTAACAACAAACATAAGGATATCACTCTTTTACTCATTTATTCCAATTAAAATTACACATATCATATTTAACACCCCTTTTAAATTCTAATGTCCATTTAAAGTTGTTTTAACCCCAGTGTCCTTCAACATGACCCCCATTCCTTTCAATGCAAATGTCTCCCCATGATCTCATAGCACGTACTGCATCCCCGATGATGTCTCTCTTGGTGGTGTTGTGAAGACATTACCCTTAAGATAACCCCAAAGGAAGAAGTCGCAGGGTGTCAGGTCTGGGGATCTTGGTGGCCACTCAATCTCGTGGTTCAAGGCAATCACTCTTCTGTTGAACAGTGCCCTTAATCTGTCCCGAACGATAATCCGACGATGAGGAGGAGCACTACGAATACTCTTTGATCTTGGGTCAGCTGCATGAACTTGCTATGTTGAATGCTTGTTCAGAAATGTGTATTTCGAATAGGACATGGTCTTGCATAGCCATTTTAATCCCTCATTGTTCAGCCATTCATGACAGAAAAAGTGGCACAAACCAATTTCTGACATGGTCACTTAAATCTCTTAGAACTCAGTCATCCGTGAAGAAAAATAAACACCTTGGGTATCATAAGAAAAAGGACATCATAACCTATCAGATGGTAGCTGTGAAATTTTCCTATTATTATTCATATTTGAGAAATAAGCAATCTATTGCTGGTTTCCTTTTTTTTGGGACACACTGTATAGATGATAATCAGCAGGTCCATGTATCATAATCATGCACTCTCTCGATGAACCTGTCCGATATGCGCAGTGCAGTCAGATCGTTGATCAGGAAGTTAGCCGATAATGGGTGGAAACGCAGGACAAAGTGGAAGTTAAAAATATACATGGATTCTAACGAAAATCTTTAAAGCATAAAAGACATTATATTTAATTTCAGTAAACGAGTAAACTGGTTAATAGACGACGAGGAAGTTACCAAGTCAGAAAAACTCCCCGTTGGCAGGTCTACAACCTTTAGTTTATGATAGCCTCAAAACGGCTCAAAGAAAACAAGACTTCATAGAACAGAATTAGATTAATAACTGCAGGGACAATATCATGGAAGTGATAATCGAATGATATTGCACAATACGGGAAATCTCAGTCTGCATCAGAATGAATCAGACGAGCGTCTCATATGGCACAATGTGGGTATTGCAGAGGAGTTGGATAATATTAACCCTTCTGACTGGACAGATAGGTAGGTATTTAAATCATAAGAAGGCAAGAAATGAAAACGATCGGTTGACACTCGGCGCGTTCGAAACGGTGACATCAGATAGACACATGTGTAAGTGAACACTTGGCGCAATTGATACGATGACATTATATCTAGACACATGGGTAAGTGAACACTTGGAGCATTTGATACGATGACATCATATGGACAAATAAGTAAGTGTGAACATTTGGCGCATTGGTATATTATGACATTATATGGACACATGAATAAGTAAACACTTGGCGCATTGAATATGATGACATCATAATAAAACATGGACAAGTGGACACTTGGCGCATTGGATAAAATGACATCATATGGACACACGGACAATTTGCAAGTGGACACTTGGCGCTACGGTATACGATGACATCATTTGGACACATGGACTAGTAGACACTTGACGCTACGGTATACGATGACATCATATGGTCACATGGACAAGTGGACACTTGACGCTACGGTATACGGTAACATCAAATGGACAAAAGTAAACGGTAAATATATAGGTGCTTATTAACATATTGGTATATATGTACGACCGGTCAATGAACGCTAAAATTGGCAAACTTCCGAATTAGTCCTACATCCGTAGAACACTACACCGTTGTTATTTGTGGATATTTTAAGGCTAATAGGAAGGATAATTGACCCCTTCCTTCCCTCAAGATATTTTTTCAAGGGTATCCCAATATCTTTGACCTTTCGACATAAAATCAGGATAATGAACAAAATAGTATTCATTTATACTTATCAAGAACATCGGATTCGTTAATGTTGGTGTTGGTTATTACACATTAATATTGTATTAACCATTTATTTGCACTCGTGGTCGAATAAGGGAAAATCTCACTTTCCCAACCAAATAAGTCGGTAATGCCCATAACAGGTTACGTACCAGGTGTAGAAAAATACTCTCAGTTTCAGGCCACTGAATAAATCTTTTGAGGGGTGAAAGTCCACAGATTTATCGCGTATTTTCTCAAATATACGCACATGCTCCAATAAACACACACCCTACTTTTTATGAAAGACTCTGGCAACATCAAGCATATCCCAAAGGGGTTATGTATCATTTTGCGATTATATTTTGCTTTCAGCTCTGGGATGGGAGAGTTTTGGGGACAAGGAATATGAGGCGTTCTACGAGGGGTTCTCTTGGTATGATTCCCAGCTACAGTGTGAAACGATAAATGGACACCTGGTGATATTTGAAAGCACCGAAGAACGTAAGTTGCATCTGTTACGCACGATCTGAGGCCCCGGAATAAGTAACAAAATGTTTAAAAAAAAGTTCCATAGTGTACTGAGTTGATAATATGTAGGGTACAGTAAAACCTGTCTAATCCGAACGCCAAAAGTGTTCAGAGTATAGTATTCATATTTCAGGTTTTTTCTGTTTTGTGAAATGATGGAAGCCAAAAAATTTGGACCGAGAAAAAGTTTTCAGATTGAGATTTGTTCGGATATACCGGTTTTACTGTAAGAGACGCTATTTTATCTCATTTTATGCCTTGGTCACATTTGCTCCGACTTTCACCACGGCGCCCGGCCATATATTCAAAACTGAATGACGTGTCGCAAAAAGCTCGCGCACGCATTGTTACACATTTTGTGGCGTAATCCAGAGGATCCTCGCTTTTAACATGATAGAATGTGACGTTTTTGAGAAAAATGTACACACATAAAAATCCTTTCGTCCTCCACATTTACCTCTATATCTCAAAACATTTTAGACGAATAACTCTGATATCATATATATATTGTTAATGGGCTAGGAGCATCATAAAACACGAATCAATTGATATTTTAGGTGAAATAAATATACGTGTTGCTGTGCTTGACAATAGGCGAATGGCGTAAATTAGCCCTATTTTAATGAATTTTGAAAACCTTTCGTCCTCCACTTTTCCACATACAACAGAAAACACATACTTTTGTGAACAAAATCAACTATTCATCAATAAACTAGAGTTTAGGAGCAAAATAATCATGTATGATTTATTAAAAATTGATCTCGTATTTTTTGTTTAATGTACACCTTAAAAGCTGAAGGTAACAAAAATGAGCAAAAAAGGTCGCTGTCAACAGATTCTATTTTTCAAACTCTATGACGTCACAATATGGGACGCTTAATAAAATTCATCCTTTGAAATAAAACGTCCATCTACCTTTATCAAGACGAAAAATAAGTATAATAGTCATATATTGTTTGAGTTATGAGCGTTTAAAGACGAAAAATAATTCAAAATGTAACGTGTCAACATGGGATATATGCCAGATGTTTTGTTAAAAAACTCTTTTTTAAAAACGAACGCGCAAAAAATGTGAACGGAGTGTAGTTGATCTAAAATCTTCATCGAAACAGCTTTAAAATGATATATAACTTTAATTAGAATATTATCTTATAATCCGGGGAATCAAAGTTACATTCACGCGATACCCTTAAAAAATAAATGCGCCACCTTTTTGCGACACGTCAATACAATTTCGAACAAAATACTCAATCGGCCGGGCGCCGGCCGATGAATCGTAGCAAATGTGACCAAGGCATTAGTACGGCATTCCCAGGCCTCAGCGCATAAAGATCGATACCTCCGCTCCCTCTATAGGCCTATAAATTTAAGTTTGGAAGCCAGTTTCCATTTGACGTTCGTGTAAAAGCCCGTTCATGTTTGAGCGTTTATTTGCTCCTTAATTACAATTAATTGAAAAGGCATTTATGATCGAATTTGTTAAAATTCCCGAACATACATTTTTTGAAAATGTATACATCCCTCAGATGCATTTGACATGCAGAATTGGACTATGACAATAAATGTTACATGAATCGTTTTCAATGTTGATAAACATCTTAAGATAGATGAGGAAAGATACGTTTAACATTTACTGTATTAGTGGTAATTTTGCCTAATCATTTAGTTTGCCTTAATTTTTGCCAGGTTCGAAAAATTAAATGTCGGAAATATTATTTTAATAATGTTATCCAATATGAAGTTTCTAGTAAATTAAAAGTAGGAAAATGATAAAATTTGACCATTCGACAAATTAACCACTCGGAGTAAATACTACTTACGCACTAGCCACTATCTATTTTCCTTGGCCTTACTCAGCAGTACGCTTGCTGCTTTGAATGACGGTGATCTTAAAATCTGGGTCTAAATCAATCTGATGATATAATATAAAGCTGTGTTATGGATTGATTATATGGGGTAGTAGGCCAGTAGTCTAATATTCCATATATTTTACATGCAAGTGGATACTGTTGACAAGTGCTTTTCTGACCTCTCTATCGCGAGGACCACTTCGCTGTGGGAACAAATCAATTGCATAAGTGGTGAGAGAGTGAAAGATGGAGAGGGAGTATATCCGCATTTGAAGACATAGACGCCAGGCTTTTGTCAACACGGCACTTAAAATACCATGAATGAAATAATTGGTTCATACCTTCCATGATATCAATCTTTGCCAAAAGCTAAATCCTATGCTCTAAAAGCCCTTTTCAAGTTGCTCTAATTTTCACTATTTTCGCTGAAGAGGCTAGACAGTGAAATTAAAGGCATAGTGAAAATTTGATTTAAAATTGAATTCAATTGGTTATTTCTTCAAACAGCGGAATTTAATGCCCGGCATGAAACATTTCAGATTGACCAAAAGTGATTTTTTGTCAGCGAAAATTTGGGTTTTTACAGTACGTTCATGTTTTTTAGTCTGTACATCTGCTTTCGATGTCATTGGAGCATGGTGCCATAAAAACATCGCATTTTGGTTCTTGTTTATACTTTTGTTTTCTATTTGAATCGAACATGCATAGAAAAAACCAATATTTTAATCTGTGAAAATCTTACAAAATTTAGTGAGCGTCCAAATCATTTGTTATGAGAAACAAATACTGCGATTGAGCCCGAGATATGTCCTACCATTGATTAAATAAACATATTTCAGTTTTAGAAAGGTGTTTGTTATGCCATTAATAGAGAACGTATAATACACTTCAGTCTTATTGAGAGGTCTCTCTCACCATTCACTAAATTATTTTATATATCAGTTTTCAGAAGCCTGTCCCGTGATTAAGTTTAAAATCAAAGGGCTATGCATTTATCGAACGTTCACATCATTTCAGTTGAGTTTGTTCGGAACTTGATCCATGACGACGAAGATTGGACGTTTTGGATTGGTGCCAACGACACAGCCGTAGAGGATGAGTGGCGTTGGGTAGATGGCTCATTGGTTGACAATGCAGTTAAGGACTTCTTTCCTGGAAGTAAGACTTTTATTGTCTTTTTTATTTATCTTTTTATTTATCTATTTATATCAGAATAATGTATCACAAAAATATCTCCTCAATCACTTTTCAGCATTATATCATTATTATTGTCTATAAATATTTTCCGAGTTCGAATTCATGTTCGTGTATTAATAATGTCATTCGGAACTAAAAGACCAATGGGCAGCGTAAGTAAAAATACAAACCCGTTTTAAGCTATGAGAATGATTTGTAGCATCGACTGTGGTCAGGCTGGACTAAGCAATGGTAAACGGTGATCGCAGTTTCCGTTTTCTAAAATGGCGGTAATTAACGCCGGTAAATGATATGTTTATATTTTGATCTCTGTCGATCAATTCAGTGGGGTATTTAGTAGCTTTGTAAATTCATGATTGCACAGAACTATTGGTTTTTCTGTAAGCTACACTTACAATTGGTTACATATTATAAAGTAACCCGGACAGATTTGATGCGTATTGATGAATATTTTTTTTCGTGAGAATTAAACTGACGAAGAAATAACGTAACATTCACAACCAAGATCATTTTTAGAAGCGACAATTAAATTCTAAGATGTTGAATGAAAATAGGCCCAAATATCAAGAATTATTCGATAATCAAATGAATATCAATAACATGAACTTCCCAGTGAAAATTCGAAACAATTCCAATAAGACCAATTGTAAAATCCAGCCTTATGCCATAACAAGCCCATAGAACGGGGCACTCAGGAATATATCACCAAATGGACTGCGGGACAAAAAGCAAATTGTTTAAACCTCCCCCTTTTCAAGATCTTTATATAGACGTTTGTGAATGTGACGGAAACTGCTGTCACCGTATCGGTTACTCTACTGCATAGATGGAGCTCGAGAACGCTAATGGAGTTTATTTTAACCCAAACCCCTTTGAGTATGGGCAATGCGATTTCCTTTAGCTTTTACTCAAGTATATTTTTCACTGTATATTTTCAGCATGTAGTAATAAGAAATGTAATTTAAGAAGTAACGTACAGCCCAATAATGGTGTCGGGACTGCAACAGGCTTACCGCAGGTCCGTATATTCTTATATTTGCCATTGCATATTTTCAGCGTGTGCTAATTGGTGGTGTGGTTCTTTAATTAACGTACAACCCAACAATGGTGTCGGGACTGCAACGGGTGAACCACAGGTCTGTAGTGTCCAAACACAGACGGCGACATTTATAAAACACCCGATCCCAAAATATACATTGAAACGAAAAACGTCACTTTCTCTAAACGCTAACACCTATTATATTGTTACCATATAGAGATTATTGTTAACATATAGAGTTCATTGTTACCATATAGAGTTCATTGTTACCATAGAGAGTTTATTGCTACCATATAGCGTTCATTGTTACCATATAGAGTTTATTGTTACCAAATATAGTTCATTGTTACCATATAGAGTTCATTGTTACCATATAAAACAAGAGATGATTTGATTATAAGAAATGATTATGATATGCAGGCAATAACTATTGAAATTAATAAGGAGAATGATAGAAATACTTTAATAACAGTTGTTTACAAACCTCCTGATGTCGATCTTGAAATATTTAATCGCGAATTAAGCCAATTTTTAGGAATACTTTCACAAGAAAACAAAGATATTTTTCTTATGGGTGATTTTAATATCAATTTACTTAACACAGACCATGCAGGAACGGACAATTTTTTGAACACTTTGTATTCCTTTAACCTTTATCCTACCATTTATAGACCTACTCGAGTAACATCAAGAACAGCCACACTTATAGATAATATTTTTACAAACTCATTAAACATTAACAAATCTGGAATTATAATGACTGATATTTCAGATCATTTTCCTATTTTTGCAGTAACAGATTTGCCACTTAATTTACAAATTACAGAAAAAATTCATTTTCGTTTAATGAAAAAACAAAATCATGATGACTTTAAATCAAAGATAGAAAACATTAATTTTGATGATGTATTAAAGTGTACAGATGTGAACATTGGGTATGACCTATTTATTCAGAAAATTTTGATAGTTTACAATGAATGCTTCCCATATATGGATAGAAATATGACATATAGATTTAACAATAAAAAACCATGGCTAACTGAAGGTATAATTACATCAATTAAACAAAAAAACAAACTCTATGTAAAATCTATTAAGCATCCAACTTCAGCAAAAATCAATGAATATAAATCTTTTAAACGCATTTTAAGGCAAGTAATACGAAATTCGGAAAGACTTTACTATAAACGCAAGTTCAACAGTTGTTCGGGTAATCTAAAGGAAACATGGAAAAACATTAATGAAATTCTTAACAGAGACAAACGTTCAAATCTGACAAACAAGGAATTTATTTATGATAATAAGCTGATTAAAGACCATAAACAAATTGCTAATCTTTTTAATGATTATTTTACCGAAGTAGGACCTAATCTTGCAAATAATATAAAAAATGCTAATTTTTCCCCAAAATATTACTTAAGCAAATTGACAGATTCATTCAATCAAAGTATATTTTTAAGACGCGTAACAGATAAAGAAGTCAAAAAAATTATTGATAATTTAAAAGATTCAGCAGCAGGGTATGACGAAATTAAACCAATAACAGTTAAGAATTCAAATGACATATTCACTCCTCCTTTGCTCCATTTGACCAATTTATCTCTCTCGACTGGTGTCTTTCCAGATCAATTGAAAATAGCCAAAATTATTCCAATCTTCAAAAAGAATGATCAAAGATACTTTAGTAATTATAGGCCGATATCACTTTTATCAGTTTTTTCTAAAATATTTGAGAAAATTATGTATAATAGAGTTGTTGAGTTCGTTGAAAAATTCAAAATAATCTGTATCAATCAATTCGGATTTCGAAGGAATCGATCTACTTGTTTAGCTATTTTAACTTTCCTAGAAAACCTAAGGAAAGCTATGGAGAATAAACATTACAGTTTAGGGATCTTTTTGGATTTAAGTAAAGCCTTTGATACGGTTAACCATGATATTCTACTTACTAAATTGAATTTTTACGGCTTCCAGGGTAAATCCATGGATTGGTTCAAAAGTTATCTTAGTAACAGAAAGCAAACTACTTTTTTTGAACATGAATACTCGGATATGAAAACAATACAATGTGGTGTCCCTCAGGGATCCATTTTAGGCCCTGTACTTTTCATCCTTTACATTAATGACCTAATCTCTACTAGCAATTTATTCAAATATGTAATTTTTGCTGATGATACAAATATTCTTTGCTCTGACAAAAATATTTATTCCTTAATTGATATAGTGAATAATGAATTAAAAACTGTAGATGATTGGTTCTGTGCTAATAAACTCTCATTGAACATTGATAAAACCAACTTTATGGTCTTTACAACTTCACAAAATAGGGTACCAGATAATATTTCAATCAAAATTAGAGACTCTTACATTATTCGTGTTTTTTCAACAAATTTTCTTGGCGTTATAATTGACCAAAATTTAAATTGGAAAGAACATATTCGAAAAATTGCACTTAAAATTTCAAAAACCATAGGTACTCTATTTCGAATAAAACACAAACTCAGTATCAAATCATTATTGAATATCTATTACTCACTTATTTATTCACACTTACAATATTGCATCCCAGCTTGGGGTGGGACAGGAAAAACACATATTGATATCTTATTAAAGCTGCAGAAAAGATTTGCCCGCTTAGTTACTAATAGTGAATATAATAAAGCACCATCATCACCTTTATTTCAACAACTAAATATACTGAAAATAAATGATATTTATAAACTCAATGTTCTTATCTTTACTTACAAATGCATCAAACGTCCATACAATTTTCCGAATGACTTATTTTGCAATTATTTTCAAGCAAATCAGCAGGTACACGACCACAATACAAGACAGACTGACAATCTTCATATTTCCAAATTTAGAACCAACTATGGCAAACGAAGTATTAAAACTCAAGGGGGAATAATCTGGAATTCAACTCCAGATGTTATCAAAAATTCAAAAACCATTTTTATTTTTAAGCGAGCCTTCAAAAGACATGTAATTAGTCTCTATGATTAGTACCCTGTACAAATTTTTAACAGATGCACCTTTTTCCATTTAGCTATTCTACATCATTAAAATGTTTTATTACATCTTTTATAATGTACATCATTTTTATTTTTATTTGTTTCCCAGTTTGGCTTACATAATTTATACTTTGAGACACTTTGTAACATCAATAATAAATGTAACTAACAATATGCCATTTTTAAATATTTTAGCTTGTGATAAGACATACACCCACTAGGGTGTCATTATCACTTATATGTATATATGTTTATATGATTTTAATAAATAAAAAAAAAAAAATAAAAAATATAGCGTTTATTGTTACCATATAGAGTGTATTTTTACCATATAGAGTTTATTGTCACCATAAAGAGTGTATTGTTACCATTTAGTTCATTGTTACCATTCAATGGTTACCATATAGATTTTATTGTTACCATATAGAGTTCATTGTCACCATAAAGAGTACAATGGTTACCATATAGAGTTTATTGTTACCATATATAGTTCATTGTTACCACGATCGATTGATAATCCAGGAAAGTAGGGTTCGAAGCAAACTGCAAGCAACAAACCTACTAACAAACTCAATTCAAATATTATATAAATATGAAACCATATCTGGTTAGGATTGGGGGAATACATCTCTAAAAACAAAACAAGATGAACGTAGACGATCTTATTAATTAATTACCTGGATTTAAGTGTGATGTGATTATTCATCCCAAAAAGTACACACCTTCGACTGATACTTGATATTAAAATGCTACTGTTTTACAATCATAATACTAGCGCATACATTTTGCCGATATATGATACTTGGTATTCGAAGTTGAGTTTGATATGAAGTGATCTTTCTATGATTGATTTCAGGACTGTGTTGACATCCGTAGAAGTTGGGGGTCTGCCGGGTATTCTGATCATCATTACTGGAACGATGAGGTATGCGACGCAACAGACGACCAAGGAGACGATACCCGAGGTTACATATGCGAACGAGGAGGTAATGTCAGAAGACTAGCACACCCTTATTATAAATTTCAAATCATTTTCTTGTGTTCATCAGATCTTAATACCCGGAATGTACTTAGTTTTGTTTCGTTCGGTACACATACATGTGTACTAAGCCCCGGGTATAAAATAAACCCTTGTTCAGACACTACTCTACAAGAGGCGTAGACAGGATATGATATTGTAATGCGAGGCAAAAAATGAAACGCGAGACATATTTTGGTTAGAGGTTGTATTCTCTACTTGTGGAGTTCATTTCAATGGTTTTAATTGAAAGAAATGTCTAACAAGTGTGTTTCTGTTAAATTAAAATTTTTGAAGCGAATGTCCCGCCGTTTTCATGCCTGTGTACTTCATTGATACGCTTAACTTTTCGGGTTTACTAGGTAAAGATTTATCGAGACAGAATACTTGAATAATTATTAAGCACATACCTCTATATCCACATATTTTGAAAGATTGATTGGCAATATATTGAAAAGATGAAAAAGATGGCGGTGGTAGTTCTGATCGGGCTAGAATATCATAACATAATAATTTGATGTGATTGAACTTGAAAAGATCAATGTCATTTAGTTGATCCTATATATTGGATGAAGTTTGAGGCAATTCTATGTTTCTAAAAATATTTTAAAATGGAGAGTTTAACTTACAGCCATGGATCTTTGGTATTTAAGATGGACAGTCTGCACCAGTGGCTATTTTCCTTTATATTTCTCAGTTAACGTTGCAGACAATATATCTACATAAATTAATATAGCTTGGGAGCATACTTTATTTACCACATAGTAAATGTCAAAATAAATGTCAGTAAGTATTCTTCATCTTGATATGGCCTAAAGACCCAAGTTGTTAAAATATCGACGTCTTTTAAGGAGACTTCCAAGACTCGACCTGCTGATATCGATCAAGGATTTTTAAGTTTGGCAAGGGGGGGGGGGGCTTCCTTTTGAATCTCTAATTAAGTCCTCTTTATGTTTGCTGATCTAAAATAACTCATCAAATTTGTCGTGAATTTCCGAGCAATTGGAATTAAGAAACAAAATCTCGATACAAACATTAACTGGTTTGATATGCTACAAAGCATCCAGTTGCCGAACTTATGGAGGGGAGTGAACACGTATCTTTACATGTGAAAAAAAAACAGAAACACGTCTGATTGTAAAATCTTATTTACAACGTGCCATCCGAGCTACCACTATGTTCTTCAGATTTATTGGGTCGACGTAACATGTCCGTGGGGTCATTAAACTTGATAAATCGGTAAGCCATCGGATTGATATTGCGTGCCTTAGGTTCTTTATCCCCGCCTAATCCTTTATTATTGATGCCAACTGGATAGCAGAATTTCACATAATTCTTTGCATTTAACTTCATAATATCATGAATTCGTTCATAGTGGTAGTTAAGGACGCCGAGGTCAACTTTAAGCGCAGATTCAACATCACCCATAGTAAACGCCTTTGTTTTAACCATTTCACGCGTCTCTCTATCAATTTCTTTACCAACAGGATCAGGTTCTGTATGTTCGGAACGTGGGGGCACTCTGTTATCTATGTTTGCTGGTTCCGAGTTGTCGCTTTCTCCGCTTGATGACGTGTTTGCCGCGTTTGCGTATCCAAGAGTATTGTTGTCTATTCGGGGTCTGGTAGGTGAGAGACACGGAAATTCAGGTTTACCTAACATAACCCTACTCGGTTTGAATTGACGTATAATTGGCTGGATTTTGCATTTAGGCTGTACAGGAGTATCAGTGATTCGTTCGTCAATTGCTCCTTCGTTTTTGTTGTCTTCATGGCGTTTCTCAAGCCCAGCTCTTTTATTATCTATTAAGCTGTTGAACGGACGAGTATTCTTAAGGGTCAAGTCCCCAATTGTATCTGCAGCAAATTTCGCATCTGGGATAGATGGCGCTGAAATGGCTGGTTTCGGCAATAAATCCCTTCTCACCCTTTCTAAGAAAACTAAATAAGGAAGATCCGATGTAGCGTTCTTATGGTCACCAGTGGTCAATGCATTTAGCCCCGTATCAAATGAGTTCATTGTTATATTCGACAGTTTACTTGTGTACTCCTGGTATACAATCTCATCGGCTTTTGTCTGTTCTTCCTTCTTGGATGTCTCATCATCGCCTTGTATATCTGTATTGCATGCGTTTAATACATTTTCTAGATTTCTATTGTCAAACTTCTTTTTATTCAGCGTGATGAAATCTTTCGCCTGTTTCTTATTTTTGTTTCTTGCATGTTTAGTATGTGAGCTGTCACTATCATTGGCACACTGTTCTACTATTTCGGTTTCCTCATTAAATTCATTAGAGTAGTCACATACTTTGCTCAAGGATTGATAAATTCTTGGTAGATTAGGATGTGCTCTGCTATAGTTATTTTGCACTAGGCCAAATGCAGGTAACGATTTTGCCGTTTTAAAAATCTTATCAGATTTTGTTGAGGTTGTTCTATTCTGGCTTAACTGCATACCACTGCTGCTAGCAGGTCGCTGTTTTTCACCGTTACTCGACGCCCGATTGTGACGTTTTCTTTTGTAATCTTCGCAATTCGAAATCTTCTCATATTCGTTTGGATATCCATATTGTCTCTTAGATGGTTTCACCCACGGTGGAAGGGACTTACTTTCCATCTCGTACATAGAGAGGTCTTTAAAATTGTTTGCAATATCTTCGTCCATAAGTCTTGGCGGAGTTTGCCTCGCCCATGAATCGTAAGAAAAGCCCTTGTAGCCATCGGGTGAGCACGTAATTTTGAAGGTAGATGACCAGTCAAAGTCGTTCATGACGGCGTCTGCGTAGATTTGCGAAACACCACGCCATTTTGTGAGGTTGTTTAGCACATATGTATCCTTCTTTGGGGTAATGCTTGTTTTAGAACTGTTCCCTGATTCCATTGCTCTGATAATCAGCATCTATTCCATGTATTGGAATAGCAACATTTAATGATTATAGAAGTTGTGCAATAGTCTAGGAGTAACGTGCGTGATGGAAAGCGGAAAGATCGAAAGGGATTATAGAAGATGAAGATAACTATATAGTATACATGACGTATATTGATTTTAAATTAGATCACTTTGAGCGGATCTGTAGTACTGCTGGTAATCCACTACCGAAAGTTAAGAACTTTTTGAATAAATTAGCAATATTATTTGTCATGTGTTTTTAGTTCTTACAACAGTACCTACAACTATTGCAACGACAGTTATGACAACGGACACCACCACACAAGTAAGCACAAAGGATGCCACAATCGAAGCAAGCACAACGGACGCCACAACAGAAGCCACAAGTGAAGCAAGCACAACGGATCCCACTACTGAAGCAAGCACGACAGACCCCACAACTGAGGCAAGTACAACGGACGCCACAACCGAAGCAAGTACAACGGACCCCACTACTGAAGCAAGCACGGCAGACGCCACAACTGAAGCAAGCACAACGGACCCCGCTACTGAAGCAAGCACGACAGACGCCACAACTGAAGCAAGCACAACGGGCGCAACAACCAAAGCAAGTACAACGGACGCCACAACTGAAGCGAGCACAACGGTACCCACTACAGAAACAAGCTCGACAGACGCCACAACTGAAGCTAGCACATCGGACGCCACAACTGAAGCAATTACAATGGACGCCACAACTAAGACAAGCACAACGGACGCCACAACAGAAGCAAGCACAACAGACGCTACAACTACAGCAAGGACGACAGACGCCACAACTAAAGCAAGCACAACGGACTCCACAAGCACAACGAGCGCTACAACCGAACTAAGCACAACGGACGCTACAACTGAAGCAAATACAATGGACCCCACTAGTGAAGCAAGCACGATGGGCGCCACTACTGAAGCAAGTGCAATGGTCCCCACTAGTGAAGCAAACACGATGGGCGCCACTACTGAAGCAAGTACAATGGACCCCACTAGTGAAGCAAACACGATGGGCGCCACTACTGAAGCAAGCACTACGGATGCTACAACTGAAGCTACCATAACGGACTCCACAACTGAAGCTATCACTATTGCAACCACAAGAGAAGTAACATCCATCGCAAGTTCACAGGAAAATATTACAACAGCCGCCATCGTATTTCCACCTTTAAAGCAAATCAAAAAAGGTAGGCCATGCGCATTTTACAAATAGATAAAAGATTAATTTCTCGATCTTATATTATTTTAGAATCGTTACAGGAAAGGCACGATTCTCGCTACGTCCAGTAGTTTACCGATTTGCACAAGTATTAAACATCAGCATGTCGTCATTGGCTTTTAAGAATTCCAAATCATCATAAGTTTATTGTTATGTAATTTATCTAGGTGTTATGGAAGAGGAGACATTCACTGATTCAGATAAACGACCTTCGGCGATGCTGTTCGGCATCAGTGGCCTTGTTATTCTCCTCACAATCCTTGGGGTTATCGTTCTCTTTGATATCATCACCGCCTGGGGTCACATGCAACGCTTGAATTGTATTGGGAATCTAAGGAACTTCAAGCACATGACGATGAAGGAAGTATGCATGGAATGCTGGTGTTCCCAAGACAAGCGCTTTAGGAGAAGGATGAAAAAGAAAAAGCCGAAGCTTACTATGGTGATATACAAATACAGGAAATACCAGGAAGAAAATGGAGGGATAGATCCGTTCAGTTGTGACGTCATTATGTCTCTCTTTTGGGATGCCATATGGACGAAGTTAAAAACTGTTTGTTGTAAACCTAAACAAAACCATAGGGATTCACTATCGACGTTAATTGACCCTTGTAATGTCAACGAACCCGATACATCCTCAATTGATATTGACAGAGGAAGTGATTTAGATGAAGTGATAGTTGGTACAACTGAAGAAGATATTGAAAGTGCTGAGTCAAATCAATACAGAAAATTCGACAGAGAGTATAGCTTTATGGATGACATTGAAACAGTACACAATCTGTATTATAGAGGTAGATTTGCCGCCGAGAAGAAAAGATGGCAACCCAAAAGCGTTCAAGCAGAATCACCCGGTTTGGAAATTAATGATACAGGTACTATGTTCGAGCATAGATTTGACACAAAAAGTTGGAATATCGACGAAAAGGTGAGGCATAACAAATCGCCAATCACAATTGAGGAAACCAAAGGGTATGATAATGAAGTGTATGCCAACCACAGAGATGCAACGTTCGTTCCCGAAAGTGTGCTAGGATACGCTCGTGATATTTACCACGACGACAGCGAACCCCCAGCCACTGTGGACGATGAACTAGATAAGCTTGTTGAAGGTAATCATCATATAGAGGTCAATGAGACTGAAGGACCAACAGGTGTCGACTCAATAACAATTGATGGTATGATTGGATCGGGCCTCCATGATAACACTGAATCAAATAGGAAATATATAGCAGTTGAGTGTGCTGTTTTAAGTGAAAACAAACTTCAGTCAAAGAATGATAACAACATCATAGAGACCCCAGACCAATCAGGAATAGACCAACGACTATATACAAGTAGAGAATTAACAATGTTTGATGATGGCGATACCCCGTGCCCTCACATTGAATCATACCCTCAAACCCCCAACGATAACCACAACCCGTACCCCCATTTAGAGGCAAACGTAGACCCAATCATTAACACCATAAGTGATATATCAACACGTCTGCCCGACTCAACCAGAGATCAATTTGCAAATTCTGATGAGGACGACATCTATAGCTTATTCAGGTACGACTCGTTTATAAACGCAACTTCTCCCAATCATGATAGCGGCATAGACACCCCCACTCTATATCGTTCACCATCAAGCGACCGCGAATCGTCTGCTCTGTCAAGGTCATTCCCTTTTACAATGACAAGAGGAACGGACGTTGTGAAACGTGAAAGAGGATTGTCTATCCCATCTATTAGGACATTTACGCTCAAACAAGACACATATAACATGAACATAGGGCAAGACCATAAACCCTATCTATCACCTTCGACATCCACGGTCAAACAACACACGAATGACACGAGGGATATAAAAAGTGATCGGAAAACATCTATTCCATCAATATCATCCACAGTTACACAAAATATGAACGACTGGATGAGAGAATATGCACCACCGAGAGAATTTCTCTTCCCAGAACCAAATACAGACTGGTGTAGTAAAAGCTACAATATTCCATCAAGTGGTCGGGAGTATGAACGGAGAGATTGGGACGGTCTATCTGGCTCTAAGACGTCATTATCAGAACGCAACAAAGTACGTCACCCAAGGCGTCACTCGGATATCGGTGGTCCAACCACAGATTCCAATCAGGGGAAAAGAACGGGGAATGGAGCTCCGAGGGTTGTATCTTGGCACTCGGGATATAGCTCTAAATTGAAACCAACGAAGGATTGGATGAGAGAGGAAAGAAATAAAGTGTCAAAGACTAATGGCCCAACATAACTTGCTTCTGTATCAATGCCATATAAAGAGAGTTGTAGGTCTTGAGTCTAGTACATGACATGCGCTCATCTAATGTTAAAAACAAAACAAACATCATGTTAGACTATCAAAGAAATACTGCTGTAATAGTTTATCGTATTTAACACACTGCAAATAGTTGATAAATGCTTTTATGCCATACTTATAGTAGTGTTATAGATAGATAACATGCAGGAATATAATTGATATCCGAAGTGAGCGCGTGATATCAGTGGGTGATATATACACTCCCCTCCATAAGTTTGGCAACCTTAGCTCCCCCATTGAACTACGTGTTAAAGCCTCTTTACCTTTGAATTTTGATTTACTTAACCTGCGATGAAAATACTTAAACTATTGAATATGGAAACGTAATTTGACTTTATTTTCAATACAATAAGTCGAAAATTGATGATAAATTTGATGAATTTATAGATAGTTATAGTTATATAACTAGACTACAAATATATAGATAATATCACCCGCTGATATCATCCACTCATCAGATCTACGACGTCACAAATTCAGATATAAGATACTGAGCCAGTGGACTGGACTATAAACCTATTTCCCTCAGATATACCCTGTATCATAAACCTTCCATTAAATAACCTCTATACAGGGCGTATAAAAAAAATGCAACAAGTAGTAAAATCACAAAACTAGTGATGACTACATCAATTTAATTTAATGTACCATAAAGCCATGTCTCTCCTCTTTGCAATGATATGTCATTCATTCACATGTGGTAATGGTTGGGTGAGAAATCCTTCCATTTGTACAGTGGGTCAAAATCGGCTCTGCACCAAGTTTTAGATATTGAAAAAATCAGTGCAAGGGCTAAGTGACAATGGAAGTTCCCCTGACTTAAATTGTTGTGACTTTTTCTTTTGGAGCTATCTCAGGAGCATCTGTGCTCACAATTTTTCCACCAGATATTGCAAAACCTCGAGAAAGATTTGCCCATGGGCTCCTTTCTTTGCTTTAACCCACACATGACATGCTGATGATTCAGGGCTGAACCATGCATGACGCGGACAGATGAGCGCATCTTCATGTGCAAGGAAGTGGTGGCAATTTGGAGGGGTAAAGGATGTATTCTTGCAAGAGTATGAGTATGAACACTTTATTGTCTTTGCCATACCTGTCACACCTTCTTCCAATAGCCCCTATGCCCCTTGTACTGACTTTTGCAATATTTTAAACTTGGGTCCGAGTTGAATTTTGCCCCACTTTGCAAAATTAATGATTATTCGGCCAGAGATGACTCCCTGTGAATGAATGATATTCCAAATGCAAAGAGGAGTAATTTGGCTTTTTGGTACATTGAATTTAAAGGATACAGTCAGCATTGGTTTTATGTTTTCGTCCAATATTGCATAGGGCTCCGTACACCGACTTTTGCAATGTTTATAACTTGGCACAAAGCTAATTTTGGCCCACTTTGCAAATGGGATGATTACTCGCCCAACCATGACCAAATATCAATGAATGATATATCATTGTAAAGAGGAGACCCATGGCTTTACGGTGCATTGAATGAACTCAATGCTGTTATCACTGGTTTTGTGCTTTTCCAAAATAAGAATCTGTTGCGTTCTTTTTGATACGCACTGTATATTAGGGTCTCGCGTCGTGTATTGATACATAATATAATACAAGATATTTAGTACCCCATACAAGTTTTTGTTGCATCACTGCAGAAAAGTATTCAACGAGTGTTGGCCCATGATATTTTGCGAAATAGATCGATGAATGTAACATTATGAAATTAAAATAATCAAATTTCTCAAGCCAAATTATTTTTGAAAGTTATTGAATGATTTGAAGTTCAATACAGGATATATTCTGCGCGAGAAGTTCATATTGGAGCGAGACTAAGTCGAGTGCCAATACAGAATATCGAGAGCAGAATATATCCTGTATTGCACTTCAAATCATTCTATAACGTTTTTATCGTGTGATCCTCTGTATTGCTACTGAGAATGTCCCCTTCGTACCAATATTTTCTGTATTGCGACGGAGATGATAAATGGGGACAATCTCAATAGCAATACAGCTTCCAGGTACAGTACAAGAAGTGACCAATCAGAAAGCTTATATATCCAGTTATTCCTGAGCACGGAAGGGGTATTATTATTTATATTAAAAGTAATATTGCATATAATCTAAGAAATGACCTCTCAAATCAAAATGAAATTGTGTGGGTCGAGTTAGTAATAAATCATCAACATATATTACTTGGCTCATGTTATAAATCTCCCTTACTGGTACATGTATCAAGAGAAGAAATACAGACATTTAACAGTAGATTAAAATCACAACTAGAAATAAAGGACCCACGGTCCTGTGCTCACACAGAGTAGAACCTTCAGAGGAATGTATATTCTGATTTTCAAACAAAATTATTGATTTTGATTTGTAGTCTCGAACTTTGAGAAACTTAGATAGCTCAGTTTGTGACCTAGTTTGAGGACCTTTGACCTTGAACATTTTACTTATTCAGAGCTCAGTAGGTCTTTTGTGATTAAAGTGACCAAAACGATCTCTGCTTTGACACCCCACTTAAATATCCAGAGACCTTTGGAAATAAAACTAAATCAAATGCAATGTGATCTGTCTTTGCGCTCTGATTTTTTCCGGCACAACTTTGTAAACTACCAAGATCCAAGTTGTCCATGTGGGTTTCGAAACCAGACAAAGGTACACCATTTGCTTGATTTCCCTCTTACACATGCTGCAAGACAAACATTTCTCCAAATTCTCTCCCAGCAAGCTGACCCTAACCTCAAACTTTTCTCCAGTAAACGTAAATATGACAAGGTTGATATGATTTTATTTGGCGATAAAGAACTATCACCAAAGCTTAACTCCATACTTATGAATCTATCATTAGATTTTATTAACAAAATATTGTCACCAGTGTCATTGCTGCTGTACTTTGCCAAATTTAATAACATCATCACTCATCTTCATCCTATCTGAACACTGCATTTATGTAAATTATTGCATATGTAAATATCCACTGCATAAAAGGTATTTTCACAAGCCAATAATGTGCAAACGTAGGCTTGTTTCTCCATATTCACGTATTCATGTATTGTTGTATGTTAATATATGATTCAAATATGGAAATAAAATAACCTTAAAAGGCTTCATTTTACATATCACTATTACTATTCCTTGATTAATTGCGACTTCAGCTAAATGATTTTGCCCGTAGTTAGATATTGCTCAGTTGCTAATAAAACAACCACCAAGACCTGGTCGAATTCATCAAAAACTGTTATCATTATGTAAATGGGACATTTACGTATTACATTAAGATGGCAGCACCATCTAAAGAGTATTTCATATTTCCAGTTGTAGTTTTATATTTGTATTTGAATTTCCCACCATTTCACATTATAATTTTTAAGGAATAGTAATAAAACCTTCTTTATTGATAATTTACCCCTTAAAAAGGCTTCATTTTACATATCATACGACAATAACGTATGCTGGTAGTACTCATACCTAGCTAGCTCCATCTTTTATTCTCATATTATCTTTTTATCGGTATACAGTAGCATGGTCCGTGGTATGTAGTTCCTAGGACGTCTAATAAAAAAGCTGGTAGCACACTATAGCGCAGCGATATTTGACTTATTTACATACCTACATATGTTTAGTATGAATTTTGTTTAATATACTTCCGTCTTTTAGGTTGAATTATGTACGTCATTTGCAGAGGTCAAAGAATTACCAAAAACTAAGAGTCTTCACTTTCCACTATTTGAAGTAAATAATGCAACATAAAGTAATACAAAATAAATTTACAACATATTATTTAGGTTTTAACATATAACCTTTAGGTTATTTTTCTCTTAAATACAAGAACATTTTGGAATCGATGGATCAATATTTTGGATTATTTTTCGGATATTGATACGATAAATGGAAGAATGGATCACTTTTAAATATAAATGATGAATGCTAAATTATGTTAGTTTTTCACAAAAGGGGTCTTGTGACATGTTTTGAGATATGGGCTGTCATTCCCAGGGGTAAATTATCAATAAAGAAGGATTTATTACTATTCCTTAAAAATTATAATGTGAAATGGTGGGAAATTCAAATACAAATATAAAATTACAACTGGAAATATGAAATACTCTTTAGATGGTGCTGCCATCTTAATGTAATACGTAAATGTCCCATTTACATAATGATAACAGTTTTTGATGAATTCGACCAGGTCTTGGTGGTTGTTTTATTAGCAACTGAGCAATATCTAACTACGGGCAAAATTATTTAGCTGAAGTCGCAATTAATCAAGGAATAGTAATAGTGATATGTAAAATGAAGCCTTTTAAGGTTATTTTATTTCCATATTTGAATCATATATTAACATACAACAATACATGAATACGTGAATATGGAGAAACAAGCCTACGTTTGCACATTATTGGCTTGTGAAAATACCTTTTATGCAGTGGATATTTACATATGCAATAATTTACATAAATGCAGTGTTCAGATAGGATGAAGATGAGTGATGATGTTATTAAATTTGGCAAAGTACAGCAGCAATGACACTGGTGACAATATTTTGTGAATAAAATCTAATGATAGATTCATAAGTATGGAGTTAAGCTTTGGTGATAGTTCTTTATCGCCAAATAAAATCATATCAACCTTGTCATATTTACGTTTACTGGAGAAAAGTTTGAGGTTAGGGTCAGCTTGCTGGGAGAGAATTTGGAGAAATGTTTGTCTTGCAGCATGTGTAAGAGGGAAATCAAGCAAATGGTGTACCTTTGTCTGGTTTCGAAACCCACATGGACAACTTGGATCTTGGTAGTTTACAAAGTTGTGCCGGAAAAAATCAGAGCGCAAAGACAGATCACATTTCATTTGATTTAGTTTTATCTCCAAAGGTCTCTGGATATTTAAGTGGGGTGTCAAAGCAGAGATCATTTTGGTCACTTTAATCACAAAAGACCTACTGAGCTCTGAATAAGTAAAATGTTCAAGGTCAAAGGTCCTCAAACTAGGTCACAAATCTTATTGTGCATTCGTTATATACCAAAAATCGGACCCGTCAGCTGAAATAATGATTACCCAATTAGCATTTGAATAGATTTTATTGCCCACTACTGAGAAGTCCGCTAGCCACCAACTATCGAGTGAGGGTCGACTTTTGACTCAACTATCGAGCTTATCTGTTTACCCAATCTTTCAAATGAGGGTTATCATTCATAACATCAATAGGCTATCCTGGACCCTGTTGCTTTAATAGCTTTATTGCATGATAACTATCTCAAACTAACACCAAATGACAACATGTTCGCTAGAAACTTCATAAAACAGGTTATATAATATTACTTCACCGCTAGTTGCGATATT